TGCTAATGTAAATGATAGCAGATTTGTTTATTTAGCAAATGTCATTGAGCCAAGCAGAGGATGAGCGTAAAGATTTTCAAAGCTTTGAGGCCTGCAGCAGATCTAATATGAATTTGCAATATGACACTTCATTTGAGGTATTCCACAGCAGCTGTGAGAGATACTTTACTGTGTCTTCAACAATGAAATTCAAAGAGTTAAATACTAGAGTTCAAAAGAAGAAGAAGAAACAACAACAGAGACACAGTTGCATGCCATGCATTAAGTGTAACATGTAAAAGAGAAATCAAGCTTGACAGAAGTCCTCCCAACTACATGGTAGGAGGAAAGGGGAGAACACAACCCTAATACTTCGCTCGAGCTCATTGATTCTTGTCCACATGGCTTAGCTTGATGTGCAAATGGCGTCATTTCCTTTCCCTTCTCTCAGCAGAGGCTAGTGCAAGAAATTGTGGGAGGCCACGATCACCATAGTGGCATTTTAAATTCTGGAGGGTTGAATGGCAGACATTCTTCTATAGAGAAGAAGCTAAGGGGGTGCACTTTTCTATGTCACTGGGGTGGGGGCAGCTACTAGGCAAGAATCAAATTTTACACTTCACTTGAATGAAATCCAGAATGGAGCCAATTAATTTTGTGCCATCCATTTCAGTGGAATCTCATATGGGTAGAGGTGTGTACCAGCTATAGTAGGTCACAGGTGTTGTGTAGTAAAATGCATGTCTGTTCTCCCTCATACAAACAACTTCAGCCTTCATTCAAAGAGACAGGCCTTGCTCCCTCCTAAGCTGTGAATTGCATTGCACCCTGTTTATTTTATTCCATAGAGATCGATGAAAGCTGTTGATTTGAACAGAGAACAGTGACAAAGCCTTCCCCCTTGCCTATGGTGACACTGAGATCCACGGTAGTAGGTTATGGTCCCCTAAATGTTTCCTGAAAGCAGTAGCTTATTTTCTGCCATCAAAATGAAGTGGCTGAATTCTCTTCTATGGTGATACAGGCTGGGCCAGGCTAGGAAAATCAGGTGAGCTGGTGAGCTGCTGTCCTGTGCATCATATTTCCTTTCTGCCCCAAGATTTCTCCTTGCCACGCTTCTTCCCTGCAATGTTGGCTTCTCCTGACTCCCTTGTAGTACAAGTTCTGCTGTTGAGAGAAAGGAGGGAAGGTAGGGAAGCTCAAGCCCTACCTGGGGCAAGCTTTTCCCTTCCCTTCTTCCTTCCCACTGGTATGGTAAACATCTTCAGATATAGCTATCCTTAGGAAAGCTAAGGAAAGCTTGCTAGCAGTGGGTTTCTAGAGCCAGCAACAATCCTAAAAAACTGGCTGCATTTGTCCGTTTCCATTACTCTGCCCATCATTTGACCATACTGTGTTTTTGTATATGGTGGCCACAGAAACAAAATATATCATTAAGGTACAATAGAATTCTTTCGCCTGAGTACTGAAAAGTGCCTTCACTTGGCTCTGACAAAGGTATAATGTGCTTTATTAGATAGACTCCAAATGGTGATACTCAGTCAAAATTTTCAAAATCTGTAGAATGTATCATCAGTTTGGTTGATTTGATAAAATAGGGCCTTCCTTTCTGAGGCTTCCAATAGAGCACTCTCTTTTTCCGTTCCAGTTTTCCTCTTGAACTTGACTTGATATATTTTCCATTCAAGTTTGTTTCTTCACATGCCGTATGCCACCAGCCACCTGAAGATGAAATTATAAGCACCATTTAATTGATAGCAACAAGGACTAAGGGCGTGGTTCATAGTCTCCCCTTTAGGCACTAGAAGTGGCTTCCATGTGTGGAGGAGGATTTCTGACATTTCTTTTCATGCCATGTTTGATGTCACTTCTCAAAATCCTTGGTAGCATCAACAGTAGCTGGCTCCCTTGTATGAGGAGTTGCTTATCGGGGGGAAGGGAACTAGGAAGAACTGTACCTCTATGAAGCTTGTCGTAACATCTGCCAGATTGGGTCACAAATCCTCAATGTCCACCACCCCTCTCTCTAGGAACATAGGAAGCTGCCCTATGCTGAGTTGTCTACATTGACATTGCCTCTCCAGCGTTTCAGTAGGAGATATGCTCATCTCTACCTGGAAATGCCAGGGTATCTTCTGCATACAATGGCCCATACCCCCACCTCTCTTTTTTTAAAAAGAATTCATTCTATTTTAACTTAATTACCCAGTGTCAGATTTAAAAACCCCCACAGCACTCCTATCTATCTCAAACACTTACATTCTCTGTAAAACTGACGCTCAGAGGTGAACTTTATACAGTTTCATAGTTATCTACATTTATTAGAGGAAGTAAAATAAATAGGATTGAACTGCAAATGAATTAAAATAACTTACTGATTCATGCTGCAAATTTGAATTTTCCACATTGGAGGGGGCAGAAAAGGGAAATTCAGAATAACGTTTTTGCCCAGTTTAAGGAGAAAGTATATAGAATACCAGCACTTCTTGCGGATTTACTTGGAGGTGCTCTACAGGAATTCATGTCACCAGTTTGTTATTCCTGTGTGCTACGCTCCCTCTTTTTAGATCTTTGCCAGATCACTTCACTTTTTAGTTCTATTTCTGTTTCCTAAAGTTCTGCCTGACGTTCAGTTAGGGACTAGAAATATATGGGAGAGAAACACTAGAGCAAGGATGGGGCAACCTGTGCCATTGCAGATGTTGTTGGTCTCCAACACCCAGCAGCCCCAGCCAGCATGGCCAATAGAGAGGATGGGAGTTACACCAACATCTGGAGGGCCATAGGTTATCCATCCCTGCACTAGAAGATGAGTCACATGTTCAGAGATTGATAAGATGTAGCCTTCCAAGATAGTACAGAATGCATGTGGAAAATTACACAACTGGATACTTCTCCATATTAAATATACATTTATAAAATACCATATTGAGGCAAAAAAGTTATAGTGTCTATGACATGCTAGCTTTCTGAGTGCAGATAAGTTTGTTTCTAAACATGATTGATCACTCAGATGTGCAGTCCCTCACCCAACATACCCAGTTGTTCTTCAGAATTTGCTTCTGGTTCCTAATGCTTCATTTTTCAGAACAGGGAATATATGTTTTGTAGACAAAGTTGCAGCTATATCTTCCACAACGTATCCCCCCCCCCCCCCCGATTTATGAGAAAAACTAAAGCAGCAGCTTGTACAAAAAAGACTACCTGAATTGTTTTCTGGACAGTTGACTTTTCTTTCAGTGTTGCTGTTGTGATCTTTTGTAGAGAACTTCACTTCTTTCTGTTCAGGCAGAACATTAGGGATATTCCCAGTAATCCTGGAGAGAAGAGCAGTGTAGTCTGTTTCTGAACCTCCCATGGTGAATGTGTATTCAATATAACGTTGGTTAGCTCTTGAGTCTTCCAGCTCAATACGCAGGATGTGGTCACCTTGGTTTACAATGGAATAGATCTTTTGTAGGCCCAGCCAAAATTCTCCTGAAAATACAAATTGCACAGACTGAACTATTAGGTTAGGCTGATGGCAAGACATAAGCAAGTTAGAGTTACTAATTCGGTTAATTAAGCAGACAACCTGAGTCTTGGGAACCCTTGAACTTTTCAGATAATCTCTCTTGGAGATATCTCTTTTTTGTTTACAACTTTTAGATTATGCACTAGTGATCAATTAAAACAGGAAACTAAAACTAAATATGAACGGAATGGAACTTTGCAGCTTGCCAGAGTCTGCCAGGGATAATGCAAGCATACTTAACAAAAGTGTGTGAATGAATCTCTCTGATAAGTGAACCGAGTGGCATATATAAAATTTAATTGCTATGGAAATGGAGTGTCAGCCATGAGAAAGGAATGCACTCTTAATAGGCATTTAGGTAGTGTCATTTACCACAGCACATTTAAATTGAACATTCTAAGTGAATTACATGGAGTGCAAAACTAAGCATGTTTTCTTAGAAGTAAGTGCACATTGTATTCTACTTTTAAAAAATAGTTGTATTTTCTTCTACCTTTTTTCCAGAATAACTACATTAAGGCATTTTTTCACTAAAGTTGGGCCAATGGAGTCATTCCAAATTGGCAAAGGTAAATGAGAGGACATTTGAGCAAGAAATAGTGGAAAAGATAAAATGTACCCTTTTAAAACAAACATGTGATTTTGCATTTATGTTTCAGATTTCACCACCAGGCAAACTTTATACAATGTAATGATGAAATTTCAGTTTCAACTTTGATTTTGCTGCTGTGGGAAAGTATTCTCAACTTTCTCCCCAAGTCAGCGTTTCTTAAAGCTCTGATTTCAAAAGTTTTGAAAACTTCACCTTATGAACTCTTTTTTTTAAAGGAAGATTCACTCTTGAACCACAGCTTGGCTTCCTGTGTCATGTGAACCAGGTGCTTGAGCTTTATGTAGGGGGCAGTATTTTTTAATGAAGACCATTAATGTAAAAACAAAAAATGCAAAATATCATATTGAGAACAATATTGTTGTGGGGACTTTCATACACCATAGACAATCCAATCTCATGTCATAAATGGAGCTACCATAGTTTCCAATTAATATAAGGAGGACTGAAAATACCTGTAACAAGCTATGGGAATGCCAAAACAATTTGTAGCTATTAGGAGGAAATGAAATTGTACAGAGCTTGTTTGTGTCTTCAATGCGAATTATATAACACAGGTCCCAGCTGGGAGGAAATGGGGAGATGGCACTTAACGGCTTTTTGAGCTAATCTACATGTGAAGTTTTTCCTTAAGAAGACCTTGTGATCGTTCAGACATTTTTGCAGTGTCGCACATGCTAAATTTATTTGGATTTCCCCTACCTCTCTTTGGAACAAACTGTCCATGAGTTCAAGTGAACTGCAAACCATCAAACTCATGGTGGGCCACATTTTGTGGAAATATTTTCTATGTAATGAATTTTAGGGCAGGGGTGGGAAACCCCTGGCCCTCCAGATGTTGCTGGATGATGTCTGGGACTGATGGGAGTTGGAATCCAGTAACATTTGGTCAGAATCCAATAGCACTCTGGTTTAAGAAGAGAGTCTTTGATGTTAGACATGTCTGCTCTACATAGCAAATAACAGCTAGAAAAGCCCATAATTTACTGATAACAGCATTTCCTTAGCATCTCTAACATCCTGAGTTCAGTCCCCAGGAGTTTTTAGTAACAAGGATCTTGGATGGCAATAGTAGGAAATGGCTCTTTGCCTGAGATCTTGGAGAGCCATTGCTGGATGGGCCAGTGATTTGACTGTATTATTCAACTTCATGTAAGTAATAGAAGAATAGATGTTTTGAGACATCCCTAGATGCTAGGGGTGGAATTGAAGACCATGCTATTACAACTGTTCTGTAAGTGTAAACATTTCTGCATTCCAGGCAGAATCTCCCCTCTCCTCTGCTTGCACACTATTCTGGGACTTCTCCTGACCCCCCAGAGCAGATTGAGGAGGAGGAGGAGGAGGCCCATTGCACCATGAGTTCTTTCACAGGCTTCCACTAGTGCACCAGGTTAGTTTAGTCCAGCTCCAGGTGTATAAAATTGACTTTGCAGTCTTGAAATTATGGTTTTGCGAGTAATGATAATGAAGCCAATCAAACTACTTATGGACCAAAATATTTCAGGACTTCACTAAGTGATTTCAGGATAATTGCTAATATATGTTGCTCCCTGTCCTGGTGGCCAAACAGGGTTGCCACTTCAATTCTTGCCCCCCTTTAGCACCTCTGTAGAAGCAGCTTGGAACATACCTTTAGCAAAGTGTGCTGGACGATGTGTCTGTTAGCCTGCACCTTGGTGTCCCAAGTGGATGATTAACCAGTGCAAATAAGGGTGGTTTCTTTCTGCCTGGTCCTCTGATGGGATGATTGGCTGGTTAAGTTTAGAAACCAGGATTTTGTTTCAGCGGAAACCCATTGAGCTTTATGTTGACCCAGTGCTATTCACTGTGTGATATGCTTGAAAACCGCCTGTTGTATCAGTCACCACATGGCAACTTTTCTACTGTATATTATGAAGTTTAATTCTAATATGCTGTAAAGTTTCTTGAGTATTTTCTGGCCTCATTTGGTCCAATATTTTCCGCAAAAAACATTGAGATAATAGAAATATCTTTTTGTCTGCATTGCTATGTTTACAGATCTTTAGCACTTTAGTACTGTATTTTAGGCACCTAGAAAGTGCCTCCTTACATACTTCCTCACTCACTCAACTCGGAAAGTTTTTGAAGTAACAAAAGCAGGCACTACCTCTTGATAATAGCACAGCAGCTGCCAGTGCTGCTTTGCCAGTGCCAGGGAAAAGCTTCACACTAAAAACACAGAGGGGAGTCTTGTGCCTGCGAAAGGGTGCAGTAAATTGTGAAAACTGAAGAGAGTGATTCTGTGAAATGGTCAGGTTGAGCCCTGCCTATCTTGCATTGCATGGAACTGCAGCTGTTGCCATGCAAGATTCTCCTTGTATTACATGGTTATAGTGGGGTGAGGGCAGGATAGAAGAAGGTAGTGATTGGGATTGCCAAGCAGTACATAAATCAACTAAATTCTTGGATTCATCCACATGAACTGTACATCTCAATTTGGTGTTGTACAGGTCATCTGCATCAGTCAAATGCCTGATAGACTTAGTCAATGGTTTTAAGCCCTAAGCAAAAATGTTCTGTACATGTAAACATGAAGGTGGATATGTATCTGAAGTGCAGGGTATATTTTTCTTAATCTACATTGTGTTATGTATTTTAAACATCTGAGTGGTAGGTATATTAGACTCTATCCATAAAACCCAGTTTTGACAGGTTATTCATTCTGATTAACTTCTTTTCTGTTAACCCATCTTGCATGTGCTTTTAGCAAACTGGTCTTTAGAGGGGCACCCTGCCTTTGATGCTCTGTGGGTTAGTGCAAGGGTAGATTGAATCTCAAGCTGTTCACTGTGCACCAATTCAGATCAAAACAATGGGGGTGAAGAAAGCTAACCTGTTTAAAACATGCAAATGTGAATCATCCCTTATTTTCCCAAAGGTGTTTTTCACTTACTTTAACGTGTTGATGTTTACATAAAACACAGTCAACTACTATTTTAGCACATAAAAACACTTCAATTATTTAGGGAAATGTAAGAGAATGTATTTACCATCCAGGTTGCCAAATCCATGAATATAGTTCTCCCAGGTTTGGTTGAAATCTAGTGATCCATCAGATCTGTTTTGAATAACTGTCCATGCACTTTCTGTGTATGAAAAAAGATAAATAAACTTACCTATAAACTATAAACTATAAATATTACCTGCTTTATTGCCCTCCCCCCTAGTTTTGGACTGCAGCAAACATAGGCTCAGTCCATATTGTGCCCCCCATGAATGCTTTTTAATGCAGTTAAATATAGAAAAAATTCATTGAATTTACTCCCATGGGAATTTCATGCATGGGTGTGAAAGTTGTCTATGCCACTTGTCCACTGCTGGAAGAGGTTTAGTTGTGATGATTATTCTGTCGTGCCATCCTCATCTGACCCAGTTGGAACATAAATAATTGATCCTACTGACAGCACCATTTTTTATTTGGTAATCCTAGTTAACTATTGACCAACTGTAGTTAAACTGATACTGAGCTAGATGGGCCTGACTCAGTATACGGTAACTTCCTATGTTTCCCTAATGGAACACTTAACATCATTCAGGGCAGAAAATGAAGTCCATAATGATTTTTAGCAGGAGAATTAGATGGTCCCTGGTGTAGCTGGACTTACCTGCTTTGATTTCACAGTAGACATTAAAAGGCTCAGATCCTCTGGGCTTAATAGAATAAATGCCACTAGATCTTTCACCTCTGCTGTATATCCACATGCAATCAGTAGCATTTCCTAAGAACAACAAGATTTTAAAAGTTACAAATGCATGACTAAAGTCCTGCGGGGTGAGTTTAAGGCACACTGAAATGCACTCAGTATTGTGGCAGGGACTTGGGTGATGATATTGTAGTAAAGAATGCTGTGAATCATTCCTTTGATTGTTTTTTTAAAAAAATTTTTTTTGAATATTTTTATTAGGAATTTCAACATAACATTTTATCCTCATTCACCACTCCCATTTTCCCCCTCCCCCCTCCCCAAAAAGGAACACACACACCCCCGGACTTCCCTCAGCTCCTCTCTCTGATTTTTCAGCACAGGTTATTCTCTTCATGTTATAAAATTGTAAATATCCTTTATTTATCTATCTATATATTACCAAGTAAAGGTTTGTGAATGTTTATTCAAAACCTGCCAAGGAGTCCAGTTCATTTTGTTGTTTCTTTAAGTACTTTGTAAAGGGTTCCCATTCTTCTTTAGATTGTTATTATTTTTAATATGTCACATTATCCCATCCAGTTGGTAGCGCAGACAAAATGGTAGCCAAAATGGCCGCTGAGAAACGAGAAGGAAGTATTGGCATGCTTGGGGAAAACTTGCGGCTTGCAGAAATAAGCTTTTAAAAAGAAAACAACCCTAAATGGACAAACTCCATCAAAACAGCCAAATGAGCATGTTCGTTAACAACAGAATGAACAGTGACAGTAGAAAAAATAATTGAGCAGGGAGTGGGGAGGACATAGAGTAGAATGTCCTACTTGTAGGGAATGGATGACTGGAAGCCTAAATAGGAGCTTTCCTTTTTTGGAGGGAGGATACACTGCAACATGTTGTGGAAGGCCACACTTGTTTTTCCAACAAAAGTAATAAAGAGAATTTAACAGTGTGGTGTTCAAAGATGTATACTCGTAGAAAAATGTATACTAGAACAGTATTCACAGATGACAGTGTACACAAGGATTATTTGTTTCTTCTTCTTCCACAGGGGCAGTTACCTTTGTAATCTTGAACTTTAGCTGTTGCATTAAGTTTAGTTTGCCTTGTTTCATTTTCTTCTCTCAAGGGGAATAAAGTCTGTGTGTTGTCTTGAAAACCAGGGCCGCTTAGCTGGGGAGACAGAGAATTATTATTATTATTATTATTAGTCTGTTTTTTGTTAGTAAAATTTGTCATTCATCTACTGACACTTTGGAGCCCAGGTATATTGAGATAACAGAATGGGGAGAAGTGGTTTACTGATGGTAGAGACCTCTTATCTTTACAAGAGAATTCCTGAGAATGAAGCATTTCCCCTCCCCAATACCTTTCTACAGTCATGTGTGGGGCATGCCCAATTTCTTTTACCACAAGAGTGGTAAAGATCGTTACCTGAAAGAAGTATTTTCGGAATTTTTCAAGTTGAAATACAACAAGGAAATGTTATTTTTCCATTCCAATCCTGGAGCTACATTGGGAATACACAGTGAAGACACATAGTGTCCACAAATTATCTTAGAGTATGATGGAAATGTATTGAAATTATTAAATCATCGTGTAAGATGAGTTATTCCCTGTCCACTTTGCTATTTATTCAGTAGTTTGTACTTTTCCCATCAGTTCTTTATTTCTCCCCATTTCCGCACCCTTTACCTCTTCCTCAGTTCCCAGCTGTCTCAAAAATCACCTAATATCCCTGAAAAGACTGCCCTGATTTGGAGGAGGACATTGGTAAAGCAGCAATGTTACCTTCTCTTCCAGGTCTTCTATTTGTTCTTGTTGTTTGCCAATTTGAACATGCTGCGCTTGAACTCTTTTGAGAAGGGATCTGAGGTGGTTGTCCTGCTGCTCGACAAAGTTCTGCAGGGAGAGCATAAACAGTGGCTTGGTTTCAAAGGACCATGAAGCAGAAGGAGAAAATTTAATAGTGCAGGTCCATGAACTCTTGATCAAGCTCTGACTGATGTATTTCAGTGTGGAGTCAGTGTTTTACAGCATGAGAAATATGCAGAGTACAGAGGATCTAGGCCAGGGATAGGGAATTTGTGGCCTTCCAGATTTTGGTGGATTACACCATGCTGGCTGTGGCTGAGGGATGTTGCGAGTTTATTTCATAAAATGTAAATACTGCTTTATTGTAGAAAAAACCCTCAAAGCGCTTGGTGAGTAAGTTCACCAACATCTGAAGGGTTGCAGGTTTTCCACCCCTGATTTGGATTTGTAGTATATGTGCTCTAAAGGTAAAGGTACCCCTGACCGTTAGGCCCATCGCAGACGACTCTGGGGTTGCGCGCTCATCTCGCTCTGTAGGCCGAGGGAGCCGGCATTTGTTCACAGACAGCTTCTGGGTCATGTGGCCGGCATGACTAAGCCGCTTCTGGCGAACCAGAGCAGCACACAGAAACGCTGTTTACCTTCCCGCTGGAGCAGTACCTATTTATCTACTTGCACTTGACGTGCTTTTGAACTGCTAGGTGGGCAGGAGCTGGGACCGAGCAAAGGGAGCTCACCCGGTCGCGGGGATTCGAACCGCCCACCTTTTGCTCGGCAAGCCCTAGGTTCTGTGGTTTAGACCACAGTATCACCCACGTCCCATATGTGCTCTAGTAGGCTACAAAAAGAGATTTTGTGTAAAATATTGCTGATAGAAGAGCTTCTTTGGATTTAGGGTCCTTGCAGGAGGCTTTCTGCTAGGAGAAGGGCACCTCTCAGTGCAAGCCAATTTCACCAAAGGCTGTTGTCTTAGCATGCTAAACAGAAGGTATATCCTCAGTCTTATTTGGAGGGATGGTTTTGTATAGTCAAATCATGCAACAATCCTGTTTTGCTTCATAATCTATGGATCTTGTACTCTGCCCTAAAAAAGCAGTGGATTAAGAGCTGGTTTCTTGGAACTGAAGCAAAGCTGCTGTCTGGGACTTGCTTTTATTATCTGTTTTGGCATCCCACCCCATCTCACCCCCTAAAAAAGCAGTCATTTTGCTGGAAAGGACCTTTGATATCCAAAGGGAAGTTTAAGGAGTTCAGTCTTTGAGAATCCACCTGATGCACCCTTCTCGTACTGGTGTGTACACCACTGCTGGCCATCATGGAGAAACTCTTAATTCATTCCTACCCTTTGAGTCCTGATTGTCTTCTATTTCCTTTCCCCTGGCTGGCTGGCTGAATTCATAAGCCATTTCCTTCTACTTCAGCAACAACAACAACTCATACAAACCTGACCATCTTGTACAAAGTTACTCAGTGAACTGTCATCAGAGAGGCCCTGCTCCAACTGCTCTTAGTAGTTTTGCCATATCTTGGAGACATCCTGCCCCCAAAATGTATGCTTTGTGCTTGTGCTTTTATTGTTTGGGCAGCAGCTGAACACCATTTCATTTTTCTAGGCTTTTTGCTTAAATTATTTCATGATCTTTTACCGCTTTGCTGATGTTGCTTTTGGCACTTGGTTGATACATTATCAGTTGCAGCTGAGTTACTCGTTGTGTTGATTGTGGAATTATTATTTTTAAAGCAGCAGTCTGTTTTAAATTTTGTAAGGACAAGCTGTGAAAAGTACAATATTTAAAAATAAATGAGGCTTTCCTATGTCATAGTCTTATGTTATGAAAGGGAAGCGGTTCCAGCCACCCAGGGTACTCTGATTATCTTCCTTTATGGACTGTCCAGGAAAAAAATTCTAGGCGCAAAAGCATGTGGCTTACATGTTTAGAACACTGACCATCCCTGGCTTTTGTTAAAATAATTCATCTCATTCTGGTTGCTTTTTGGTAAAGCACAGAGCATACGTGAGCCATTGTTTAGTTCCCTAGATATTCCGTGCAGTTTGCTGTTGATCCAAAACTATCCTCCAAAAAACTAATTAAAGAAGAAAAAGTCATGAAGTATCCTTGTACCACAGGATACATTTTACATAAATGCACAACAAACATTTAGGAACAAATTTACAGTAGAGAACCAGTTGTTGCTTTCTTGATAACTACGTTCATTTCATTCCTCAAAATGCAGTGATGTGGCTTTCCTGGAAATGTTTGAAGTGGAAAACATTCCTGTGCATAAACAAGGGCAGTTTGCACTGGAAAATGTTTGCACTGGAAAACCCAGCCAGATGGGCGGGGTATAAATAATAAAATTATTATCATCATAGCAGGGGTATCCAACATGGTGCCTGCAGATATTGTTGGTCTCCTAACTGCCATTAGCCCCAGCAAGCATAGCCAGTAGTCAAGGTGATGTCTAGCAACATCTGGAGAGTACTGCTCTAAGGCATCAGAACATTTTCCTATACAGTACTGTACTTTCCAATACACTTGTACTTGAACACAAATTGACTTGATTTGCAAAGGAATTTTTGGCTATTCCTTCCCCGAAGAGTGATCTAATTTAGCATCTTAATTTTTAAAAACATTTTAGCATCTTAATTTTACTTATCACTGGAAACAAAGCAAAACTGTATGAAACAGCCACTAGGTAAAGTATATTTTACATCACTGATATTAGTGCAACAAGGTCATAATTGACTTTGGAGCTTTGGATTCCATTAGTAGCATGGAAACCATTTCAGGTAAATTTGGAAATATTAAATCTATTCCATACCTGCTACTTACTTTAAGTGCTGCAATTTCTTCGGGCTCCTGATTTTCAATCTGGGTCTGAAACAATTTGGTTATTTTTTCTTCCAGCTTCCCTACTTTATCCTGAAGTTGAATCTTCTCCCGTGAAAGTATTTCTATCTTGGAATTCAGCTCCACAGAGATGTTCCTTATCTCTTCGTTATTGACTTGCAACATAGAAGTAGTGTTTTTTAGCTGTTCCTCGTCTTCTTTTATCTCATTGGCTTGTTTCGAGATCTCATTAAAAGATTGGTCAAAAAGGTGAAGTTTCTGAAAGATGTCATCCATCTGGCCTTTGGTCTTGATGGCAAAGTCTTTAAGGCCACGCCCAAGCTGGAGCAGCCCGTTGGCTAGTAATTGCACATCATGTAACATAGCAAACCTTGGCTCAGGAGATTCTGGTACAAAGGAAAACTCATCTCCATCTATTCTTGTTGCAGCAACTAGAGAAATTACGAAGAGTAATACTAGTATTATTTTCATTTTCTTTCTGTTTATGATAGCCTTTGGAAAAGAAAAGCTTTTCCAAGCTGCTGTTAGCCGTTCTATGTGATAGTCCTTGCAACTTAGTTTGCCTATAAATATATGCTGCTCAGACCTGAAAAGTCAAGTTGAGGTAGTTGATCATTAAACTTAAATGAGTGTAACCTGTGTCCTCGTTAGGCTTTTTGGACACCAAAACAGACAAACCAACCTGACTAGCCATTTATGACAGGGACTTTTTTTTTTATCAGCTGTGAGGAGAGATCAGCTGCAGGCAGTACTTAAGTGATGAGGCTTCTAGTCAATGACTACCTAGCCCTCCTATAAAATTTGACCAGTTGCTCAAGAACTTTGCTGAGACAACTTGTATGTTTTGGTGTCAGCTACAGGAGTACTATGCATGGTGCTGAACCTCCACCTTGATCTCCTTCAACGGTGCATAGCCTTCTTTTGCCCTGGCTGCCTGGGGAGCCTGGGACTACTGATCTCTCCTTGCTTGGCCTATCATTCCTTCTTGGTGGTTGGCATCCGTGTGGATCATAGTAAAAGTTGAAAAGGGAGGATATATTAGGAAGGATGCCACCATGTTGTTCAAGCAGAAGTGATTTCCTCCATACTTTAGGACACCATTGAACCCCAAAGGGGATATAAAGCTGTAAGGGATTTATAAGACTCTGAAAAGTTCATGTGTAGGAGTACACTATAAGAAGGTCATACCTATGACAAAATATACCATGCACTGGCAGAATGCTATATGAGGAGTGTAGGGTTTTAAAGAGATAATTCATTGCAAAGACAAGGAAAGGCACATAGCCCAGAAGGGAGAAAGAGGATCACTTCCAGGATCGTCACAAGAAAGTATGATGGCATTTGTCCTATTGGATGCAAGTTGTGGGGTTTTAACTCTTTGTTTCTCTCCCTCTTGCAACACTGTCAACCCCAGGGCAGGATTCTATTTGCTAAGCTTTTAAAAGCAAATAGATGCATGTTGAACAGAAGGAGAAACTTTTAACCTTCTAACCAAAACAGTTTCGCTTTGGATTGAAATGTTCCTCACCTGTACTTAAGAGAAAATACCACCAAAGAAGAGTGCAAGGGGCATAAGTCCTTTTTTTTTTTATGGCCAGTACCAATATGAGTCCCCAGAAGAACACTGTTCTTAATATAGGGATCACACAGCTTGGCTTCGCAAATACATTTAAATCCCTCTCTTAAGCTACTAATAACACTTAATGAAAGTTTTATGAGAAAAGTACATTTTAAAGTAAATTTTCATATCCATTTTTATTTGAAAAAGCACGTTGAGGAGCAAATGTATTCATGCCAGAATGAGGTAATTTAGGAGAGCCACAAAAAAGGGGGAAAAAGAAGTATTTCAGCAGCCGCCTGCAGAAATAATAAAGAGAACATTGATTAAGCCAGATGACCAATGGGGATGAAATTCCGGCGCTTAATTCAGCATGAAGGTCTTCCTTTGAAACAGAAAGAAAGCCCTATCTGCTCACTTCAGCTTGCTGCAGTGTATGGAATGCAGAAAGATAATGTGGCTCTATAGTCCACCATTCTGTGTAGCACAAGAACAATGCAGAGTCTATTGGGTTTGATTCGAAGGTATATCTGCTACTGACAACAGAAGGTTCCTTCCTCTGACAGAGGGAGATTCTGTCTATTTGGAGAATATGAGCCTTTGGAAGCAACCCATTGAGAATGGAGTGTCGTGGTGAGTCAGGGAAGTTGTGGCTCAGTGGAATATGGAATATGGCAGGCGTAGGCAAACTCGGCCCTCCAGATGTTTTGGGACTACAGCTCCCAACATCCCTGACCACTGGTCCTGTTAGCTAGGGATGATGGAAATTGTAGTCCCAAAACATCTGGAGGGCTGAGTTTGCCTATGCCTGGAATATGGTATATGCCAAACCATTGGTGGAGGATCTGTAGCAAGTGACTCAGTGATGTTTTGTGTTTGGGAGTTTGTGAAAAGCCAAATGGTAAAACTTAGACGCGTCATGTCAAAATGGGCAAAGATATATTGAGAAATAATGCATTCTGACTCTCGTTTTCCCTTGCTGTTTGCAGGCTACTTCTCTTACATGATTTCTCTTTGCATTTTTTATGTTTCAGAAGTATAAGAAAGCAGGCAGAAAAGATGCAATAATGTGCATCGTTGGCCTCACACAACACACTGCTACATTGCTCCAAAGTTTATAACTGATGCCCAAGACACTTTGGTATATCTTCATAGTTGTATGATGCAGTATTCATTATGTAATATTCATTTATTTTTTACAGAAACCTTCTGTATGTCTATCCTCAAAGCCTTAACTTTGCCAACCGTCAAGGATCTGCTCGGAATATCACTGTAAAAGTCCAATTTATGTTTGGAGAGGATCCAAGTAACGCAATGCCGGTATGGTGTGTGTGTGTGTGTGTGTGTGTGTGTGTGTGTTTGCTTTTGACTTTTGTGCCCTAATTGTTTTTCAGGTGTTGGATGCATGCTACATGTGGCGTTCTGTAGATCTAGCCTGAGTAGTCTGCTTTGGACTCAATGTTGCTTCCTACCCTTTCTGCAGGCCCAGCAAGAATAGAGCACAGTTCATATTAAATTTAAATATTCATGACATGTTATTTTATGACATCTTGTGTCCTCCAATTTATTTACTAATTGAATAAATTTATACCCCACTTTTTCAGAAGTCTTCTCTACAAAGTGGCTTCCACAGCATCTAAGATTGTTTTACACACATTAGAATATACAAATAAAAGATAAGAATTGGGGGAAAAAATGCTCCATGCATTTCAAATGAGAAAAGCAGCATTAAAATCCAAGGACCGACAGCACAAAATCCTCAAGATAATGTTACCCACTAACAGCTGGTGAAGAAAGAGCTGTCTTCAAAGGTCTTTTATACATTGTAAAGGACCCTCAACTGGAAAGTCTCACAATTGAGTGGCCATTGCTGAGAAAACTCTTTTCTGGATAGCCATAATCATGAGCCCCTACACAAGCCTAATCTAACCTTTCAAACTTCATGGTGCGTTTGGGCTTGTGCTTATGTAGTTCTTGCCATTTCTTTTCTACGATGCTCATACAACCAACATTGCTTAATGTGCAGCAGAGAAATGGAATCGCCTCTCTCATGAAATTGTAGCAACCATCATTCCAGCCAAATCACGTCCTGCCCATTTTCCATTTGTAATCATTGTTTAAACTGACGTGCATCATAATTATATAAAATGTAGTCTTACCAGTAGAGGTTCTGGTGTTCATTTTGCCTTGGCAAAATTGACCGACATTTCACTGATGTTGGTAAAGGCTCTTGGCTCTTAGCCTAACTTCTAGAACTCAAAAGCAATGTTAAATTGTCTTGTTTTATTTCCTTTTGCAGGTAATATTTGGAAAATCCAGCTGTGCTGAATTTTCAAAAGAAGCATATACAGCTGTTGTGTATCATAACAGGTAAAATGCAAAAGACGTCACGTGACACTATGTGCACAATGCAGTTACAATTGGAAGCAAGACAGTAGTGGTTATAACAGTGTACCAATAGCTAGGTGCATGGTGCTTTTGATTATAAGTATAAAGCAAAACAGTGACAAAGGCCTTGATGTTTCTGCAGTCCTCTTGGTCTGTGGACAATGTAATGTGGGATATATGCCATTTTTTGATAATGGTTTTATCACTATGTGTATTGATCCTGTGATTGGCAGCTGGTACAAAACATGGCATTTAGACTTCTTTAAGAATCCTATGGGGAGCATGGCATGTCAAGTACATGAACACTGCAGCAGCCTTTATGTACGATTTTTTTCTCAGGTGCTCTCCGTTTCATGAAACCAACCACCACCATGGCACTAATGCTTTCACTGTGTTGTTTGTAAGCATACGCTATGACTAAATACAGAAAAGCTACCCATTAGGATGATGTATATGTATAAACTTTTAAAATATGAGTATTGTGCTATCATGCACAATATATTTTGGATGAAGAATCTGACATTTTTGTTTCATTGAAATTTACGCTTTGGAATGCCAAATTCTAAAAGTCCTGGCAACAGATAACCTTGCAATATGGTCTGTCTTGCAAAAGGCACTGAGCTTTCTTGTTTGTTTATTTATTGAATCAGATATTCAGTACATCTAAAAATTAAATCCTGCAATTGGTGGACATTCCATTCATAAATGGAACTTGACCCAATGCTCAGTTTATTTGGGTTAAAGTTTATTTAGTTTGTGAGGAATTTTTTCCCCTTATAATTATGTCCAGAATTTTTGTCGTCCTCTTCAAGCTATTAATAGTGGAATATATTGGATGGAGCCCAATGAAGGGTAAAAGTGGTTTAGGACTGAGGCCAAAATGCCCAAATCCTATTAAGGTTTAAAGTGTCCAAATCTCATTTATATGTTATTTGGCTTTTTCAGGGATTTGTCATTCTTTTGACTTTTAAATCACATGCAGCTTGATCCTGGTGGCATGCCAAGTATTCTAGCAAAACACTTAGAAAAAGGGTCAATAAATTTTGGCTGGTTTAGGTAGCCAGGGTTGAGCAGTCAGCAAAAATTGGAGGCTCCCAGGACCCTGTCCCTACCCACTGGGAGCAGGGGAGGGCTTCAAAGGTACTCATCTGCACAATGTGAGACTGGGTTCATCTATTTTGTACTGCATTTCTGAACACTTACACTGTCTCCAAAGTGCTGTTCATCACATACAAGGTCCAGCTCTCTTCCTTGAGCTAGTAGCTGATGCTGTTGGAGAGCAGGGCAAGGAATTTTCCAGAGTGCTGTGATATGTTTTGAAGGTGCTCAAAGCACTTCTGATGTTACCTGAGTCATGAGTACATTTATCTTACTGTAATGCAGTGTTTTTTGGTTTTTTTAAGTACTGTAGTGGTTTACCGTTTCTCAAGCTTGCCTCCCTGTCTGTAACTTGCTAAGAGAGAACAAACAGGCCATTAAATATTTAAAGAATAGCATTCCTATATCATTAAACCAAGATTTGATCATGCAAATTTGCCTCTTATATTAGAAATGCTAAATTCACCTGAAGGTCTTATAGAATTTGGTTTTCTGGAGTTAGGGAACTAAGTGGGAATTATTAATTCTTCTTTTTTTCTTTATGCTTCTCACACCATAAGATTCTATTTAAATGCAGAAGAGCAGCCGGCAGTTAAGCATGGCTGTATTCTAGGCTTCGAAAGCTTTATACTTACAGATGAATTTTTTTATCTTAAAACAGATCTCCTGATTTTCACGAAGAAATCAAGATTAAACTCCCTGCTACTTTAACTGACCACCACCACCTGCTTTTCACTTTTTATCATGTCAGTTGCCAACAAAAACAAAATACTCCTCTGGAGACGCCTGTTGGATACACGGTAAAAGCACACAGAGAAACAAACCATTTATCCCACAAATCCTCTCTCTCCCTTTTACGCCCCACTCCTTTCATTTTTCATCTGGGAGCAGGAAGGGAGGAGGAGAGCCACAGAATTTTTTTTATTTCGTTTGGTTCAGGTTATTTCTGTATTCTAGTAATTTCTGACTCTTTGATGTCACTGAGAGCTCAGCGTCGTGTGACTAGGTTGAAAGTGACCACCCACCGTGGTACTCAGAATTGGGAACAAGAACAGAGACAAGCTGGCAGTGGACAGAAAGATATATTCTTGTGGATTGCAAATAATACAATTTGGGTTTATTCTGAGTTTCGTTCTATAAAAATGAACCTTTGTGTTCCCACTTTAGTTTGAAGCGTTTCTTTCATGCTTTCCATTTTCTAGTCTTATATTTCCTTCCGCCTCTTCCTTTTAGAGCAACGGTAGGGAACCTGTTTCAAACCAAGGGCCACGTTACCTCATGGACAGCCTTCTGGGGGGCACATGCATGGGGCAGGTGGGGCCAGGGCCAAATGTTTCTGGAGCAACAGATGTTTCTTGCCTTTGTCCAGTAGACTCCATTCCAGCCCAGCAAAAATCAGAGCACCATACAGGCATTACCACCGTTCAGAGACTAATATAAGCAAGGCAAAGGCACTTAAGAAGGATGCAGGGCAGGGCCAGTGAGGGGCACTGTCTGGGGAAAGGGGACATGGCCTGGCGAGAACCTGGGGGCCTCTGGGATTGTGGCCTGCGACCCTGTTTTGGAGTAAGAATTGGAGCATATACCACTCAACACAAAGTCCATGCACTCTTGAACCCAAATCCTTGTGATTCTGATAGTGTGTTGTTCTTATCCTGTACCTTCAGATAAGTTTTATTATTATTATGTTGGATGAATTGGACATACCCTGTGTACAAATGAGATATTTTGCCTTCTTTCCCCCGTTAACAGTGGATACCAATGCTTCAGAATGGACGGTTGAAAACCGGTCAGTTCCTTCTCCCTGTTTCCCTAGAGAAACCACCTCAGGCGTACTCTGTGCTCTCTCCAGAGGTCAGTAGTTCCTTCTGCTAATGATAATTGAAGCAGTAGGCATCTGAAATATTCTGATCCCTTTCTTAGACAGCAAGCTTTAAAAGATGTTCATATCTTCCATGTCTAATATTGAATGGAGTGCCTGCTTTTGCTAGACCTATCTGTAATCGATATTTCTGCTTTGTCATTGTAATCAGACTCCTGAATGCTTTTATTATTTGCTTCCTCCCCACCCTCAGGTGCCCCTGCCTGGAATGAAGTGGGTAGATAACCATAAGGGAGTTTTTAATGTAGAAATAGTTGCTGTGTCATCTATTCATACACAGGTATGTATTCATAGCAGTCCCTACAAGAGAAAGGCTTGAATCCAATCTAGATATAATTTCTCCTATCTCTCTCACTCACAGAGAAATGTATTTTTTGTTTAGACAAAATATATAATTCGCTTTTGAAGTAACATGGCTTAGTATATTTTGTTGGGACTTTTGTCTATGCAGGACCCTTTCCTTGACAAGTTCTTTGCCCTTGTTCATGCCCTGGATGAACACATGTTCCCTGTGCGGATAGGCGACATGAGAATTATGGAAAACAACTTGGAGAACGAACTGAAGAGCAGTATTTCGGCACTGAATTCCTCTCAGCTGGAGCCTGTGGTGCGATTTCTCCATCTCTTGCTTGACAAGCTGATCCTCTTGGTTGTACGACCTCCTATCATTGCTGGCCAAATAGGTATTTTATTTATGCTTGGGTTTTTGAAAACATGATAGACCTTGGAGCGAACCCTCCCTACTGCATTAATTCATCCACACTTTAAACTGCCATAATTACATGTTGACGTTTTGTTCTTCATGGACATGTTCAAGGATGTTTTCATTGTTCACCTGTAACATTTGGGGCTATCACTGATTGGAAGTCTCGATGAATGGAATTAGGAGATGTTTGGAGTTCACCATGTGTGTGTTTCTGTGTTACTCTCAGTAGAGTACGCCAGAGCTGGCTTGACGTTCAGTGCCTTCTCCTTTGTACTGTAGTGCGGATAATTGAAATTACTATGAAGTCATCCCAGGGACAACAATATATTATATTTGGCCAGTTATGATACATGTAACACTTCCCCATCCATCACAATACCTTTTCATATGTATCCCTTATGTATACTTGTTAGCTATGGTAGAGGATTGAAATGGAAGGGAGCTAAACATTTTGACTGCGACTTCCAGTTGGTGTCCTTTGATCAGTGGGGGTGTCCATTAATGGACGAGGAGGAGAGGCAATTTCTTTCCTTTTGCCACTCCTAACACCTTAAAAAAAATCAGCTTCAGGCAGTTGAGAGATCTTCCAGAACAGGGTGGAAGGTGGAATGGGGGGAAGTGTAGGGGAAGGAAGAAGTGACAGAAATTATCTCTCTTCCTATTCCGTTAGCAGACACCTCTGCTGCATCTAAAACCTTTTTGTGACCACAGTGCACCAATTTGGATTCTACTCTTTCTGGTTAGCATGCTGCCTGAACCATTTCTTACCCAATTCCTTGTTGGAACTTATAATTTATGCTATATAAACTATTCAGCATCCTAGAAAGTCTTAATAAATCAAGTGCTTGCTCTCCCCGCTAAGGGTTAAATTTCATAATACTTAAGCTACTCTGGAAATGTTTTTCATGAGAAATGAATGTGGGCTTAGCTTAAAAAAAAAAGCTGTTGTGATAGTGAGGTTACCTATATTGATAAATGCTGAACTGCTTGATTTATTTATTTTTAGTAAATCTGGGTCAAGCGTCTTTTGAAGCCATGGCCTCTATTGTAAACAGACTCCACAAAAACCTCGAAGGAAACCAAGACCAGCATGGCAGAAACAACCTCCTCACCTCATATATTTATTACGTTTTTCGCTTGCCAAACACCTCTCCCAATTCACCATCTTCAGGTGGGTTCTCTTTTTGGGGGGTAAAGGTTGGAACTGAGGGGCATGCTTCTCCAGGTGTTAGTCGTCTTGGGGTTTGTCAGAGGCTGAGCCTAGTTTTAGCAAGAGAACATGTGAGTTAGTTGACAAAAAGCACAGTGCACACAACCATCGCTTGGATGCACCAGAGTCCCTAATGCTTCCCAGTTTCCACCTCCACACGGTTGCTCCCCATCTCCTGTCCACCCATGCTGAGTGGTCCCACAACCTCAAGGAACATATTTCTAGGGGATACAAGCAGCTTCAGCTGGAGTGGGTGGTGTCAGAAGATCTCCCTTCCCTTGTGGTTTGTTGAATCAAGGCTCATCTGTTCAGGCTCTTTTCCTCACCACTGAGTAAGTGCAGGCATCTTGATGAAGGCACTGCATGAATTCCAGACCAGCTGGGGCTTCCAGTGCCTCCTTTGAAAGCTTCAAAGGCAATCATTTTCAGAGACCGATGGGAAGTGAAGGCAACACAAAGGATGACTTGAACCCAAGGGACCTGCCAACAGCGCCATTGAGGACGCTGTGGAAGTGACTGGTACTTGAAGTGGAACTAGTGTTGGTTTGGTATACGTTATTCCGCCTCATGCCTCCTTGTTGAGTTATACTGTGCTTCATTGTTTAGGTTCAGGTGGCTTGGGAGGATCAGTCCATTACGCCACCATGGCTCGTTCTGCTGTCAGACCAGCAAGCCTAAACTTGAATCGCTCCAGGAGCCTTAGCAACAGCAACCCAGATATCTCTGGCACTCCAACCTCGCCCGATGATGAAGTCCGATCAATCATCGGGAGTAAGGTAGGATTGCACTTAGCTGAGGGTGATAGCCCAATATTTTTAATTCCTAAACCCTATTCAGGTAGTTAATCTCTTACATTTTCAAACCCCACTGAGGTCCAGGCAGTGTTATCTGCCCTAAATTGGATGCAGCTTGTACTTTAAAATGTGCCGCGATGTTCTTGCTTGTTCAGGAAGGCAGCGCTCAAAGGGTGTTTGCAGTCGTTAGCAGGTTACTTTTCAAGGTGCTCTACCTGTACAAGGACAAAGGCAACGAAAGAGCAGACTCTTTTATTGTGAAGTTCTGACCTTTACTTTTTCCTTTCGGTCCAAATTATTTTATGAGCCACTTTAAAAGCGTTTTACACCCAGTTACATGAAAAATCAATCGAAGGCACTTTATTTTTTTAAGTCATCGCCCCGTTTGTATAAAAGGGCAAGATGGAAATGGAAGCACCAAGGAATTTAATAATTTTTGAATGATTAAAAAAAACCATTTCACCCCAAAAAGTGACACGTGTTGTTCTTATTAAACATTAAAGGCTTTGACTGGGAGAGCTCAGAATATTTAAGTATCCATTTGATGGTCTTGCTAATTAAACCACCTTGACCTTTTTGTGAAATGCCTGAGGGAGTGATGTGCACATGGAATTTACCTTGGATATGATAAGTTTTATGTGAGCTGCCTGGCCTTGAGTAATTTGGCAATAAAAATGGATAGAAGCTTTCTTACAGAAACATATTCTGCTTTTTAATAAGCTGGAAGGAGTAATGCGACAGCCTGGCAGAGATATTGTAAAACTCTGGGCACATCAAAATCAGTGGAAACCCTCAATTTTGCTTTGGAAGTGTCATGATTTCTTTCCCCGACCAAAATCTGATTTGGGGCTTTTTGCTATGATTCTGAAATCCTGTTTTGCTTTAGAAAAAAATATAGATTGGGTCCAAATTATGGATTGGATTATTTCAGTTCCTGCCCTGCACCCAGGGGGTGAGGGAGTGTGAGGTGGGAGCTGGGGGAGTGGAAGGAGGAATACAATACAAGGACATGATTGGCACTCAGACTGGCCAATGGATTTTTAAAAGGCAGGTGGAACACCAACCAACCACAAACTGCATCTTACAGAAATTTTGATTGCAGGACTGTTCTTGCCCCAGCTGTTGAACTTTATTTACTGCGAGTTTCTAAACTCCTAAGAGTGTTTTCATATTGCTTCATGGTTTATAAATTTTGACTCTGAGACCTGGATTGTTTATTCATTATTTATCTGCCAATGTTTGGTTCAGGGACCTTTGGTCCAAGTATAAAATGCCAACAGGATGGCTATAGCAATTTACAGGGGACTAGAAAACTTTTGAAACAGCAATTTGGGTGCATCTGTGTGCAGATATCGATTTTTGTGTGCCCAGAAATGTATGTGGACAGGTTTCATTACTCTGAGCTGGTGAAGAGAAGCCTGATGAGGCTACTTTCTTTGAAGTAATAAGATAAAATCCTTGTTATACCAACCGCTCAATAGTCTCAGTGGAGAGGTTATGTTAAGTAATATGTTTGAACATTGAATATGTAAGTTTATGTTTAAAGTCAATGGCTAGAACAAACACCATTAGATGTACTAAATGTTTAATGGTTCTTGTATTTGTTTAAAAATTCACAAAAATGGTTTCTTTAAGATGTAATCAATGACCCAAATTCAGGCAAAATTAGCTGCTCCTAAATCTCACTGAAATTTATAAGACAAGTTTAACTGCAACTCATTTATAAGTTCCACTCATTTCAGTGTGACTGACTTTATTTGGATCTGGGCCTATAGTTACAGCATCATACACATATTTATGAGTGCTTTTCTTATATATTTTTTAAAATCAATAAAAAAAATAGGGAAATTTGATAAGATGCCCTTTATTGAAGACATCCATCTTTTTAGCATGTGAGCGCGTGTGTGATGGGGAAATGAGAGAAATAACCCTTTGGACTAAAACGTAGGTAGTTTTAACAGTACTAATTGTATGGAATACACTCTGGGTTTCTTTGAAGGAATTGATTTTCTCTGCGTTTTCCTGTACTGTGTGGCATGCAACATGTAACATTTCTTTCCTTTCCCTGCTGCTTTCTGTTATATGCCCAGGGCTTAGACCGCTCCAATTCCTGGGTAAACACTGGTGCTCCAAAAGCTGCCCCATGGGGATCCAACCCCAGTCCAAGTGCAGAGACTACACAGGTGGTGTCTACATTAGAGCTTTCTTCTTGCCTTGGCTACTATTACCTTATAGAACATCTTATCCTCCCGAGTTTACACTGTGGTCTCCTTGACTTGCCTTTATCTATTTTGAAGAGTTCCATGTCCTCATTCCCCACCCCCAGCACCACCACACTGCATGAAAAACCACCCACTTGCCACCACTGTTTGTCCTCGCTTTGTGTTTCAGTTGTTTCTGGGTTTGTGAAATGATGATGCTATATAATTTAATTTCCTTTCCCCCTTTCTTTATAATCTACCACTACAAAAATTCTGAATTGTTAGGTGACACATATTCCTAATGGAAACATGTACTAAGAATCCCCTCCCCCAAATATAAGTTGTTGTTGTTGTTTTGGTAACATGCCACTTTTCATTTTCACCATTTTCATAATGCATTTTTTTTCCTCATCCACCCCTCCTCCTTTTGTCATGTGAATAGGTGACTGCAATTAAAACGGCATTGTTGTGTATGTTAGATCTTAATCTCAGCTAATAACATTTGGATACAGTGGGGAGGGTGTCATAAGAGATACCTTTGTTGCAAAGTATGAAATATTTGGAGTCTTGACACTGTAACCTTATAGGTCTTGACACTATAACCTTAGCTGCTTGCTTCTTAACACTGCATGATTATTGATTTATTGGATATTTGTACCAACAAAGGAATGGGTTGAAGTCAGTTGAACATACCTCTCAGCTTTATCTACAAAAGCAAAACAACATCTTTTCAACCCCAAACAAATCTGATAGAATTGAACATCATTCTAGCCAAAAAGCCGTCAAAATTAAAACCAGATTTAAGAATCAAAAAAGTCACATTTAGTGCATTGGTATTGGATTATACTTTGGAGGTAAGAACCCTGCATTTGTTTAAGCTGGAAGGAATGGCGCTGATATCTTAAAGTACACTGTTTTCTTAATATATACGTCAAGAGAATATAATGCTGCTACACACCAGTTTCATGCTTTGCAACAATACATATCTTTATGCAAAAACTTTGCACTTGATTTTAAAGAAGCCTGAGCCCTAAACCCTGCAGATGTTTTGCTAAACAAATTGCATTTGAGACTTTGTAAGCTATGGCTTATGAAGTCAGGGTCAAGCTCCCCTTCTCTCCCCTCTCCTCCTCATGCCGCACAACAGCTTTGGTGTAAAGATCCTGGTTTTTGTATCAAAACCGAGGAACTCTGTCTTAATGTCGGTTAACAAACAAGGAAAATAAGCCGGGATTAGATCACATCCTGACTTAGTTCCTGATTTGTTAATGAACATTAAGCCAGAATTCCACAGCGTGGGTGTTCATTCAGTGGTTTCCATGCCCAAATTGGATGGAGGTGGAAGGGAAGGATGCTTGGCCCCTGCACTCATTCCCAGCTTCATACATCTTGTCTTATGATTCCTCAAATGATTGTCCGGACTGGGCCTTTATTTGACGAGATGCACAAAAGAATTTGATACCTGGATGTTTCTGTTTACTTTGTTGATGTTCGTAGCCCCCAAACTGCAAATGTCACCTGCAACCAACTTTAATGTGCTGTCATCATTCATTCATTTCCCACTCTGTAGGCCGCAGACCGAAGTTGTAATCGTATGTCTTCGCACACAGAGACGTCAAGTTTCTTACAAACATTAACAGGACGGTTGCCAACTAAAAAGGTAGATTTTAGTGAAGACAATTTAAACATTGTATGGAAGGCAGGGAAGTTTTAAGTCATTATAAACCATTAAAGCCATCACACTTTAGTGGGTTCCCTGCCTTTGTGTCTTGATTTTGAGAGTGCTGAGTCAGCTTAGAGCCAAGGTTGCTCAGTTAAAAACCAGGGCTTTAGGCTGTCATAAAACGTTTCAGAAGATTCACTTATGGTTTCAAAAGAGTTCCCCTCTCCAATTTTAAACAATTCTCTCAAGAATAGTACAAAGATTTAAGCAGATGCGCAAGAAATGTGGGCTCTGCAGTGGCTCCCACTGGCCATTTTCTGTCTTGGTTTTTCACAAGTTTTGGAGTGAAAGATGAGAGCTAGAAAAAACTCCTGCCATCTTTTCCATCATCCTTCCCATTCATTCTTTACTTCTTCTAAGGGAGGGGAAGAGAAAATAGCTAAACTTTTATCCTGCTAGGAACCTCCCCAAGCAGGTCTTTTCCACCTACCGCAACGGAAGGTAGGGGAGGAACAAACAGGAGCTCCTTCCTGTCAAGTACCCTCCAGGGATGAACTGTTTCCCTCCTCTGCCTCCTATCTTATTCCAGGAGGCTGTTTGTGCTTCAGAACTGTATCTTACATTTAGCTTCAGCAGCACTCTACCCACGTGCCAAAGCATAAATTGCATTTTTAACATCGCTGAGGGAAGTGTTGTTCTAATGTTGCAGGGGCCTCATGGTTCCATAGAATAACAGAATTGTAGAATTGGAAGGGGACCCTGAGGGTCATCTAGTCCAACTCCCTGCAATGCAGGAATCTCAACTAAATCATACATGTCAAATGGCCAGCCAACCTCTGCTTAAAGACCTCTCCTCTTCTGTCTTATGCCCCTCTGGTAAGATCAAAATGAGAGAGAGGAGCATGTTGTCAGAAGCAGCTGTGATAGCATGATTATGTTCACTCTAGCAGTGTCCCTCTCACCTCCCCCAGGCTTAGGAATGAACTACTTCCTTATGAAAGCCTGATTTTTAAAAATGAAACAAAACAACAAAACATCCCTACATAATTAGCTGTCAATTATGCCCCTTTGTGGTGCCAAGATAAGAAAAACAAGAGGGAAGGCAACAATTCACGAACCAGAAGAGAGAAGCTCATGATGATTTATTTAGCCTAATGCCTTATGTTTATAATCTTTGCCAGAATCACAGAGCAAATTATAATTTGCTTTGATAAAGTATCATCCTGTGTACCTTAGAGGTTCTCTTTTTCTTGATTCTGTTAAGAAAAGGCTAGGCAAAGTGTTTAAAACTAAAGCAAGCATTTTGAGGGAAAGAGAGTGATATTTTTTTTAAAAAAATCCCACTGATAATAAAATTCTAGACCAAGGTGATGTGAAATATTTCTCACACACAGTACACACTGTGGTCTGATGTTGTTCCCCAAGTATTTCATCAAAGTACATTTACCATTGCTGTTCCCTTCACACTCATTGTTTTGCTTACTCTCATCCTTCACTGTGACTGTGTTCGGACATAAATGCTTAACCATGATTTAGCTTTATGAGAATGAGCTTGGCCTCCCCCTGGACTCGCCACTTCTCCACTTTTTAGATTAAGTACAGTTTAATACGTCATTCAAACCTTAAACTGGTTAATCTTAACTATGGTTAGGGAAAAGAAGCCAACTTCATATTTGTTTCTCTCAACCATAGTTAAGACTTAACCACAGTTCATCCATGTTTGAATGACACAACAAGCTTTGCTTAATTATAATAATAAAAAAAAGAATCAAAAGCTTCCAGATTCCTCTGTATCTCTGCATTGGGGAAGGAGAGAGGGATCATATGAGCTAAGGGAAGCTAGACTTGTTCCTTTAAGTCTAATAATGCTTTAGTATTATGTCCACACCAACCCTGTGTGTCCATTGTTACTGTTGTGGTCTTTTTTAATGGATTGTGTGTTTGAAAATTATCATGCAACTGATACCGAATGTGAATTTGAATCTGGCTAGCTTTTTCATGAAGAACTGGCCTTACAGTGGGTTGTCTGCAGTGGGAGTGTACGTGAGGCAGCTCTCCAGCAAGCGTGGTTCTTCTTCGAACTTATGGTAAGAGAACAAGGAAATCTTCTTCATTTTCTCTCTCTTCTGTTTCACCTTAATTCCACTGATTTCTCAGGTGCTTGTGCTAGTGCAACGCTTGAAATGCCCTTGAATAATTCCGCTAGGTAGTGTGAATTAGAGATGAGACAGGACCTTGGAGGGGAGGGTGGCAGATGGCTTCTCAAAAACAGTTTTGCAGAGTCCCCTCAGTGATGAGAAGGGGCTCAGAAGAGTGTAGAGAACTGTTTGTGGGGGCATCCCCATTGCGAAGGCAGCTGTGAGAATGCTCCATGACTTGGCCTTCTGTGCTGCAGCCATTTTGTTCCAGGTGCTGTGGGTGACGATGGTCAGCATGGTTGGGTGCTGCCAAGGACTACATTCCAGGAGGGGGCCTATTGCCCAGCCCCTGTTATTTACTATCTGTTTATGTTCACTTGTTTTCCCCCAAGTGGGCATGAGCCTTCATCTTCCTTCTGGCCAGTGGTTCAGATTGGGCCCAGAGTGAGAGGAGGAGTGAATGGGGAGCAGTGATGGTGGTGGTGAGAAGCGAGACCACTCTGGAAGGAGATACCACTGAAAGCCTCTTATTCAAGAGCCCCACAAAATTTGGATCCAGCAACGGTTTCATTGCTCACTCTTGCATTGTGGCAAAGCAGGGAACAGGTCTTCTATTTGGCTCTGTGGGGCTTTGACTTCACCGTGTAGGAAGCTTGTCCTATACTGAGTCAGACCTTTGGTCTATCTAGCTCAGTATTTCATACACTGACTGGCAGCAGTTCTCCAGGAATCCAGACTGGGTACATACCAAGCCCTACCTGGGGATTGAACCTGGGACCTTCTGCATGCAAATCAGATGCTGTACCATTGAGCTATGGCCCTACTTACTGTGTAATTTTAAGAAGAAATAAAAAGGGAAAGCATAGCTCAGAAGAAGCAGCAGCAGCTTGGGCTGGGAGCAGGCACACACACACACACACAAGAAATTTGAGAGGACAGGATGTATTTTGCCCCACTTGAAACACCAGGAAATGTTTAGAGGTGAAAATTCTGCCCCTCACCAAACAGGATGGATCTGTAGCTATTGCTGTGACTGGTTTGTGTTAAAGAAAGGCATCAAATCACAGTGCTATCTATCCATGGCTGATTTTTTCCTCCCCACCCTCTCCCCTTACAACTGACTGCAACTTATAATATATGTTCCCTCCAGGTAAAAAGTATGGTGCATCATTTGTATTTTGCTGACAAACTCGATGCTCCAAGGAAGAATCGTTTTCCGGAGCGCTTCATGGATGACATAGCTGCTCTGGTCAGCACAATTGCCAGTGATATAGTCTCCCGGTTTCAGAAGGTAATGGAAGAAGTTCAGCTGTGCTCTTGTCAAAATTTTAACCGCTGATTCTGAACGATAACTTCCAGATGACGCAAGACAGATTCTTGGATGAGGGCCTTAGCATGAAGCCTCAGTGTTTATCTCTGTTCCTTTCCTTTCATTCCCTTCTGCCCCACCCCAATGTAGGATGCTGAAATGATTGAAAGGCTCAACACTAGCTTAGCCTTCTTCCTAAACGATCTACTCACTGTTATGGACAGAGGATTTGTCTTCAGCCTTACTAAGGTGTACTACAAACAGGTAAAGTCTCCGGATAAAAAGAGGTAGGGATGGGTTGGCATGAGGTGAAAGCAGAGAATCTTTGGAAACTGCAGCAGGGAAGGGGAAAGGAGGAGAGTAGGAGGAGAAGGAAAGTTCATCTCTGGAGCAGAATTCGTAAGAGCAGATGACTGGTGGAGTGACAGAAGCTTCACTTTCAGTTGTCAATTTGAAGCTGGTTCCATGGCATTTTCAGGGGAGGCCAGGGCACTCAGCCAGTTTGCCATCTGATGGGAGGGCATTCTACAGAGTGGGTGGTGCGACTACCAAAATGCCTTCTGTCTGGTTCCCTGTAGCTTCACTTCTCTCAGTGAAGGAACCACCAAAAGGCCCTTGGAGCTGGACCTCAGTGTCCGGGCTGAACGATGCAGGTGGAGATGCTCCTTCAGGTATACAGGGCTGAAACCGTGTAGGGCTTTAAAGGTCAGCACCAACACTTTGAATTGTGCTCGGAAATGTACTGGGAGCCAATGTAGGTCTTTTAGGACATGTTATGTGGTCCTGGCAGCTGCTGCCAGTCATCAGTCTAGCAGCCGCATGCAGGATTAATTGTAGCCGTAATTTCCGTGCGGAAGTGGCTTCTGGTGGCCTGTAACTCTTTAACTGTGCTTTCCCCGTCTTTACAAGGTGTCATCCAAGCTTTATTCCTTACCCAACCCGAGCACCCTTGTGTCCTTGAGGTTGGATTTCCTCCGCATCGTCTGCAGCCATGAACACTACGTTACTCTGAATTTACCATGCAGCCTGTTGACACCCCCGGCCTCCCCATCACCTTCCGTGTCTTCCGCAACATCTCAGGTGAGCAGGGTGCCTAGAAAAGACATTTCTTGCCTTGTGGGAAGAACAACCCAGTGTGTGGTGGCAGCACTTGTAGAATGAAGTACCTTTTCCAAGTACTGTTCTGCTTTGAATGTAGGTTGTCCTTTGGTGCTCATATGTGTAATCAGCATCCAGACTCACTGAGGAAAGTGCTTTAAATTATATGGGTGCTGGACAACCAGGAGAACAGAGAGTCTCCTGGGGAAAGGAAAACACCATTTTTGCACATAGCACCTCTGTCTTTACTGGATAAAGCCAGCCAGGTTGACTGGCAGAGGACTAGATGGTACAGCACTCACCAAGCATCCTAAGGTCAGTGTCCACCACGATAATTAAGAGCCAGTCACCTTTTTCCACTTGTGGTAGTCATGTCCCGTTGTGATCAACTATTGGGTAAGAAGAAGAAGACAGATTTATTCTTATTGCACTTAAAAACTATATATATATATATATTCAGAAAATAGAGGTAATTTGTCTCATGTGGTTGTTGCAGCATGCATACTCTATGCAAAATGCTGTAGAGCTTAGATAATTCCAATTTTTGAAAGACTGTGAACCCCGTGCAATTCATGACCAAGCTTACCTGTTGCATACGAATTAAATAAGGTGAACGGAAAGCAAATCTATATTGCACATTTTAATACCACACATTATTGGAACAGTAAAATGTAACTCACAACAGGTATACTATATGTACTGAAGATAATTTAAGCTATTTGTAATTGTGTATACTGCTTGTATATTTCATGCTCCTTGACTTTGTATTTAAGTTGTTAGGAGGAGGAGGAGTATGGAAAAAACTTTATCCTAGGGATGTGATTCTATATTCAGAGGTGTAGCTCATGAATTGGGAAACTTCTGGCTTCACTTACTGGAAATACAGAAAAATAGAGAGCAGTGTTTGTGAGAGCAGAGTGTGTGTGGAGTCTTTCAGAGTTCTGTAAATAAAAGTCTTAAGTATGTTATACAATACTCTTGTTTCCGGTTGCTCCAGCCACATTTATAGGATTACCAAATGGTCTGTTCGTAAAATGTAACCTGTCCGGAGGACAATGCAGTCGACACATTGCAGTCTGAAGTACATACAATAAAACTTAACAAAGGTTGGTGTTTGTTTCCATAACAGAGTTCTGGTTTCTCGACGAATGTCCAGGACCAGAAGATTGCAAATATGTTTGAACTGTCCGTGCCTTTCCGCCAGCAGCACTACTTGTCAGGCCTGGTGCTTACTGAGCTGACTGTCATTTTGGATCCTGATGCAGAAGGGTGAGTTTTACAATTATTCTGGGCAGGATGGAATAATTCAAAGGAGATCTAATGTTTCACAAGCAGGGCTGCGTTCAAATGTGATATTAGAGGGGAAAGAAAGGAAACAGGTACTTCCTCAAGTCCCAGCCACTCTCAAGCTCAGCACCTCTGCTTTGATTGCTATCCAAAGATCTTTCCTACCAGAGCAACCTTTTTATATCAGTATTATGAGGCAGCCATGTATATACAGGGTGAGAGCGTGGGCTTCTCCATAAACATAGTCACTTTCATGCTGTTTCATCTACCACAAGATTGAATTCAGTGCTAGTTCTACTGAGCATAGACCCACTGAAGCTGATGGGCATGGCTAATTTAGGTTTATTAATTTCAGCAGGTTACAACCCATAGAGTCAATGAGAACCCTATTGATGCATGGAGCTCTGGATCACAGCCAAAATGTGGTAGTATTAAGATTTGATTGCCATAGACCTGGACACTAATTGCCATAGACCTGGACACCGTTTCCGTTAACCCCAGCTACACAGGGGTGTGGTCCCTGCCCTCAAATCTGCCAGCAGATTTGCAACTCTGTAATTGGCTTACATTTATGTTATAGATAACCCCATCTGGCAAATAGGAGGTCTGTGTTTTTAACGTGGTTTCCGATTCCCCAGGCAGCCTGTTGTAGTGCCTTTTAATAAAAGCACCTCTTTGCATGTGTGTAGTCTCTAGCACGTGGATATTTAGGTTGCAAGCCACACTTCCGGATAAAAACAAGTTGTGGTGGCCACCAGGGACTCAGGATGCAGCAACTAAGGCAAAGATGCAGAAGTCTGATAAGAAATTTACAAAATGGAGCAAAGAGGCAGGAAGTGTTAAGGGAGCCATAGCAACCAAGTATAACCAGCAGGAGAAAAAGAAAAAAAGGAACAGTAGGAGCATTGATAAGCAGCCCCTGCTCCCATTGACTGGGCTTTGGGGGAACCACCACTGGTTGTCCTCCTGCTTATTGACCCATTACTTTCACTATGGCGGTTGACTGAAAAGCATTTGCTCCATTGATCTGTGTGGAGACAGGAGAGAAGCACCTGTAAAACTGGTTCACACCTTCAGCTGCTGCAAAGGTGGTGGGAGCTAAATACACGTTTGAGGGCCACTAGGCTAATGTTAAAGGGTTTGCATATCAACAAATCCTGTTTCAGTGGTTAAACCAGGGGCCGTGAAATTGCCATCTCCATGACCGTGATTCATTTACCACTTTACTGCAGGTGACAAAACGCTGGCATCTTTTGATACAGGTGTGCAACTGTAAGACACACTGCACACACAGACAAATGCGGTATCGGTGAGCGTGTTGGTGTAGGTGTGTGTTTACCAAGTCTTATCTGCTCTAAAACTATTAACTAATCCTTCCAACCCTACTCGTATCTTAACAGTTTGTTTGGATTGCATAAGAAAGTCATCAACATGGTACACAACTTGCTGTCCAGCCATGACTCCGACCCACGGTACTCTGACCCACAGGTAAAGGCCCGGGTGGCTACACTGTACCTGCCTCTGATTGGTGTGATCATGGAGAGTGTGCCCCAGCTGTATGATTTCACAGGTATTTCGTATGCTTTTTTCCCCCTTTTGCATTAAGAAAAATGGCAGATTAACTGCCAGACATGTTGTGCTGCTGCCTGAGTGCTGTCTTTCACTTGAACAAGTAACTTAAAAACCAACCAACCAACCAACCAACCAAGGGATTCCTAAGTGACATCCAGGAAATGAGTGCTTAAATCTTCAGGAGTTTGCATCAGCAATCAAATTTTGCATGTAGTCCCAAAGCTACACAGAATAGGATGTGTGCCAATGTCTTCTCCACTGACCTGTTGCTATCGCTGTTGAGTTCTTACTTGTTTTATTTAAAAGGTTTCTAACACACACACCCCTTTTCATCAAAATGTAATGTCAAGTTGGAATACAATCATATCAATAAATAAAGCACAACAAAAATAAAACCCACAACAATTGAGCTTTAATGGCAGATGCAGTCAGATCTGGGCCAATTAATCAGATCCCCTCAAAGCCTTGCTGAAAAAGATATTTAGTGGATAGTGGGCCTCATACAAGATGATAATTGATTGGGCTCACTGACTGAAGTGTTGGGTTTGTCTGTACACCAGTATTTTAACAGGCTGAGAGTGCAAGATACAGTTCTGCTGTTTAAGCTAAGCACATCTAACCTGATAAATTGTCTGTATGGAGTCAGTGTTGGTCCCAGATTTTGAAAGGTCCTTGAGCAAGAAGTCCACTTCCCTGCCACTGTGTCCATTCCCTGTCCATTTGCCTTAGATCTCTGGGCCCAGTTTGTACCATAGCCCAGGAATACACTTTTCCTTCTCCTTGTTCTTGTTACTGTTGGCATGCCTGAGGAGGCCAGGGGAACAGGCAACAGCAACGAGGAAGAGGAGAACTAGGGATCTCTAGGGGTCACAGTGGGGCACCAGCTAGAATGTGAGCCTTGGCAGCTGCCTGACGATACCAACTCCTGACAACAAACCTACAGTGCTGGACTGCATAGAATGAGGCAGGTTCATATGTTTCTATTGGCAAACTGTTTGCATGGTTGGTATTCTAAACCCAGGGAAAGAGGCAATGCTACACTTTCATCCAGATAATTTATGAGTGTACCTAGAACATAGCTTTACTTGCTTGCTTGCAGTCCAGTGTGAAAGGCATTATTACTGCTTAGCCTCCAAGTTAAACAATACTTAAGGGAAAATTTGGGAGCTGAGTGGGATAACCTTGTTGCAGTGGTGCTTCATTGGGACTGGCTTGTTTCTCTACAGAAAACCACAACCAGCGCGGACGGCCAAGCTGCACAGCAATGGAGGACTATGAGAGCGAGGGTGGGAGCATGATAAGCCAGACGGTTGCCATGGCTATTGCAGGAACCTCCGTCCCTCAACTCACCCGTCCTAGCAGTTTTCTCCTAACGTCATCGGTACAGAGAAGTGTTTTTCCTCTAGAACGCCTGTGAACAGACAAATGTGCATGTCCCGTGTTTGCAAGGCAGCAAGAGTGGGTGGCAGTCCTGATCACAGAACACTACTCTCTCTTGGAACATAGAGGGTGGGTGGGAGGAGGTGACGGATAGATTGCGCTGCAGCAAAATTATCTCTGTTCCTGGGAGATAATGGTGTAATAATAAACTCTTTGGCTGCACATCAAGATTTAAAACCTTGCTTCTCCATTGTGAAACACATTGGGGGGGGAATGTATTTTTAGTTAAAATTCAGAGGACTTGCATTAGGTCTGTTCGTTCAATCAGTTTGAGTATTTTGGTGCCTACTGATGTCTATCCTGTGTGGATATTGTGTGCTCCTTTAGATGGCTTAGCATTTTATATATATATATTTTTAAAAAACATATTGTGTGTTTTATACTTCATTATTGCAAATCACTTCAGGATAGCAGTGTGAAGCAATGGTTAAAATGTAGCAAACTAACTAAACTAATTAATTAATTAATTTTAAATGGATTTCTATTCCATTTTTAAATATATTTCTCAAGAAAGCAGATGATAGATAGATAAATAGATAGATAGATGATAGAATTGAAGTGATTCACAGTGATCCACTTCATGGCTATGCCAGTACTTAAAACCAGTGTAATAATTACAATAATGTTATTATTTATATAATTCTGCTGTCCCATAGAATATTTAAAGCAGAATAAAGCATACTAATAATAATAATAATAATTAATAATTAAAATAAATTCAACCAGACTCCTTCCAGAAGAACAGAAGAGTAGCTGGTTGAGTAATATTCTAAACAGAAGAAGTGGTCCTGATTCTAACTGGTTCTTCCTGTGTTTTCAGACAAATAGGCAGCATTCAACATTTTCAGCCGAGTCAAGTCGGAACCTTCTGATCTGCCTCTTGTGGGTCCTGAAGAACGCTGATGAAAGTGTCCTACAAAAATGGTTCACGGACCTTTCTGTGCTGCAGCTTAATCGTTTACTGGATTTGCTCTACCTCTGTGTTTCTTGCTTCGAATACAAGGTATAGTAGCAGCAAGACAATTACGCTCACATGTTTTCCAGAGAAGTGAAGCGGTACAGGCAGAAAGCAGTGTACATGTGTCCGATTGATGCGCGATCATGCACCTAGGCTGCCAGCCTAGAAGTGGCCAAAAAATGGGGCAGGGCGAGGTAGGCTTATACATGCTCTGCCAACATGCGCAGGGGTCAGGAACAGCACCCTCACACAAAATGGTTGCCGCTGAATTCAGAACCACACAACCATTACTCAGTTAAAAGTGGATCTTCTAATAATGTTTCCTTCGTGTTTCTCACCCTTTAAGTCTCCACCAAACCAAATTCCCATCAGAAAGGGAAATTAAATTCCTGTTTTCGAGCTTCTGGAGTCTTTGCCCTGCTTTGCTCAGCATACAATCCTTGGTTGGGATTGTACCCACTGAACATTCTTGAGAGCCATTGAGTTAGTACCATCTCCTCCTTGTTTGTTTGGAAGGGTCTTTCTCTGCTTTGTTGAAGGAACAACTGATGGATTCATATTTCTCCATGATTCACAATTCTCTAGTTAGCCAAGGATAGGCAAGAAAGCAAACTTAGGATGATTCAACACTACCAGCGCTATTTTTCTAGGGAAACGAGGTGCCGGAACTTACCATGAATGCTTCCCTCGTTCTTTTAGAATGACAGTGACGTCCCACTGGAGAAGTGCCAGAACTGAGTTCTGGCAAGTTCCGACTGAAAAAGAAGTCCTGAACGCTAGAAATATATACCACTTTGTAGCAAGTTTAACTGCCTTAGCTTCCCCCAAAAGAAAGATTAGAAGTAGAATTTGTGGATACTGCAAATTCTGTGTGAGATATAGGAAGCTGCCTAAATAATTAGCTTTATTTGTGTATTAAATTATAATGGGCTTTCTTTGTTTTTAAAAAGGGCTGACTCTTGTTTCATGTTCCATCCTCTTTCTTGTGACCTGTTCAGGGTAAGAAAGTGTTTGAAAGAATGAACAGCCTGACGTTTAAGAAGTCAAAAGACATGAGAGCCAAACTTGAAGAAGCTATACTTGGCAGCATTGGAGCGAGGCAAGAAATGGTACGGCGAAGCAGGGGACAGCTGGGTAAGTTGACGCTTTCCTCTGACAGAAGGGGCTGAAATGGGAGGCCCCCTTCATGCACTGTGCTAAGGCGGCTCTGTGTGATTGACAGGGAGAGCGGCCGCAGTTCTCCTGCAAGCATTGACCTCTGCAGTGACAAGGCAGGCCAAGCAAAGCAAATCTGCCTTGTGCAGGCTCAGGCTGAATGCCAGAAAGAGGCAGAGCTTGGATGTTGCTTCAGCAGCAGTCAGCCTCCAACTGAGTCCTGTATAGGAGCAGTGATTCAGTCCGCTTTTCATGAAAGCTGCCCCATGCCAGCAGTCCTTTACTCTGACAGGGCAGGGGAAACATTGGTTGTACTGGGCCCTCTGCAGTGGAGCCCTCTGGAGTCAGCAATGCGACATTCCTTGATACTGAGCTAGTCTTTAATTTATGAATAGTAAACTATCCTGATAGTGTTAATGAGATATTATAGAACAAAGGTGGGGAACCTCAGACTCGAGGGCCAAATATAGCTCTTCAAACCTGTACATTTGGCCCTCAAGGCTCCTTCCAGGTGATGCCCCGTTCAGGACCCTGGCTCTCACTGCCCGTACTCTGCACTTCTTTGCGTGTCCTTGCATTTTGATGGTTCCTTTTACTACAGTGGTACCTCGGGTTAAGAACTTAATTCGTTCCAGAGGTCCGTTCTTAACCTGAAACCTGAAGCACCACTTTAGCTAATAGGGTCTCCTGCTGCCGCTGCGCTGCCAGAGCACGATTTCTGTTCTCATCCTAAAGCAAAGTTCTTAACCTGAGGTAATATTTCTGGCTTAGCGGAGTCTGTAACCTGAAGCGTATGTAACCTGAAGCGTATGTAACCTGAAGCATATGTAACCTGAGGTTACACTGTATTTGGATGGAGGTGTGTATGTGTAAAACCAGTGTCTCTCCTCCACATTTTGTGTGCATGTGACTGAAATGTAGCCCAATGTACAAAGGGAAATGTTACATCTGTTGCCCGGCTCCCTTTTTTCTCAGGCCCCTGGTCCACCCCTGGTGTGTGGCCCCTAGAAGGGTGTTTATGAAGGAATGTGGCCCTCCAGTTGAAAAACGTTTCCTTCTCCTGTTTTGGTAGATAGTGTTGATTTACTCACACGTTTGCTTGGAAGCTGGTTCATTTTGTATTGAAAGGATTAGTCAACACTGATGATAATTAATTTTAAAGTGCAATAATCATTTAATGTGAGGTTAACCATTCATTGTGTGCAAAGGGTGTAGTCATGATACCTCATTTAATTTGTCAAACACAGCAGTCAAAGATTAAAAAGTTAAAAGCAATTTTTTTAAACCTTTGCTTGGCAGAAAGAAGTCCTTCTGGGAGTGCCTTTGGAAGTCAAGAGAACCTGAGATGGAGAAAGGATATGACTCACTGGCGACAGAACACGGAAAAACTTGACAAGTAATGCTACCTTACCCATAATAATAATAAGATAATAATAATAATTTATTATTTATACCCCGCCCATCTGGCTGGGTTTCCCCAGCCACTCTGGGCGGCTTCCAACAGAACACTAAAATACAATAACCTATTAAACATTAAAAGCTTCCCTAAACAGGGCTGCCTTCAGATGTCTTCTAAAAGTTTGCTAGTTATTTTTCTCTTTGACATCTGGTGGGAGGGTGTTCCACAGGGCTGGTGCCACTACCGAGAAGGCCCTCTGCCTGGTACCCAAACATTTTAACGTTGAAATGGCCAATTGGCCAAGATAGGGACTGCCTTGCTTCTCACAGTATGAGCAGGTCTGGACCTGAACTGAGATAGGACTAACCTCAGAAGAATAGCGCTGTCACACACGTGTGTTCTTTATTTAAAAGAACAGGAGGTTGCAATCCTACACCCACTTCCCTGGTAGTAAGTGTCATTAAACTCAATGGGACTTGCTCCTGACTAGACTTGTATAGGATTGTGCTGTAAGGGAAGATGACCAATGCACTGGTAAGACGGCTATAGGATGCTTTAAGTTGCAGCCAAGAGTAACTAGGTGTAATTGCATGTGTGCCATCGGTCACTCCATTCTGGAGTTCTCCAAGCTGACTCCTCTCCTACCCTAATCCATCACTTTGATTATTTTCCCCACATGTGCTGTGTTTTTAGAAGCCACAAACCAGCCAGGTACTGTAGCACTGGTGTACTGCTGTGTTTAATTTTTTTCCCTGTTGTGCATCTGTACTTTTGCTATGGCAACTCTGGCTTTTGGCGCTTGGCAGCAGCTTTGTATGCCTGTCTGTGACTTCAGTGGTTCCTTTTGTTGTACGAGTGCCTGCTGGGGTTTGAAATGGTTGGGGTGGGGTGTTGGTTAGGTGTAGGACTTACGGTTGCAACTTTGCTTGGCATGCTTTTTGTCTTCTAATAAGGCTCTGAGTGCAGGTTTTGTTTGACTGAGGTGCTTTGCAGAAGGTCTGTGGGTTTGTTTGTTTTTTGCAACATGACTTGGCTGTGAAGTGTGAGGGGGGGTGTGTGTGTGTGTGCTGCTACAGGGTATCCCTTTTTCCCCCCATAGCGCTGGGCACGTCTGAACTTTGGTGTGAAAATTGCAGTTCCCTGACAGTTCAATTAACATTACATCTTTTTGATGTAGTCTTAATTTGATCCTGGTAAAAATTTTGGAGGTGTTTGGTTAAAGGTTCCACCAGCCGAAATGCAAAAAGGTCACATGGCGTATAAACTGGAGGCAGGAATAAACTAGAGATCTGTAGATCTCCTTTTAAGAATTCTAGAGCACTCTCCTTTTCAAAGCCTTTGCAGCACCAGCAAGACCAGGGCATTCACTGCCTTCTGTACAATTCAGTTTTGCCTAGCACAGTGTGAGTGTATGGACAGTGCCCTTAAAACATATTTAGCCCTGGAGATGTTCATTGTTGAGCAAGATCTCAGTCCAGCCTGCTGATGCATCATCTGCTGGACAGCTTTCTCCTTTTCTGCCGAAGGCTCTGTCCGACTCAGAAATAAATGTGGGAAAGGCGTGACTCAGTGGTAGTGCATATGCTTTGCATGTAGTAAGGTCCCAGGTACAAGCCCTGCCATCTCCAGGCTCTACAAAAGCTTTCTCTTCATGTAAGGACTGCAGTAGAAGTTGCCCTTGTGCACGCACACACATCCCTAGAGGGAAGGAGGAGCTTGATGCTCCTAGTAGGATTTTTAGCAGACAGCTAGTATTGACCAATTGAATTATTATTATTAGTTTATTATCATTCCCTGCCCATTTGGCTGGGTTGCCCCAGCCACTCTGGCCAGCTTCCAACACATACTTCAATGGAAGTCAAGTGGAATAATTAGGACTAAATTCCACTTTTCCAACAATGTGCCAGTAAAAATGATGTTGCTCGGTCTGTTGCTAGCAGTGCATATTGCCTGCTCCAGATTGGTGCATACAGTAGCATGTACTGCTACCATTTATGACAGATCATTGCCGGCTTTTGGGAAGCATGTATGGTGCATTATAGCACCGCAGGACACCAGCAGGACGTTTCATACATCACATAGACATTTCCACTGGTAACTACTAGCTAGTAATGTTCGTCAGAAATTTATTCTCTTAGCGCCACCATGTGTTCACATCATAAAGTGTCATGCTGTCTTCACTGATGTAAAGATGAATAAAAAGATACTCATTTTCTTCAGTGTAGCCCTAGTTTCCCTTACCAAACTGTGTTTCTGCAGCACACTTTGTAATTTTAATCCTTTGGCTTTCATGAAGAAACAGTGGGCACCATTAGCAGGGAAAGGCCCCATAACTTTATGAAAGGGAGGATATATACAAATCGTGTTAGTTAGGATTCAAATAACTACTTCAGGTGTGCCAACTCAGACATGTCCAGGAGGAGCCATAGATCAGTGATAGTGCACATATTTTTCATGAAAGAAAAATCTCTTGGTTTCTCAAGAGAAGAGGGCTTCCTGAGACCTTGTCTCAGTTTGTCCATCCAGTGGGCTATTTTTCTTTGAAGAGCTGCCCCATTCCACATCACAAAATGCTGTTGAAAGTCTCTTCTGTTTTAGTAGGCTTTTGCCTGGTAGCACAGTAGGGACCCAAGCAACCTTCTGAATAGAAGTGGTTTGATAAGATTTGGAAGACCATAATTTCCTACAAACTTAGCAAGTGCAACAATCCCACTGAATTTTTTTAACAGTGCAGTGGTTTCAGTTTATCTTCAAGCTTCTCATCAGATTCCTACAAAATACAAACACACACACACACACACACACACACACTATCAGCTGTTAAAGTAACATCTCCTTAAGCAAGTGATGAGGAACCTGTGGTCCTTTGTATGTCAGTGGATCCCAACTCCCATAGGATCCAGCCACTGTGGTCAACAGTTAGGGATGATGGGAGTTGTAGTCCAACAACATTGGGAGTGCCATGGGTCCCCCACTGCTGTTTTTCTCTCACTGTACTCCCAAGCTTATCACGAACATGCTAATGTGGTTTTCTTTTTCTCTTTATCGTTTATTACTCTGCTCCTCATTTTGTTGCAAGCTTTATTAGCTTTATTTTATCTTAAAGTTCTTATATCATGTAAGCCATTGGTCCACCCAGCCCAGTAATATCTGCTTTGATTGGCGGTGGATCTCTAGGTTCACAGGCAGAGGCCCTTGACCATAGGCCATGCTGCCTGGGCCCTGATAGGAGCTGGAGTCTGATAACATCTGGAGGGCCAGAGGTTCCCCATCCCTGCTTTAGCTGGTGATGCTAGGTGTTGAGCCTGTTTTTGATGGTTCCCACTGCTAAAGTGTTCTGTTAGAGCATGGTGATTATCTGATAAGCAATCTTATTTCTCCAGCTGCAACAAAAAGTTTCTTTTCCTCGCTTCTCCAAAGAAAATTTATTTTTAATGCTTTTTTAGATCGCGAGCTGAGATAGAACATGAGGCTCTTATCGATGGCAACTTGGCAACGGAAGCAAATCTGATCATTTTGGATACTTTGGAGATAGTAGTCCAGGTGAGAATGATAACCTTCCCAGTGCTCTGAATGCCTGAAGAACGGATAGTAGGCAAGACTAGCAATGCCCCCTGTAGAAAGTGTATTCTGAAATGGCCACTCTCTCTCCATTGCACATGTTCGCAGTGCTTCCCTTTGCTGTGACTTCTGTCTGCAACAGCCCTAAAATGACTTCCCTGCCTCTCTTTTTTCCATTGTCTTTGGTTACAGACGGTCTCCGTGACCGAGTCCAAGGAAAGCATTCTTGGCGGAGTGCTGAAGGTTCTTTTACACAGCATGGCTTGCAACCAGAGCGCTCTTTACCTGCAGCATTGCTTTGCTACGCAGAGGGCCTTGGTGTCAAAGGTGAGTGTCCTGAGGATGGGAGGGCAGCATGGAGTTACAATTTCACTTCAGTATTCAACTTCTTTTCTGATTTGGAAAGTGTTGGACCTCCACAGTGGTTTCCGGCAAACTGGGCTGATGATGGCCTCCTTTACTGGGAGCGGGCGCGCAACTGGGTCAAGTTGAGCCCACGATGATTGTGGTGCAATTAATTCAACATTGTGTTGGTGTTTGGGGTGCAGCCACGACTGCTGAATGCTTGTCTCTCGCGCTGTCCTTCTAGTTCCCAGAACTGCTCTTTGAAGAGGAGACGGAGCAGTGTGCTGATTTATGCCTCCGACTCCTGCGCCACTGTAGCAGTAGCATCGGCACCATACGCTCGCATGCCAGCGCCTCCCTGTACCTCCTCATGAGGCAAAACTTTGAGATTGGGAATGTAAGTATAGCATGGGGCAGCAAAGCCCTTTTGCAGCCAAAGGGCCACATTTTATTCTGGGCAGCATTTTGAGGGCCGCATGCCAATGGTGGGCAGGGCAAGAGGGAAAAGTGGGTGGAGCAACAAATCTAAATTTTAGATTTGTACAGTAGGCTAGCTTTTGTACACAATTGCACATCCCTTTCTGTCCTCCATTCAGACACAAGGACACATTCCATCCAAGCCAAAATACAAAGAGGGTGATGCAGGGCCAGTGAGGGCCGGGGGGGGGGGATTACAGAGGACCAAATAGAGAGGGCTGGAGGGCCTCACTGAGGCCTCTGGCCTGAAGATACCCACCCCTGGTATAGTGTTTCTGTAAGCATGGGGTGCAATGCCTATTCAAACTGGTGCAAGAGAGGACAAGTGAGGAGCACTGATTTTTTGAGGGTCATATATTTTAAATGGGAATAGTCACACACAGACCAAAAGGCTTGTGTCGTCTTTAAAGGAGAACACTTTAATCTGGAGTTAAACAACTCAGCTATAAATTAATCATATGGATGGATGGATGGAGTTCTGGCCAGACCCCCTTCAGGAAAATCAAACGTGTTTGCTGTACTTTTTGGTTTGGGACTGCGATGCCTATTAAGCTGGTGTTGTCACCTGACGTTATTGGTGCAGTAACAATTTTTTGTTTGTTTGTTTCAGAACTTTGCCAGAGTGAAAATGCAGGTGACCATGTCACTCTCATCTTTAGTAGGAACATCTCAGAATTTTAATGAGGAGTTTCTGAGACGTTCTCTGAAAACCATTTTGACCTATGCTGAAGAGGACCTGGAACTAAGGGAAACAACGTTCCCTGATCAGGTTAGGAGGAATAGTACTTGACATAGATAAGTATGGGTTGTTTTATTTCCTTAAGACCCACAATTTTCAGCTTACTTGCTTTTAGACTCAATAGGATGTTGATCCATATTGGAATTTCTGATGATGCAAAACCTGAATGTGAACATGGAGTGATACATGAAAATGTAATCAGATGGGGGGGGGGGCTTCAGGTCCCATAATCCTTGACCAATGGATGTGCTGACTGGGGCTGATGGGAGTTGAAGTCCAGCAACATCTGTGGGGCATCAGATTGGATATCCCTAGTTTGTTTGTTTTTTTGAGGTGAGGGTTTCTTTTGTATTTGTGTTGTGCTCTGCATCACTCTGAAATCCAATCTGATGGAAGTTGGTCTAAAAATGTCTCACATAAAATAAAATAACAATAAATAATTGTGTTAAGGTTCAAAACCAGACAGATTAAATGGTGAAATGAACAACAACAAAAAATGAAGTCTGACTTGACATTTCTAAGAAACTGCTCATCCACTCAAATAATTCAGTCCAACTTTGCTGAATGAATGAATGAATGAATGAACATAGAATTAACAAATATTGACTGGCGATGAATGCAAAATTTGAAATACTGGAGGGGAACATGATGTCTCCCTGGCAGGATTCGTTTTTTAAAAATAAACAATGGCAAGTGATTTTCACAATTGAATTCCTGTCAGACAAATTCGAAGTAACCAACAAATCCTTGTTTTGCACAGAATATTTGTTTCAGATACTTTCCCTCCCATTTCAGGTCCAAGATCTTGTGTTCAACCTCCATATGATCCTGTCTGATACAGTTAAGATGAAGGAGCACCAAGAAGACCCAGAGATGCTTGTGGACTTGATGTACAGGTACAGTTTTACTGGATATTTTGCCGTCTTAAGAAAATGTGAGTAAGTAAACATACACTGATAGGACTCTCCTGGGTTTTTGAAAACTAGAATTGCCAAGGGATACCAGAATTCCCCAGACCTACGACTCACCTGGCTACAGAACATGGCTGGGAAACACTCAGAGAGAAGCAATCATGCAGAATCTGCACAGTGTTTGGTCCACTCTGCAGGACTCGTTGCTGAATACTTGAGCATGCTTGAGGATCGGAAATATCTCCCCGTAGGATGCGTTACATTTCAGGTAATGCTCTTTGTTTACAAAACCGCAAAGCTGGGCTTCTTGCCTTTCCACAAAGCAATGATGTAAGCCCCCCAGAAAACATAGCGTTGTCTATATTAAAAGAACATTTCCCAAAAATTCATGTGATGTAATTGCATTGCTCCACTTTGGCTGCTGGTACAATACATTGAAGACACATTAGCTAAAAGCTCTTTCTATTATTAATTCCAGCCACGTACAAAGGAATTTGCCATACTTGTTTACTTGCTGCATAATTCCTAAAGTAGTTTGGTTTCATGTTTCTTCTCAAAGAGGATGGGTCATTGGTACAGTGGCTTTCCCCCCTAAAAAAGAACATCTTGTGGGTAAACCTGTATTCCAAATTAACATTCTGTAGAGCAAAAACAAAAAACTAAAGTTTAATTGCATGTTACTATGTTCTCGAAGCTACTAACATGAATTTGACCAAACTGCGGGAGGCAGTGGAAGACAGGAGTGCCTGGCATGCTCTGGTCCATGGGGTCACGAAGAGTCGGACACGACTAAACAACTAAAAAACAACAACATGTTCCATTAGAGTAGGACTTCGGCAGAATGGAAGCTGCTTTGGTTTCAGACTTTGCGGCAGAGCATTGCCTAAACCTGGTGATGAATGAATTTTAAATAGGTTTTTTTCAGTGTCCCTGGAACTGTAACTGCTGAAAGTAAACGTTATATATTTCCTCAGAACATCTCCTCAAACGTCTTGGAAGAATCTGCAGTTTCTGATGATGTCGTATCGCCAGATGAAGAAGGAATATGCTCGGGAAAGTATTTTACTGAAGCAGGTCTGGTTGGATTGCTGGAGCAAGCTGCAGCCTCTTTCTCCATGGTAGAAGAGTTTAATACATGTATTTAGTACAGTACTCCCTTATGGTTGCATAGTATATACGATCAGTGTCCTGCATTGGGGTGGGGAACCACAGGCCTGAGGGTCAAATGCAGGCCTCTGGATTATCCCCAGGCCACACCCCTTCTCATAACATGGCCCCTCCCCCTGGACCCCACCTCTCACCTGCTCTGCATTCTTCTCAAGTGTTCTTGAGCTGCGATAAAGCCTCTTGTTTGTTTGAATGGAGAGAGAGGGAGGGATGTGGACATAGAAACCTCTGGCTTGAATACAGCCTAGCATACACAGGTGAGAATCACATCAGTTGTTTCGCCCACTTTTGCCTCTGGCCACACTCACAGCTGGAATGGGGAATTTCCAGGTGGGAATGCAGGCCAGAAAATAGTTCCCCACCCCTGATCTGCATGTAAGTAAACACTGGGCGCAACTCAAATGCACAATGAAAAGTATAGAAGCTTCAGTTTTTGCATTTCAGCTGCTCAGCTGCACTGAATTCAGTCGTTTAAGTGGCAGCAGCATTGACTCAAGTTGCTTGCGAACCAGCCCACGTATTTTGTGCCATTGGGATCATGGCTAAGCTGGTTCTCCAACATGCTGTGCTAAATCAGGATCCAACTGGAATGTGCATTCAGAAGTTGCTATGAAACCTTGTTCAGCACTACAGTTCCTCAAATTTCTGTGTCATCAAGGTTGGCCTTGACCATGTAGTGTTAGGAAGCTTCTGTCTGTGGATTGGAACACAGTTTTATATAATCTTTAAAAAGGCTCTCATTCCATGGGCTGAAGCAAACATGCTGGCATCCCAGCACAGCTGCTACATAAGCTGTTAACTGCTTCCTTCACACATGGACCAGCACATGAGCTGGGAGTCTTAAATCAGTATTCATCAAGTTTAAATGGGCCTTTGATGCATGGAGTCTTGCAAACTTTTGGCAAAATGTACATTTCCACAGGTCTGACACACGACTGATACTTATATCAGGCATTACTTATTCCATCTCAGTAACCAAATAATCCCAAGCAAGTGTTTTAATTTCATTATTGTAATATAAGCATTTTAATAACATATTGTACTCAGGCTGTTGCATGTCTGTTTTTTTGATGGATCGATAAAACCACCTGACATGGACACTGTTTTGTAGGCTGGCATGTATGAAGCAGTCAACGAGGTTTACAAAATCCTCATTCCAATTCATGAAGCTAACAGAGATGCCAAGAAGCTTGCCACAATTCACGGTAAACTCCAGGAAGCATTCACCAAAATAGTTCATCAGGTAATGACTTAGGCTCTTGCTTGTAGTGTGGAGATCCTTAAAAGTATTTGTGTCATTTTCCCTTCAAGTTACATTGAAACCTCAATGGCAGTTGTTTTCCAGGTCATCAAAGCATTCAAAATATGGAGACCTTGTGGACAATATTGCAAAGTGTAAAAAATCAGCAAAACTAGGCAAAGAGAGCAATCAGATAAGTCCTAATTTTTCCAGAGCCATTCACCTAAGTCAGGTTACTCTAATGTAGTGTACTGCAAATTCATTCCTTGCTTGTGTTTTCCAGGCTAGAGACTGACTTCACAACATGTGAAAGTGTAGTTAAGGTGTTTTCATACTGCAATCCTGTTTACTCCCATTAGTTACTTAGCTGTAAGTAAGCGGGTATAATATTGCAGCCCAAAGCTATATATAGCTGGACAGCCTGGGGATTTAATTTTGCTCTTTTGCATTTTGAGCTACCTTTTTGGCAGGTATCTCTTTTTTGGTGCTGCAACATCTCTCTGCTTGTGCAAACCGTGACCTGCATTGTAGAGGCTGCGTAGTAATGAATGACTCTACTTTTGGGTGTGGAGAGGTGGGCTGGAAGTGTCACTGACAGATGGCTCCATGGGCCAAGAGAAGAGCCCAGTGGAGGCATTAAAGCTCCCATGTTCATCAGCAAGGGAAGAAGAAGTGAGACTGCTGCAAGCAGCCCTCTCCCATCTCACACACTCCAGTCTGTGCCCTGTCATGTTGTCTGCATCTACAGCACAAATGTTGGGGTGGGATGGGGTTCTCGCATGTATAGTTATAGAGACGAAGGACCCCTCTCTGCAGACATTCATGCAGCACACGTGGATACCAAGAGAAGAGCATGTGACTCAATGCGGTCCTGCTTCTTCCATGTTGATGAGTGCAACAGCTACATTTTCTATGGTATGTGGGGGCCAAAACAAGGGCAAGTTGGCACCACAGCAGCTGGGATCAGATTAGACTCTAAGCAAAACTTAAGGCACATTCCCAGGCAGTTCAGGCTAACGGCAGCTGAATTTAACCATGGTTAATTAACATGAAAGCTAATGTTAAGCATGCCCCCTTAAGCATTTGAAACCAGGATTTGAAGCTGAACAGTGGGTGCCTGGGCACAAAATTGCAGCCAGCTGTTGTCCATATACTGATAAATGAGGGCACTTGCATCTGTGCAGGGCCTCCAGAGGCTCTGCTAGATTGAGGCTATTATTTTCCATTTTCGTTACATTTTTACTTCCTGAATTTAGCAGGGAGATACTGTTTGGACAGCTGGTTGTGCCATATGATTATTTTTAACTGGAGCTCGAGCACAAATGAAGAATGGTTTGCATTTTGCTTTACGGATATAAACAACAATGACACAAAATGAGTACTGCCATTCATTACTTGGGAACTGCAGTTGTGTTCCACAGCATGCCGTTCAGCGCGCAAAAACTGAATTCCTCCAGCAGGACTAACCAGGGTTTCAATAGCTGAACTTCAGGCTGGAATGGTGAATGCAATGTAATAATTTCCGATTGCCAGAGGATTTGCATTTACATTCGATTTCCAGCGCCTGATAATGGAGCTTCTTCATACTTAATATTCTGGGCTATGAAACGAAAGGCTAACTTAAATGTGTGGCAGCTAAGCCATTTCAAGTGCATAGCACCTTATTGTTGATGGTTATGTTTTGGCCTTTGAAAAGGAGCTGGTCTTGTTCCTGTGACATACCTTTTTGTTTTTTGTTTTTTTTTGTTTTACTTTTTATTACGCAGAGTACTGGCTGGGAGGTAGGTAATGTTTTAGTTAGTAAAGAACACTAATAGATTGGTCTGATGATGACTCCTGCCCATGCTTTGCCCACATGTGCTAGCTGTGGGTATTTCTGTTGCTGTCTGCTATTGACCTGAATTAATTAACCAAAGAAGTATCAGTAAAACTGTTGTGGTCATTTTAGACAATTTAGGTAGTGCATGAATGCATTTGTATTATGACACTAATGAGGTTCTTTGGTGAATGAGCCACTTTTTACCATCACTAGTTTGTTATTTTTGTATTCCATTTCTCATCAATATTGACACAGAATACCATTTCTTCCTACCATATTTTCACCCCCCAACACAGGGGTCGATTTAAGTTCTAATGCTCAAAGACCTTGAATGCAAAAAACTGTTTCCCGTTAGAAAGACGTTCACTCGTATCCTAACGTATAACTGTAGTATTAATACTCTTCTGCTACATTAAGCTCTGAGCAAGAGTGAAATGAACTTGAGTTTAGTCCCAGCTCTCAAATCTCTTAAGAATTAGGTCATGGGCTTCAACTGGGTGCCAAGATAGAGTCTTTTGTACAAAATTCAAGATGTACAAAATTCAAATTCCTCTGCAGCAGTTCAGTGACCTGATACAACTGATTCTGATGTATGTCTGGACCCAAACCATGAAAATAATCCTTGAAGATCTTGTGGGAGATACAATCCACCAACCTTGCCCTGGCTTGTATAAGAATGCCAGTTTCATCATCCCATGGACTGGGGGAGGGTCTACAGAGAATTATATGAAATAGAGACTCTGCCTCAGCCTTTGTTTTGCTGAAAAGATTTCCTAAGATTCATGAAGCAAGCTTAGAGGTTGTACAGTTCCCTTGCTTCCTGGACTGTGCACTACCTCCCGAAACCTTAGAATTCTGCCTTTGAGATTTGTGGTTAGTGCCCAGACTTTGACAAAAAGCAGAAAGACCCCTTTTGTGTTATTTGATTAGCTGTTTGGAAGTTACTGATATGGTTCTAATATGGCCCATCATACTGAGCAAATTTCCAGCCCAACTGCCTTTTAGATGATCATGCCCCTTAAAGACTTGCACATTTATTTTTCAGACATCTCAAGATTCTTGGTTCTTTTTGCTGCAACGGCCTAAGATGGCTATCTGTCGGGAAATAGTTATAATGGAAAATACTGCAACAAATATCCAAGACTATAAATAGATAAGTTTGAACGTGGACACCTTCATTTTTTGTCACAGGACAGGCACATTCTTGAGAGTGGCATGGTTTGCACATAACACTAAGACATGGTTTAATAAATCATGGTTTAATTTTCTCGCCTGAACCCCGCCCAGTAGCTTAATCATGGTTTATTAACCACAAGCAAATTATGCTAATAAGCCATGGTGTGCTTTTTGTTTAGAAACCCCGGCTTATGTTAACCATGGCATAAAGCTCAGTGTGAACTCATCCAAAATCAGATTCCCGTTGAAATAATTGGTGGTACAGGGCACTTAAGTATGTAAGCCCTTCTGATTTCAGTGGGACTCGAGTACCTCTAATTTCCTTACAGTTGTGTCTAAAATGTACCAATCAAACCTCCATCCTCATTTAAAAACAATAGAAGTGTCTCCAAATACATATCTTTTATATACACCAACGCAGACCAATTTTGTAAGGAATTTTAAGAATTTGGTACGTAGCTGAAATATGTGTGTTTTGCATTCTCTTGTTGTTGTTAGTAAATATGTGAATAGTTTTTGGATTCCACCTCCCCAAAAGCTGTACAAGTTCTGATTTCTGCTTCTGATTTTCTCTGACTATGTTGCTCTGTCAGATAAGAGGCCGGCTCTCTTGTTTAGAGCTTTGGTTCAGAAGAGCAATTACAGACAAGTCAAAGCATCATCAAGGCATGTAATATCAAGAGTGCTAATTCCATGACCCGCCATCTGCAACGAGAGGCTTGGGGACCCAAAATCAGTTTTGGAGCTGGTGTGCTTTTTTGTACCACCTGGGAGCTGGCCCAAGCACGTGCAGCCTTTTACAATGCCCACTTTAACCGAAAGGCAAAGTTCATGTCACACAGACTCTCCATTTAGCTCAAGCGCTTGCTTGAAGTGGCACCCATACAGTTTGGTTGCTTCCGTCAACTGCACCATGATTCACCTCCCCCCGAAGGGTTTCCCTGGTGGTGTTAAAATTGGCACAAAACCACAGCAAAAGGCAGTTTGTGGCTGTTCCATTAATGGGACGACAGCCTGCGAGCATCTTTTCTGATCAATGTGTGTGATGCTAAATCGACCCCTGAAGTATATCCTGTCATCAGTTACAATTTTAACATTATTCAGTAATGTTCTATTGCATGGTAAAACACACCCATGGTTTATGTTCTTGTCCACTGCTTTGCACTTGAACTTTCCTCTTGCTGGACTTTTTCCTTCTGTGTGGCCTTTTAATACCCATTGCATGTTATTTACCCAGTTCCAGTTTTTAAAATACTTTTTTTGTTTTGTTTATTTGCTGCCAAATGCTGCTTATTTGTTTTGGATTTTCCCTAATCAAAATACTTTCTGTTTTCTCCTCTATTGCCCTGGTTGCTGATCCTCCTCCCCACTTTTACTATTGTCTGTTGTGGTAAGTTCCTACTAAGTTGTTGGTGTTTTTTTTTTTCTTAAACTCCCATGGCATCCCCCAATAATTTCATTTTACCAATGACTTATGCCAGCTCAGGGGTTTATGAAACGCCACACAAATCAATCCCAATTAGGTTTGTACGGAAAAAACTTCCCAGCTAACTCCTAAAGTTAAATGTTCGTGGAGGAGTGGTTTTTCCTTATGGAAAGGGGGTTGAACTTAAGTAGGCCTTTTGGCTTCTTCAACTCTGATGTTACAAATTCAAATGCCAGGTTAGCCATTTCACTGCAATGAAAAATGTGGCATTATTGACTCTGATCAGACGGCCTTGGGCATATTTGCACTTCCCTGTGGATAACAGCAGGGCCAAATTCGGCGACAATTTTTGTTGTTTTTGGCTAAGTAAATCCAGTTGGCAAAGGTTTTGGTTCATGTGCAGAAGGAGCCTCTTAAAACTTTGTACCCAACAGATATTTACCATGCATAACAACATATTATGAACCCTTCATAAGTCATGACGGCTGTTATACCTGCTCTGCCAGTTCTGTAATGACTCTACAGTGTTCACCTTCATTCTCTTTGCCTACCAAGGAGCTATTATTTTTTCTCAAAATAATAGATTTAAATGCTTTATAATAACTTCCTTTCTCATAACTGCATTTTAGCACCTCTCAGAAACAAAGACCATGGACTTTTAATTTGTTTTGTTTGCTTGAAAGCAAGGGTTTTGATTTCTGTGAAAACCTTTGGGCAAAATTATAGAGCCTTCATGTATTCAGAACACACTTGGAACAATAACATGATGACATATGATGTTATTGATGTCCCCATCTTTTGCCTGTTGTTTATGGAACTTTGTGCTTTGGTTCTTGTGTTGCACACATTCCAGCATGCTCTGGGTTGACATTTCCCCAAAATCTTCCTAGGCATTGATCCATCAACACCCCCCCATTCCCCTCCCCACAAATTAATGGAAGCTAAATGGAAAGAACCTTCGTTATAAACACCACCTCCTAATTTGTCTTAGGTGACCATTGTTAAAGCTTAGAATGATGCTTATTTATTTGAAACTCCAGTCATAATAGTACTTTTGATTCATTACATAAGTTTCCTTAAGTGTCTCATGATGTTGCCAAGATTATTAATGGAAGTTAGAGCAATTAGCAGACAATGCTGCCCAAGCCAAACAGCTTACCTTTCCTACTACAAAAATCAAGGAGAACCCTAAAGTTTGTGGCATATGTGGAGGGGGAGCCTCCAGGAGAGCAAGTTGGGTTCTCTAAAAGCCTAGAGAGAGTTGCAGAGATTTAGAAGGTGCCTGCTCATGTGTGGACAAGCACCGTCAGCCATAAAATTACCTGTTGTCCTTCAGTCCTTTTTATCAAGTTCATTGTCGCTTTTATGGAACATTGCATACTTTACACTTTCCTACAAGGTTCTTATGATGCACATAATTCATAAGTGAATTATGCACGTGTTGTCTATTTTGCCACATGTTGTGTGTGTTCAGAAGCAGCTGTGATTCCCACTGCATGTGCCAAGCTAAGTATGTGTGTTTTCTGCCAATGGCGGTCAGTGTACATGCCTTTCCCCCGCAAATGGAAGCAATATCACTGTCCGAGAAACATCATGTACACAGTGGCCCTGAGTGACTTCTAATGCTTTGGATTGTCATTGGGGATAACAGTAAGTGGATTTATGTGGATGAAAGCCATAAGGTACAAGTGTTCAGAGAGAGAGAAGAGTGTTCCACAGTTGTAGGATACACATATAATTATGAATATAAGCTTAAATGCAACCCAGGCGCTTAACTTAGAGATGACATCAGAGTGGCTGAAATGTATTTGAGGGTCTTTCTCAATTTTCATGGAACACTTGATACCGTCCACTGGTACAGAGGATATGCTGAGGGATGTCAACTCTGGTAGCTTACTTGAGTCAACCTTGTTTTTATATAGGCCAGTTGGGATTAACACAGACTGAAGTTGTCTGTGCTACTATTCCAAGACGGGGGAAATTAATCTGTAGTCTTCCCAACACTGACTCCCTGCCCATTCTGCAACTTCTACTTTTTCCTTAGGGTCGTGTAAGTAGTCCGTTGGCTGTTTCCACCTTCCTTGGCAGTTCATGGGCCTGCTCCAGTTTCTGTCCTGGGTATTGACCAATCTAGTTAACTATCAGAATCTTTGTTTATGGCCACAGCAGATTACCTGTCATTGAAGAGCAATGTCACATGAGAGGTTGGCGTTATTGCAAAAGTAGGCAGGTGTTCGCAGGACTGCTCTTCAGTAGTCCAGGCTAGGCAGTCAGAGAGTGGTAAGGGGTGGTGACTTCTCATCTTCTCAGGACCTTTTCTATAAGGTCCAGTAGCATTTTACTCTGTCATCCTATTCTGCTGGATGTATGGGGCAACATCATGAAAATGGAGTGTCCTGATGGCATTATTTATTTCTCTCTCTAATCAACCTGGGTCCTAAAATTCTGGTTTGGCAGTGTCTGTCCAGGATATAGGGAGGGATGTGGAGAAGGTGTTTGAAGCTGAATCCAGAAAAGACTGAGTTGATTGGTAGGCCCTATGATCTGGGAGGGTCAGAAATATCTTCTATTAATCATTTTGGCTTCCTAAAGCCAGTAAGGTGTAGTGGTTAGAGTGTCAGACTAGGACCTGGAAGACCAGGTTTAAATCCCCGCTTAGCCATGAAGCTCACTGGGTGACTCTGGGCCATTCTCTGCCTTTTAGCCTGGAGCTCCTTGGAGGGAAAAGTGGCATACAAATGCAATACATAAAGTCTGCAGACTTTTGCTGGACTGGTGGACCCAAACAGTACGGTGGTACCTTGGTTCTTGAACTTAATCTGTTCCGGGAGCCTGTTTGACTCCTGAAACCATTTGAAAACCAAGGTGCAGGTTCCAATTGGCTGCAGGAGCTTCCTGCACTCAAGCAGAAGCCACGTCGGATGTTCGGCTTCCGAAAAACATTCACAAACTGGAACACTTCCGGCTTTGCGGCGTTCGGAGGCCAATTTGTTTGGCAACTAAACCGTTCGGGAACCGAGCTTCCACTGTGCTTGATAACTCCATTTAGAGAAGGTGCACTTTTTTCTCCGGTTACAAACTAACAACCACAAGAAATGTCTTTGTGCTCTCCAAGTTTGACTGTAGTAATAATGCACACTACCTGAGGATTCATCGTCACCTGGGAATGATGAAGTTGAGGATTACTACCACTTGAAAGGAATGGGCTGCTGTTGCTCCCAGACCTACACCAACATTTTGATATTTCAGTAACAATCAGAGATGCAGATTATGACTTACGAGGCCCTAAAGAGTTTTATCCTTGTATGTTCTTAGAGCTTTCGTTTCTCTTTTGTGTGCCCATCCTGACCGTTAACATAGGTGGACAATTTCTTCTTGCATGGTCTCCCTGGATGACGTTTCCCCCAGGCCCCAGAGTATTATCCCAAATCGCTATCCATCCTTTCTGTTCAAGCTAGAATTGGAAGCTAGTGAGGGAGGCTTTGTTTATCTATTTTAATCCTCTTCTTTTTTCCTGTTAAGCATCTTTTGAAACGTGTTACTGGCCCAGAGACACCAAGGATAGGGTGGGATGCAAAGTTCAACAGCTAGTGCATCACATTGCTCCTTTTTTTATATAATTCTGAGTGCTGCAGCATAACTGTGCCATGAGAGTAAAGGTGAACATTTGGAGTACTTTTCTCAGCTTATATTTGTGACTATGTGCATGCAGTGTGAATTCTTTCAGTTGTGACTTGGTGGAAAGAAACTGCAGATTTGGTGGCTTCCATTTCAAACAATTTGCTGCTCTCTTATCTTTCAGTTTACATTTTTGCCTTCCACATAAGTGTGCACCACCTCCCAGTTTTATTGCTACAAGTGTTGGGTGTGTTAAGACGGCTCAGTTTACCACTGAGCCAAATGGAAGCAGCTGCTTGGAATCGTAATATAGGAGCATCTGTATATGCCAGAAGAATGCAGTTTAGCACTATGGTTCACCCCAGAAATTATGTGCTCAAAACAACTTGTCTGTTTTGAATTGCTGCGAAGTCACTTCCCCTACTATAGAGGGGGTGTGAATAGGTGGAGAGTTGACACACGACTCTGCATCTCAAAGACTCCCAAAACAAAAGTGGGAGAGGAACCTGGGAGGCTTTCCTAGCAGAAAGGATGGATTGGCATTCGAAAATTTGTGAATTGTCAGAGTGATCCATACAATTGCATGGAGATGCGATACCAGGTCTCCTTTCCAGTGTTTGTTCTGCCAATTGTACCACTGGAAAAACAAGAGATCCCAGTGGCACTAACATTTTACGGCAGCATGCGCAATATGTTCTCATGGACTGTGGCTACAGAAAAGTTTAGTGGTTGCCGCCTGATCCTGCTTTCATCTCTATTAGAGAACAGAATACAACATACAGCAGTCTAGTTTCCATAGCACTAATCACACTGATGCCGTCACATATAGAAGAAACCACAAGAGGGCATGATGTGGTGACAATATAATGCTATACCACTGTGCAGTCTCTCACAGCCCACACACCAAATGCGGGGGAAAGTTATTCCAACCAAGGCACCATCTCCGCCCCTTAAACCCATTTTATTCCCATTTTCGTAAAGGATGAGCTGCAAAGAACAAATTAGATAGCACCAATTATTCCCCACATTTATTATTTCAGCATTCTGCTCTGATGATGACATAGTCCATGCCATATTTTAGGCCACAGTCCCAGAGAACGGAAGCATGCAAGTAAACTGAAGTCCAGCAAGAATCCCTAATGATTCTTGAGTGATCCAGACCCGCAAGGTGTTGGAAATTTGGCTTGGTCCAAACTCAGAGTGAGACCAGCCTAACCAGTGGTAAATCTGTGCTGCTCCACCAGTGTCAAGAAAGCAAATAGCCACGACAGTGTTCCTTTCTGTAAGGTTGCTTTCTTGACTATTGCCAGCATTGCTTTCTAAACCTGTTAGGCTAGTTAAGTGGTCCTGTTCTTATGCCGAGCTACTGATTTTTATCCCATTGCATGATTGAGGCTAGCTTTCCCATAAATCTCGTAAGTGTATGGTTTAAATTTTAGTGTGCCCCTCCTTTTTTTTTTTTTTTTTTTTGCTGTAACTGGTTTACAGTTCTCTTTAGTCCTACTTGTTGGTTTGTTTGTTCCTGCATGGCATTGTGTTCAAAGGGAGTGTTAAAAGCAATGGAAAGATGTGAAGGGGCTTTTGTATTGAAATGCTATTCGTCTTTCTGCACCTAGGATGGTAAGCGGATGTTTGGTACATACTTCCGTGTTGGTTTTTATGGGACTAAATTTGGAGACCTCGATGAACAAGAGTTCGTTTACAAGGAACCGGCCATAACAAAATTGGCTGAAATTTCTCATCGGTTAGAGGTGAGATGGTCTCAGCAAGTCTAAAATACAATCCTGTCGTTACATGGGCTTTCAGGGAGCTCCCAGTATGTTTCCAAATGCAATTCAAAGTGTTGGTGCTGACCTTTAAAGCTCTCAGCCCTGTATCCCTGAAGGAGCATCTCCACCCCCATTGTTCAGCCCAGACCCTGAAGTCCAGCTCTGAGGGTCTTCTGGCGGTTCCCTCACTGTGAGAATTGAGGTTACAGGAAACCAGGCAGAGGGCCTTCTTGGTAGTGGCCCTTTCCCTGTGGAATGCCTTCCCGTCAGATGTCAAATAAGTAAATAATTACACAACTTTATGAAGGCAGCCTTGTATCAGGAAGCTTTTTATGTTTGATGTCTTAATGTGTTGGAGGGCTGGCCAAAGTGGCTGGGGCAACCCAGTTGGATGGGTGGGGTATAAGTAATAAATAATTGTATTTGTAATTATAAAAAGAGTCAAGTTCAGGGATTACTTTATTCCCTCCCTCTGCAAAAAAACAAACACAAAAAACAACAACCTGTGTTCACCTGACCTGTGGTCCTGTCCACATAAGCTGTAGCATTCACATATGCAAGACAGCCATGAATAGGATTGTGGCTCAGTGCATGGGTGAAAAGGACCCTTCAGGCCAAGTAATTTCCAATCGTTCACAAAGAGCAATCAAAGATAGGAGCCCTGTTTACTTTACTTTTTAAACCTCCACAAGGTAAATGTAGGCTCAGGTTTATCTTGTACCAAGATTAGCCCAGTTCTGAGCCATGGGGTTGCATTCAGACAACCATACCTTGGCTTAATAAGCTGAGATGTGAATGAGCCTCATGCACCCACAGACAGCTGCTTCACTTTTTGCTAGTCAGGAAGTTTCAGTTAGCTATAGTTTCCCCTTACAACTGGGAACTGATGTTTTCGAGCTTCTAAACAAGCCAGAATAGAAAGCCTTGGTTTAACATTGGCTTAGGACCCTGGCATGTTTAGGAGTCATTGACTATAGTTTCCCAGCTTGAACTGAGAGTTATATATATAGTTTATTAACCGCAGTTAATTAAGACTAAATCGTTACACTCATGAATGAAAGAACAAAACAGCTGCAGTCGGGGAACAAAGCTCACTCATATCTTGGCTTAGTGTCTGCTTTGGTGTGTAATGTGTGGTCTTTTAAACTTGTTTTGCTGCACATACTGTCCAGCGTATGATAAAATGATGGGATGTTTCCACATTGACAAAATACTTTTAGGCAGACTCCCCCCCCCCACGTTATTATTTTTCCTCCCCCCCCCCAAAAAAAAATAAATGTTCCCCAAAGTTATGCAGGCATAGTCCACACCACAGGCACAGTCCTAACTATTTTTCATGTGATTCTGCTAACATTGTGTGAAACCCTTCCTTTAAAACTTTGCTCCAGATTGTACATTATAATATCTTGTTGATAATTTTCAGGGTTTTTACGGAGAAAGGTTTGGTGAAGATGTTGTTGAAGTAATTAAGGACTCTAACCCTGTCGACAAATGTAAATTAGATGCCAACAAGGTAAGAAGCTAAAAATAAGTATCAAGTTGGACATTCCTGTATCTGGTGTGAGAAGTGCCCTTGTTCCTGGCTTGTGCATGGCTACATACTATGGTTCCAGAAAATAAATTGAGTGGCTAAAATGATGCTGCACCAGGGCCATTTATCTCAGGATCTCCCTGACCTTATCCACACGCCTCTCTCAATCTAGATACAGGTAGCAGGTAGCAGTTTTTAGACAATTCTGGTATAGAATATAATTGATGTATTGTATCACTTCATACTTATTTTCACCAGGGAGACTGGGGCAAGAGTTGTCTGCTTTCACCTACTTTTGTATCTTTTCAACTGGCTCTGAGATATAAGTTCAGAGTGCGGAGGACAAAATGGCAGCAAGCTTGTGCTTTCCACTGGTGTGGGCCTCGTTCTGTCTCTTGGTTAATGCCCCTCGCTGCTCACTCACAAACATAAAAATTCTGCAGCAGGAGCAGCGTCATGAGTGAATGAGGGCCATGCGCGGTTGCTAATTGGCTGGTGACTATTCTGCAGTGTATTCCTACTAGTCTGTTTTTCTGCCCCAGGCCTATATACAGATAACTTATGTGGAGCCTTACTTTGACACATACGAAATGAAGGACCGGATAACCTATTTTGACAAAAACTACAACTTGCGGCGATTCATGTACTGTACACCCTTCACGTTGGATGGCAGAGCTCATGGTGAGCTGCATGAACAGTTCAAGAGGAAGACCATCCTCACGACATCACATGCATTCCCTTACATTAAAACCCGGATTAATGTTATTCACAAGGAGGAGGTGAGCCCTGAACAGTGATGGTAACTGTAAATTTAAGAGGGAGAAATGCCAGAAATAGAGGGGGAATGATTAACATAAAAAAATAATGCGCTCAGTAAAGTTTCAGCTTGCTGATTATTGATTGGCATGTGTTTTAGATGCATTTACAAAGCTGCTTTTACTGCAAAAGCCTGAGAGGAGGAGCTTTTATTTCAGGTGTCAGGTTTTGATACTGATGATTACTATTGCTGGAAAACTGCTCTAATTTTTTCAGTAGTACTTTGCATCTAGCAACTGGGAAAAAGAAAAATCCACACACCTGTATAGCACAGTTGGTTACATTATGGTGCTGATAACACAAAGGTTGCAGGTTTGATCCCTGCATGATATGGAACAGTTGCATATTCCTGCATTGCAGGAGGTTGGACTAGATGATCCTCAGTGTCCCTTCCAACTCTACAATTCTATGATTCTCCCTTTCCTTATTTATGAGTCTAAATTAAATTTTCTTGTAATCACAGTGAAAAGAGAAGCCCCTGATGTTCTTCTTAAATTTTCCTGTGTTCGTTTCCTTAGATCATTTTGACACCAATTGAAGTCGCCATTGAGGATATGCAAAAGAAAACCCAAGAGTTGGCTTTTGCAACACATCAAGATCCAGCAGATCCCAAAATGCTCCAGATGGTGCTTCAAGGTTCAGTAGGCACAACGGTAAATCAGGTAAGGATACAGAACTTGTAGGCCCTGTCAGTGTATTGATCACAAAGGTCCATGAGTACAACCATCAAGACTTGCTTATTTTAAAAAACGTTGTCAAAAATGGGTTCTGACTATATATTGCATATAAACAGTAATAATAGTGTGTGTGTGTGTGTGTGTGTGTGTGTGTGTGTGTGTGTATATATATATATATATATATATATATATATAACTTGTTTTGTATCGAAGAACTAAGAGGACAGTATTATTGAAGTAATGGCTAACAGAGTATGTGCAAATGCAAGTAATTTGAGTATGTAGAAGCACATTTGCCGAGTTTTACTCTCTGAAGCAAAGTGGTTCTGTGAGTTAACAGCAGAAGCAAGAGGTGGACACTTTTGATTGAATGGAACATGTGATGTAATAATCTCCCCTTCCCAGGATAGAACATCTCTAAAAAACGATTCACTTTTTTTTTTTTAAAGGCAGACATTTCACTGAATAGTAGTACATAATACATGTTTGCTCCGAAGAAAACCCTATTGAGTTCAGTGGGACTTATTCCTAGGTAAACATGTATATGTGATACCTAAAAACTAGAGGTCAGTGCCCACCAACAAGTAGGGGTAGGTGTCAGACCGAATCAGTATTTGAATCTTTGCTAAGTTCAACTGCATTGTGTGGAGGGAGCCACAAATATTTCATGAGAGTGTGGTGGGTCCTAATTTGAGATCTGTTTGTTTGCATCCTTAGAGCTGTTATAGGCAACATTTGAAAGCAATCCTTGTGCAGCTCTGCCTTCTCCTTGACAGTTGCATAAATGTCAACGTAGATAGGAAGAGAAGGGAGGTTGTGGAGTGTGGTCCTAGTGGGGAGACAGCCTAAATAAATTCTGTGGAGTCTTCCATGTATGTGAAATGATTCCAGTAGCCAGCCCTGCAGAAGTATCTCACTACCTGCCTCCTCTTAGATTGGCTAAGAAGTTAGATTGGCTTCAACCAGAGCCAGGGCCTTTTCAACTCTGGCTCCGGCCTGGTGAAACGCTCTGCCTCATGAGACCAGGGCCCTGCAAGATCTGATTTCTTTCCGCAGGGCCTGTAAGACAGAGTTGTTCCGCCTGGCCTTTGGCTTGGAGCCAATTTGATTCCCTCCCTCTTTCTTTTTTCCTTTCCTTCTCCTCCTGCGATGAGGCTACATTTTAATATTTTAATGTTGTATTTTAATTTTGTTTTTAAGTTGTAATCATTCAACTTGTTTTTATTATTGCTTGTAAGCCGCTCTGAGCCTGGCCTTGGCTGGGGAGGGCGGGGTATAAATAAAAATTATTATTATTATTATTATTATTATTATTATTCTTTAAAGGGACCACTAGAGGTTGCACAGGTTTTCTTATCAGAGATACCCAACGATCCTAAGCTCTTCCGTCACCATAATAAACTACGGCTTTGTTTCAAAGACTTCACAAAAAGGTATTGTGTTTCAATTAACATCTCTTTTTTCCCATTTTAATTGTCCTAAAAAAGATCATGATAGATATGTTGATCAATTGTCTTCTGGTGGGTCTGATTACTTACTTTAGTCCCTTCTCACCATGCAGCCCCAATGTACAGTTGTACATCAGAAGTCGAACAGAATCCGTTCCAGAAGTCCATTCGACTTCCAAAACATTTGGAAACCAAGGCATGGCTTTCGATTGGCTGCAGGAAGCTTCTGCAGCCAATCGGAAGCCACGTCGGACATTCAGGTTCCAAAAGAATGTTCGCAAACTGGAACACTCACTTCCGGGTTTGCGGCGTTCAGGAGCCAAAACGTTCCGAGTTGCAAGGCGTTCAACTTCCAAGATACTGTATATTGCTTCTTAATTCATTTCTGCGTAATTTAGAAAATTCCTTGAAACTTTATCCTACATTCCTCAAAAATGCACTACTAAGGCGTGCAACAGATTTGGCATTATTAGGTGGCACTGATGTTCTTCCAGCACGTCTTGGCCTTGATCCATGAATGCTGACGCACTTCTGCATCCTTTCAGGAGCAGTCCCCTTTTTTCTTTTCTAAACAAGGGGCATTTTGTACATGTACGGTGAGATTTTCCTGCTGTTAAACAAGGAAACACAGAAAACCTCACAGTGCTTTGTATTTACCTTTTATATACATGTTGGAGAATCATGTATAGCCAGCTGCTTTGGTACAGAAGCAGTAGTTTCATTTCTTTTTAAATGCTGTTAGACAGCTTTAGAGAAATCAGATTTCTAGGATGACTTGTCGGAGACATCTACTCCAAGAAGCAGAAAGACTGATGTTTTATTGTGTGAAAGCCAATTTTGGCATTGCGGTCACGCTGTGTTGGAAGTTTCGGATGTTTCCAAATAATGTGCAATTAGTGTTGTGACCCAAGGAGTGTACGCAAAGGAGACAGATACAATGCTGCTGGCTGGCTCCAAGAGGGTAGACTATGGTCACTTTCCTATTGTCTGAATTTTTTTGTTTTCTAGGTGTGAAGATGCACTGCGCAAGAACAAGAGCCTGATTGGTCCAGACCAAAAAGAGTATCAGCGAGAGCTTGAAAGAAATTACCACCGTCTCAAGGAAGCACTTCAGCCTCTGATCAATAGAAAAATTCCCCAGTTATACAAGACGGTTCTTCCTGCTGCTTGCCACAGGTAATTCTTATATATGTTAACATCGCTTGTTAATGTTTCTTTAAAAGGTCTCCTGGATAGGAAAAGTACATGGGAAGGCAAATTGAAAATTCCTATCTGTAGTGATATAAAATCCTTACAATTACTTTACTAACACCCCTATATCTGTGGCCCCAAGCCCTGTTTCTCACACTTCAGAAGACCAGAGCCCTGAGATAGGCGACTAGTTAATTTTATAGCTGCGTATGCAAACACTTTGTGTAGCAGAATATTACTCACCACCAGACTCTGGCGTTCGGCTTGGGAAGTAGCTTATCTCACTGTTTTTTCCTCCCCAGAGACTCCTTCAGCAGAATGAGCCTTCGCAAAATGGACATCTGAGCACCTTAAAATACACTTAAGAATTTTAAGGTATTGAACAAACGAGTGCAGTGTCATCAACACCGGGAATTTTTAATAAGTTTTATTTGGAAATAAAACTTTGGACTTTGTTCAGGACACCATGCACACATTTTACCAATTTACATGGAAGTGTTAAGTGGCCAAATTTCCCTTCTGAATTATTATATAGACTTCAAACCTTTTTTAACCCCATGGCAACAGTATACAAACTACTGGTGAGACTGTAAACACAACTGTTTTTTAAGACATTTTTTAATATTCAGAGGTACTCCAAATGCATCAACCATTATTTATAGTATTCTTTAATGTTAAATTTGTTTTTGTTTTAGTTCATATATTTATTTTATATTAGGAGCATTTGCAAATGCATTTAAACCATTTTTAATGCAGTGTTTCTTTTAATGGTACCATTAAATATTTGAATGTTTACACTTTATTTCTTGGTGTGCCAGCTTTTAAAATTCATCTTTGTGTGAAAAAAGATCCTAGAGAAAGGTAAGTACAAAATGCTTTTAAAGGATGCTTTCATTTTTAAACTTTTGTGCCACGTGGCTAGTTACATTGGGCTTGTGCCTCAAAATGCTGGGATGACCTTGGGGATATGGGGGTCCACAAAAGCCAACCTGTTTCTAAAGCGCTAATTTCCAGGTTCAAATACTGTTTTGGGTCACTGAAAGTGAAGCAGGGACTTTTGGCTTTCAAACAGACATGAGGTGATAAGTAGCTCGTCTCTTTCATTCCTGTTGCAAGGCTAAGCTGGCTTCAGCAAAGGATGCTGCACAGGAAGGAAGGACTTGTATAAAGTAGACTGGGTGTTCACATGATGTATTCATTACATAATACTACTACCGCTTCAGTGATGCTTGTTTTTTGCAAACTGCTAGTTCAGCATCAAGGCTGCAATCCTAACCCCTTATTTGAGAGTAAGCCCCAATTCAATTCAGTTGATTGACAAACATTTGTAAACCACTTAATACTGAGAAAAACCTCTAAAGCAGTGACTAACCTCTCAGTAGATATGCCGAGTGCAAAATTTTATGATTCTCTTCGGAAACTATACCAGCATACTGGAAAATGTGGTAACGGCCTTTAGCCAAAAATACCTTTAGTCCACCTTGTGTTTAATTACAAATCATATTTGAAAGGGGTGAAATCTGTAAAGCCACTACTGTTAGAATAGTGTTAAGGTAAGTGGAGTACATTGCAAATTCAGTTCACAGATTGCCCAAAACCAAACCTAGTTTTAGCATCACATGTACATGCAATAGAAAGTACCAACCAATCAAACCTCCCTTATGGAGCCCATGCATTTGTTGCCTTCAAAAGTACTGCATGCCTAAAATGTGAAGTGGTCCTTAGAAACTGGAACCCTCTGTATTGGTACCTAGCTATGCTTATCTTTTAAAGAAAAATTTCAGTAGTTTAAATATTTATACTAAAATAGCTTAACCTGAACTCAGAAATAAAACTGGAACACCAAGTCATGTATGCATTCCTACCTTGAAACTGAGATGAGCATCCCACTACATATTTTGACTATATGAGGAACAATGGAGAAAGGTAAGGGCACAAAAGAAGCAATTACCGTATTTTTTGCACCGTAACACTCACTTTTTTCCTCCTAGAAAGTAAGGGGAAATGTCTGTGCGTGTTATGGAGGGAATGCCTACGGGTGGGGGGGGGGATCTGCTGCAGTCGTGAGCAGAGGATCCATGGTTCCCCTTCCTTCCCTCCTCTGTGGCTCGCTTTGAAACTGCAAGGCGGGGAAGAGCCACTGAGTGGAGTGGAGAGAGGGACAGAGAGCCTGCTTGCTTTAAAGGAGCAAAGCAGGAGAGGAGAAGAGCCGCTTACACTCATAAGCGGCTCCTGTCCGGTTGGTTCCTTTAAAGCAAGCAGGCTCTCTGTCCCTCTCCTCCCCACTCAGCTCGCTAAATAGCAGCAAAGTTTTTCAGCTCGCTAAGCCGGGGATGAGCGGGGAGGAGGGAGAAAAGCAGAGCCTGCTTGCTTTAAAGGAGCAAAGCGGGAGAGGAGAGGAACCTTCTCCCCTTATACCCCTCTTCTTCATTATTAGCAGCATCCTTCTCCTTGTCCCTTGAGTGCTTTTCCTTCCCTCCCCACTTAAAACGTGGTTACAAAGCACGGATCCACATGGATCCTCAGGATTTTTGCATTGGGCTACTCCAAACTCACTGTCAGATCACATGTCTGTGGCCACAGCATGAACCACAAAAATCATACATCCACTGTTTCGTTTAGAATATTTTTTTTCTTGTTTTCCTCCTCTAAAAACTATGTGTGTGTTATGGTCGGGTGCGTGTTATAGAGCGAAAAATACGGTACTTTTTCAGGTCCTATGGCTTTAGAAATAAAGAACAATTATTTTTTGTTTGCAAAAGCAAATAGATTTATTTATATCAACTATACACTCTAGAATATGAGTACAAATAACTTTATTTTTAAAGAGAGCGAATATGAGTAGTGTGACGAAATTAGAACCACCTTTAAATGCTACTGTGCTCTTAAAGCATTTTATTCAACAGACTATATATACAGGTTTGTATTGCTATGATCTGTATATAATCTATAAAGATAATTACCCACTTTAAAAAAAATCATCTCATTTTTACAGAATCTTAGTCTGGTGAATCATTCTGTAGCTTCATAGGTGCTCTTCAGTGCTGATCAGATGCTAAACTTATTTACATAGTTAAAATACAACCTCACTCTACAATTTTCTTATAAAACAGCAGGTAAGGAGTAGATGTAGATGAGGAAATGGGGGACAGAAGGTTGAGAAAGTCTTTTTCCTCTGTAACTTTCACTTCGGAATCATCAAAAAGTAGCCATTTCCCCTCATACTCTTTCAAGCTCTGCATTACATGCATTGCTTTATTTTCTAGTCCAATAGCAGGATCAGTTTGCTCACAGCGTTCAAACTCCGCAACTCCTTTAGCATGGCTATGCTCTGCATTTTTAGTTTCAGTGACTATGTTAGCCATCATCTCAGAATGGGTTGCTTTGTTGCTTGGCAAATCACAGTTCAGCTTGCTTTTTTGTCCTCCAAGAAGCCCCACAGCTTCTATATTCTTTTTGTTCAGTCCTTTGTTAGGCTGAGCACTTCCACTGACTCTAAAGGAGACCTCACCGTCGTCATAGTCCTCAGTGACAGCTCTTGCTTCTTGTTCATTCAGTGGCTCTGGGTGAATTTTACAAAATGGATCACTTGTTAAGTTGTCCTTGTCCAATTCCAAGCTATCCAAATTTGTAATTTTAACAGAGGCTGTGTAGTGCCCACTGCTGATTGTAATACCACTGTGCATCACTACAGCAAACAGTCCATATATTTCGTTGCCTGGGTTTATGCTCCAGTCATCCAAAGACAGCTTGAGAGGTGTTTGTAAAGGAGTATTTATCTTGGACAGCCCACCGTAACAATCAAACCTTGGGGAGAAATGTAATAAATAGATTATGTTGTCACTTTGCACAGCTCCTTTAAAAAATAAAACTTTTAAATTTTAAAATTCAGCTAGTTTGCTTTCCTGTTGCTCTAGGATATCAGTCACTCTTAAACTTGAATTCTCTTAAATTTGCATTATCACCAAGTAATATTGCAAACGTTGAGCCAAGATGAGGTACTCTAGTGCTTAGCTTTTAGATCTCCAACATATTAAGATACTGTACTTAATTTCTTGCTGTAACAAATCAAGTGACTGAACAGCAATTTCTTTCATTTTTTTAACTATTACAAAGGTAAATTAATTTTTTTGACAATTAGTTATTTCAAAAGACAGCCCAATAGGTAAGCAATTTGCATAGGTATTTCTGAATAAGCACTACAACAAGACACCAGCTAATTTCCCCCCATGTCTTTGCACTTACAAATTGTAAAATAATTTCATATTTCGCAACAGTGAAATTCATATTGGGGACAGTTGAGTGAATCCACTCAATAGATAATTCAATTTCAGATATGTCTTTAATTTACACTTAAGCTTCCAGTTAAATAACAGCAGGAACTGTTGGTTGCCTTGTTTTTATTACAATTCACTGGTTTTTGCCTGAGGTATCTAATGTTTGAAAGCTTAAAAAAGATAGTCTATAATTATATGCTGACTGGTGTTTAAATAGCAAGAAAAGCCATACAAAAGTGGAAAATTAAGAACAGGGTTTATTTGGCAATATATTTTATGCATTATGAACATGACCTAAATATATATAATGTGGGACTACAGTGGAAGAGATACCTGTTTTAAAATATTTGTTAAGACCTTCCATGAGATACAAGAAACAGTGGGAAGAATAGGATACATATTCTAACACACATTTATTAGTGGATAGATCTTAATCATTTAAGTCTTTTGAGAGTTTGCAACTGGTGAAAAAATTATGGCAAATAAGCCAAGACAACTGATTCTCACCGTGCCTAGAAGCAATCAAGGAAGTTACCCAGCAGTCTCTCCTGGCTAATGGGGTGTTTGCTAGTTTAGGCACACTCACATAAAATACTATTATTGTACTATTGCCTAATTTATTTTTATTTCTCTAGACAACTGTCCACTTTGTAGTATTTAGGTCTGCTTTAGCACGGTCTACCTGTTGAAGAAAATATTCATCACCAGGTGAGTAGAATTTAATATTGGCTGCTTTCCCAACAAAGCGTGAGTTACAAGAAAGTACTTGACTGTGACCTAAGTAATGACAATGAATCACGTGACTTTTATTTTAGAAGGAGGATTTTGCTTAAAGGTACATGCACACTAAGGGAGCAATCCTCTGGAAGCACGCTGATGTAAATTAAGCCACTGTAAAATTACACCAGATGCAAACTCCATTAAGCAGCAGGGCTGCTACTGCCAAACCTGGTTGAGGGAAAACAAGCCTTTTAAAAATAAGTGTTCTACAATAGGTTGCCAGGTCATGTGATTGAGCTGAATGAGCTTAGAATACAGCCTTCCCTAGTCCTGCCCCACTACACCCCTGTTTTGAGGACTAACACCAGCTTCAGCTCAGGCGGGTTAAGCAACTTACACCATCATATCTTTGGCTAAACTAGGATTGGGAGATCCACTGCATCCTGAGCTGCTTGTGCTGGCAGATCTTGCCATAGGAGGGATATTTGCATGCATACAATTTGGAATGAGCTGGAAACTTTTAACACCCCATATGGTCTGACTAATTTTTTTATTATTATTTCAAAAGTAGTAGCAAGAACAAATAATTTTAGGCACACCATTTCTGGAAGTCTTTGTGCACTTATATGTATCTGCCCTCCCTGCATTCAGAAACACTGATCACACAAGATCCCCAAGAGTGTATATCTTTGTTGTAAGGATGTAAGAAGCTGCATGATATGTCCCACTGCTCTCTCTCCCTTCATGCTTAGAGGAACGGAGCTACTGTGCAAATTCCATGGGAAGCACAATCTCAACAGTATATTTTGGGATACCTAACAATATAGTTCATGCTCTTCTTTCCAGAAGTTAAATTCACTTGATGTGGGTTCCATCTTATTATTTTATATTTGTGCAAAGTTTTACTTCCAGTAGTCAGGTTGTTCAGTGTGGTTTATTCACTATACTCACTCTAATCCTCTAGCTGCGAAGCACTTCAAGTGGATGGTTATAACTTCAGGCATTTTATCAAATAGAAGACTGCGTTCAGCTTCTGTGTAATGACGACAGTTTTCACAGAAATATTTATCTTCTCCCACAATCCTCTCCACTGAAGCAAACTGGGAAATTGCCCACTTCAGAGTCTTCACTTCTGTTTTGGGATCTGGAGAAACTACAAAAGAAAGTTGCTTATATTTAGTTTGCCCAATACTGTAAACAGTTAAATACAAATCAGGTTGTTGACCACAATAATATGAGTGCAGGACATGTGAGCAAATGTTTTTAAAAGTGCCAAAATCCTAGAGAATTACACACTGAATTACACATCAGGGTTCCAAAGCTTATGCTCTGCTGTGATCTCATGACTCTCCAAAGCCAATTCCTAATCTCCATACTTCAGCACAACCAAACAGAAGGCAGTTTCTTTAAGGTGGGGAAGGGGTTTAACACCATCCTAGAAACCTGCAGAATCTTAGAGCCATGCACCCTTCCATATAACTAAGACCTGTATTATAGGAAGTATCTGTCTTGCGTAGATTGCCATGCTTCATTTCAGCACGTTACAGACTGGTATGACCACACATTTCTAAGCAACCAGAATGGGGACATTTTATAGCAGGCATAGGCAAACTCAGCTCTCCAGATGTTTTGGGACTACAACTACCACCATCCCTAGCTAACAGGACCAGTGGTCAGGGATGATGGGAACTGTAGTCTCAAAACATCTGGAGGGCCGAGTTTGCCTATGCCTGTTTTATAGGATAACAATATTCACCAACTGAAATACCATACGCAGCACATTCACACCACAACCACCCCTCTGGCACACACCTATTTCTTCTCTCAGAAGGTTTGATCAGTGTGGTGCAACTGCAAAAAGGCTAATGCAATTCTGGGGCTGTATTCAAAGAATCTTAGTTTCTAAATAACAGTGCCACCTTATTCTGTACACCCGAGGTACTATGTCCAGTTTTGGGTGTTGTGCTTTTAAAGGGCATATAAACAAATTGGAATTGGTTCAATGGAGGATAATGAAATATGGAAAACAAGGCCTATGAGAAAAAGTTAGAGAAACTAGGTATGTTTCACCTGGATAAAAGACATATTTATTTAGAAAACTTATGCCGTACCCTTCCAATGCATCTGCATCTTCCAAGGTAGCTTACATTTTATTAATGCCATTTAAAAAAAGCACAGAAATGCAACCAAATCAGCAGATTGAAAACATTCTAAGAAAAATGTAACAAGCCAACCAGATACTTGTAGGGCTGTCATACAGAAGAGGGCAAAGACTTGTTTCCTAAAGTAGTGACCTTAAGTTACAAGAGTTACTGTACATTTAAGTTTGACAGTGGAACAAAATTACTGGGAAGGGGCCCTTGCTCTTGGGAGCTGAATAGCAATCTCTGCTGGGGGAAAGCTGTAGCTCTGAATTTCCTTCATCAAGCAGAGGGTTCACTAGCTGATCTACAGTACAGAAGGGAACTCCAGCCCATGGGCCTGATTAGGCCCAGCAGGGATCCTAACTTCACTCACAGTACTGTTTTCCCCAAACCATGCCCACCTGCCCCACCCTTGGCATCAAGTGTAAGCTGGGGAAAAACTGTTTCCAAGAAAATGGTTGCATATGTACTTTAAAAGGTAATGTCTGTCAGCACCCATCAGGTGACAAGTTGTCAGGATACAACTTAAAAAGAAATAATAAAACTATATATAGAAATGTACACCCAGAATTTAACTACAGTTGGCAGGGAAAGTATGCATAATCCTCCCAAACACAGGCATGTGGATCACAAGCATACTTAAAATTTACTGTGGTTTATACTTACTTTCAGAATTCTCTTCCGTTTTTGAGAGCTCTTCTTTTTGCACTGGCACACTAATATCTTGAAAGTCTTCTCTTCTCTCAGTGAAACTCTCACACTCTAAACATCGTGTTCGTAACACCAACTGACCCTGGAAGAGTCTCTCCACTAAATCGAAGACAGCTAACTCTGAACCTAAGGGAAAACACATACCGGATTAGGTTAAACTCTTTTCCTGAACAGATATTATCAGAGTTCTCTGAATTTCATCATTTTACTGCAGCTCCTCATACTGCATCTGACACTACTCCTCCAAATCCCATATATTTGAGCAGCTGAAACAGCAAGAGGAAATGCTCCAAAGTATAGTTCAAAAACTGTATGCCAAGGCAGGAAGTTCCATCCACAGCTCTTTGGATCTCTTTAGATCCCACTCCATATGAGCAATGTAGTTCTTATTAGGAACTTCACTTATTAGGCACTACACTGGGGGTATATTCTTGATATTGAACCCGCTAATGTCATTGCAGCCCTATCTTTCAGATGCAACCAGCACACCCCTAAGCATGTTTACTCAAAAAGGAGTATGAGAAGAAGAATCATTCATTATGCAGAAAATGCTTTTCCATAGGGCAAGATAAAAGATCCTTTAGCATACAGGCTTAACCATTCTAGGCAGCTTCTTACATCTAAAAAAGAACTTTACCAATCTACCCCTACAAAGAAATCCCTGTATTTTCAGTTTTTGTTTTTAAGAATACTAAAACTATTGATTTAATTTTCATTAAGTTAAATCCAGAAGTATTAGAAATGTTAAAACACTGACCTTCGCTGTATTACATTTTGGCTTGTTATATTTGCCAACTCAGATCTAGTTAACCCAACCCTGCAATATGCCACTGTTCTGCTTGCTTAGGGCAAGTATCAGCCATCTTTGCTTTGCCGTACAAGAAAGCTACAGTGCTGGAACTAAACGTATATCTCAATCTCTTTCCACCCTATGTCCCACCATGCATAGTTAATGACAGGAGAAAGTGAGACACAAAACCCAGCCATGAAACATGGTTGGGTTAGTAGTCTTGCTCCTAGGTTTACAGCACTATCCTAAAATGTTTACTCAGAAGCCCATTGAGTTAAATGATGCTTATTTCCTAGTATATAATATACAAATGTAGTCTTAATAAGCCACAAAACATGTACAGCCCTCATAGCTTGACTGTGGTAAAAAAAGAAAAAGAAAAAAGAGCCAAGCCAAGGAGGCAATTCATGTGACTTGTTCCATCTCTTCTACCACTATGAAAACACAAAAATGTGGCCAGGTGATCTCAACAAACTGGGCACACACACAAGTTACTCATAAGGCTAACCTCTCTGGCATCGTTTTTCAATTTCTTTTTCGACAGCGCTTTCAATAGATGATGGATCACAGTAGTCTTCCGTTCCTTGGCTGCCATTTTCACACTTGCGGAAACTGTCTGTGAATCCAGAGTTTTCTATTTCTTTAACAGGCTCTTTGAACCCCAAGTTTGTTGTCAGCTTTCCCAAACTACAAAATTTGGACAGAATGCTAGGTTGCTTGCTTGAAGATTTTAACCAATTTAATCGAAGTCTGGATTTTTTATGGGTTGGTTTTGTATTTTCATTTTCAATGCAATGCTTAACGGTTGCTTCAGATTGATTTTCTAGTTTTTCCTCCAGGGCTTTTCTCTTTGACCTGGTCCGTCTCTGATTCTCTTCTATTCCAATTTTCTCTTTGGAAACTTTGGATTTTTTCTTTTCATTGCCATCCTCTGTATCATTTTTTCTTTTTGCATTTCCGTTAGTTTTATCTTCACCGTCCTCAATAGATTGGTCAGAGATCAAACTAACATCTTCCTCAACAATACCAGTACTGCCAATATCCTGATTAGTAGTTTTCTTTAGTTCAGCTGTGGGCTCTTCTAGTGATCTGGGTTTCAGTTGTTCCTTCAACAGCTGACATGTTTCTTGGATATGTCCCAATATACACTGCAATACTTCTTGGGCATCATGTTGCAAGTATCCCTCATACATGGGGTTCAGTTCCCTTAAAAAAAAAATGCAACACATTACCTAATATACACTGTCAAAAAATAGCTTAATGACACAGTTTAGACAGGGATTCATGAGCATAGCCAAATTTGGCAGGTGCCCTTCTTGGGAACACATTTTAAGTACAATTCAAGTTACTACGCTATGTTTGGGGGATCCAAAATTAAAATGAAGTAGATGTACAGCTTCATGAAGTTGCTCAGTTTTGCAGGCTATTATGTATTTAGAATTATGGAGATATATTTTTGTAAAAACTAGTATATTACAGATGATTTATTATTTTTGCCTATCAGTCATTTAAATTTGACTGATTTGAGAGATCACAGAACAGGTTCAAACTCTAATCTGCATTGTTGCTAAGCTACCTCACATTATCAAGTGACTAGAAATGAACACATCTACTGTAAGAAGATGCTGGAGAACATATTTGTGAATAGGAATAATTCAATAAACTTAAAAGGCTGTCTTCCTGCAGCAAATTACAATATTCCATATAATTTGCTTCAGAAATAGTTAGAAACACATCTTTTGTACCTAAGCGTATTTAGTAGTCTTCTTGGCTGAGTTGCAAGTTCATCTGTGTATTTATCGGAATTTAAGAGAAAGCTGGCCTGAAGCTGTTCAACTGAAACAATCAAGGAGTGTAAACTGCAGACCAGTTCATAGCTTGCAAGAGAATCTTCTTTACTTCCCCCCTGTAAAGACAGAGAAAATACGTGTTTGCATTTGGAAGTTAATTTTGTTGCCTTCTTTTTAGCTAGTTACATAATTTTATAATCCTTTTTCATAATATTGATGTGTTTAATTTCATTTTGCACACCAGCTCAAGCTGTTATGATTCTGTGATACAAAATTTCAAATGTATAAATGTTATCATCATTGTACCGGTAGTAGGTTGTTATTTACTTAATGCCAAAGACTGAAGTCAATTAAATGACCCTTTTACTGTCTGAAAGTGACTATAGAACTACACTAACAAACGAATCTTCATTGTGCTTCAGTCCTAATTCTATGCCATACTATATAAAAAGATACCATATAAGGCATCATCTGTCTATCCTGGGATACATTTGACTAGTTCTAAAACAAGGGTGAGGAACGACCAGCATGCAGATGTCCTACTTTGACCCACAAGGTCATTTCCTGCAAACCATGTTCACCTGCCCCACATCTGACATCACATAAGACACCAGGTATAGACAGCTACTATGGAACAATCAGGATCCTAAAGTGAGTTCCTTAAAACGCCTTTGCAAGCAGGGCTGCCTGTTAGCATCAATAAGCTGATGGAGGTTTAGTGCTCTTTCAGAGGGGCTTGCTCCATTACATAAAATTGGTTTGCATCCAAACCACTTAAAACTGAGTTCCCACCCACCTTCCAGCCTTATAGCAAGTGGTTTCAATGCAAACTGCTTTGTGCTAATGGGGCAAGCACCTCTAAAAGCATGCCGAGTCTAAATTATCCTGCTACAGAAGTGACATCTTTCATAATAAACTTTCTTCCAAAGGAAGGAGCAAAAGTGATTTGTTTATATTGAACCCATGATATACTAACTTTTGTTATGTACAATATGCCTAATAACAGACAATATGTTCTCACCTTATCAGTGTCGCCTTTTAAGCTTTCCTTCTTGTTTGTAATTATATTAAATAGTTGTTTCACTCCAGTCTTAAAGCCAGGGCAAAAATAAAGCACCTAAAATAGGAACAAGACATGCAGTACAATGAAGGAAAACAGAATTTGTGAAACACATATTTAGCTATATATTTGTGTGATGTAGCAGAATGAGTATTTCACTTAGATCAGGGAGGCCTGCTTTCAAATCCCTGCTAAGTCATGAAGGACACTGGTTGACCTTGGACCAATCGCTAGATGGCCTGATTCACAAAAATCATATCCTGGCTTATGGGTATATATAGCACCTTTGCAATTAAGCCAAGATAATAAGCTAACTTCAAACCATAGCTTAATATCCTCACAAGTCATTAACCATAGGTTTCCAGGCTCATGTATAACAGAAATCTATTTTTATAAACAGAATATTGAACTGCTTAGCCATTTGCTCAGTGGGTAGAACAAAAGGGCATGGAAGGGTTATGCCACTCATTAATAAACTAGCTTATTAAGCCACAATTTGATTGTGCAGTTTTACTCAATCTTGCAGAAAAAGTAAGATAATAAATGGAAGATGACCCAATGCATGTGCCACTTTTGAGTTCCTTGGAGGGATGGGATACAAATTTAGAAGTTGGCATCAACAGATGTAATTGTAGATAAACAGAAGTGAATAAATAAGTCTAAATATATATCTGTTGCAAAATAAGACAAGACCAAACTGTCATGATAAATCTTAAACATATGTCTCTATGATGAACGAATGTCAGGCCTTAATAAATTGCTGCGCATATAAGGTGTTAATAGTAAGAGACAGGTGGTCATAACTATATCTGAAATCTGTTTGGGATGAATATTTTCAGGTTGTGCTCTGCGGCAACCCGGAAGTAACGGAGCACATTACTTCTGGGTTTCGCCGCTCGTGCAGACACTCAAAATGACGTCACGCGCATGCGCGGAAGTGGCAAAATGCGACCCGCGCACTCATGTCTTACATTTACTTCAGGATGCGAACGGGGCTTCGGAACAGATCCTGTTCGTATCTAGAGGTACCACTGTATACTGTTATTTTTAAAAAGTGTTTTACAGTACATTGGTTCTTAAGAACTTCCCCCCTGCCCCACTGTTTCATTCATGTTGTTTGAGTTTTATTTCTAAATGCCATAGACTGGCTTCAAAGTTCTCATATTATTTTTATTTTTTTAAGGTTACATCTGTTACAAAAAAACAAAAACAAAACTCTAAAACAGAAATAAAGCTATGCTACATAGCTTGTGTATCCAAGTGTTATCAATCATTCTGGTTCCATTTTGGAACTCCAATCTCCTGACAAGGCCTGGTTATCAATAGGCAGGTGAAACTGTTTTGATCTAGCAGACGTTTGGACAAAGGAGGCATAGTGGGTCAAGCTACTGCAGGTTTTATCAGTACTATGGTTTTACAGTTGTTTTCATGTTTAGTTTTCCTTGTTTTCCCTCTGAGCTAGGTAAAGCAAGTATTTTTAAAGCACTTCCACTGAAAATGTTAAGTTAAAAGACAATGGCTTGACTTTTGATGGATTATACTCATAGTACAGCCTCTTCAAATACACCTCATTTTAATATTTTGCAAACCATACTAAGAAAACAATATCCTAGAGCCTGCCACATATCTTCAGATATGAGAGCCAGTGTGGTGTAGTGGTTAAGAGCGGTAGTCTCCTAATCTGGGGAACCGGGTTTGCGTCTCCGCTCTTCCACATGCAGCTGCTGGGTGACCTTGGGCCAGTCACACTTCTCTGAAGTCTCTCAGCCCCACTCACCTCACAGAGTGTTTGTTGTGGGGGAGGAAGGGAAAGGAGAATGTTAGCCGCTTTGAGACTCCTGAAGGGGAGTGAAAGGCGGGATATCAAATCCAAACTCTTCTTCTTCTTCTTCTTCTTCAATGTTTGTGCAATGTATTTGTTACACAACTTATGTCCATCAGGACGTAAGATGGAAAAGGGTGATTATAACAAAAAGCAAATTGCCCAACTTATGAGTATGTGCTGAAACCTGGTCAGTGCCTGCACGGGAGACCTCCTGGGAACCACCAGTATGCTGCCATGGGTTCCATGACGAAAGATGGAATATATATGGAATGAAATAAATTTTAATATTGTGCAATGGGTCTCCAATAAGAGAAAAGGTAAAAATCTTGCTCTCTACAGCCTCTTTCCTCTGTTGCTTCCTTCATGCAGCACACATAAATACATACCAAGTAAGCTTTTAATTCCCTTAATTCACACAAAATTACTTTAGACAACACTATATTTTTAACCTGTTATGAACTTACCTGAAGTATACTGTTAAGATAACATGTGTTACCAAGATTGTTCAAGCCCACGAAAGGTAGCATGTTGCCTTTCTTCTCACAACAGATAGGCGACGGTGAAAGTGGCTGTGTTGCAGGAACTACCTGGTCACTGTCATACAAAAAAATATGTTTTATTCCAAAATACACATGTGCAAATGTCTTCTAAATTTAGAAATTGACTTTTTGCTAAAATACTGTTTCTTAATCCCTGCTCTATGTAGTAAGGTAAAAGGTAAAGGACCGCATGACAGTTAAGTCCAGTTAAAGGCAACTATGGGGTTGCGGCGCTCGTCTCGCTTTCAGACCGAGGGAGCCTGCGTTTGTCCACAGACAACTTTCTGTGTCATGTGGCCAGCAAGACTAAAACGCTTCTGGCACAACAGAACATGGAAACCAGAGCGCACGGAAACGCCGTTTACCTTCCTGCCGCAGAGGTACCTATTTATCTACTCACACTGGTGTGCTTTCGAACTGCTAAATTGGCAGGAGCTGGGACAGAGCAAGGGACGCAGGTGGCACTGTGGTCTATACTACTGAGCCTCTTGGGCTTGCTGATCAGTAGGTTGGTGGTTTGAATCCCCACGACGGGGTGAGCTCTATGTAGTACCACTATTGAGGTACCACATAAAAATCACACTCCAAAAATAATGAATTAGCCGTCTCTAACTGTACAATAAGATAATTAAAGTACAATAATTATAAGTACAAAAATGGTATTGATAACTCTTGTGTTTTCCTTGACAACATAACAGATTTCTTTCTGGCCAGGAATTCTTCAATGGCTAAAGTATTATTATCCCACACAAGCTCCCATTTCACAGGAGTATTAGGCCAACAGTATACTGTATGGCCATAATTAGACCAGGATTTAAAGTTCCCAGTGCAGCCTATTGAATTAGTTTTCCATTTTGACACCTTAATCTATTTTTTTTAAAATAAAGTATTTTCTCATATGGAAACAAACTGCTAAAGTGTAAGGAACCTGCAATCAAGAATAAAGGTGTGCAGCACAATCTTGTGTGTAGAAGTTAATCACACAGAATACAGTAGTTCTTACTTCCCATTACGTATTCTTAGGCCTGTATCCTTTAAAACCTTTCTACCAAATTTAATGTTTTAACAAACAGTTCACTTTTTGTTATTCCACCCAAAGCAGGCTATGTAGGGTACTCTCTATCCAACTCTGCTAAGTCCTTTGACAGAAAAAAGTTCAAGGTCTAGTACATTTCTAAATCTCTTCCACTGGGCTCAATGGAGTTTTGAAAACTTATCAACTTGGGTTGTATTATGCCTGTTCTACCCTCAATTAGCATAGAATGTATGTAATGCTACCTATATACAAAACAAATTGTCACCAAGATAGAATACCAGTAATCAAACTGATTTCAGTCATAATCCATTATGTTAACAGCCTACTCCATTAGTCTTCTGTTAGAAAACATTAAAAGCCAACTGAAGGCTGGGATATACATAAGCCAATGCAAATATGTGTAGTTACAGTAATTAAGCACAGCCAGTAAGATTTTGCATAACCGATACAGTAAGATACAGAACTTTAAGCATAAACTGTAACACAAATATAGAAATGAAGATCCACCAAAATGCCTTTAAAAGTTCTCTGCACATTGTGATGAGTTACTGAAAAATAAATGCTTACATACATTTCAGAACATTCATATTCTGAAGTCTTTTGCTCATTTTCTGCCGATTCTGCAAAATCCAGAGCTCTTTTTGTTTCCCTTTTCTGAAAGAACTTCAGCGAAAGTCTGCTTCTTTTCGTGGGGGTGCCTCTTGAAAGCCCGCTACTGTCACTGGGCAGCACGCCTGGCATTTTCCCCCCTCACCACAGAACGCCGAGGGACGAACACGACAAAACTGCAACCTGTAGTCATGCCTGTCAAAAGCATATAAAACACCACGTTTGTATGTTTTGTAAGCGGCAGCGTGTATTGTGACGACACAGCTTCGCAAGAGCAACCGGAGCACACGCCGAAGTGGGCCGGGAAACACAACTGCGCTTTGATTAGCGCGCGATGCAACTCCAAACTGCGACCGCTTAATACAAAGTTCCCTTTGACCTAGACATTAAAAGCCGGCGGCTTCTGAACTTTTTTTTTTGGTTGTTAAGGGGAAGCGAAACAGTGCAGAAATCTGACGCTACCGGCCAGGGCGGAAATCCTATTTACTGGAGACTGAAGCGCCAAATCGCCCCAGGTTAAGACTTAAGAACGTCGGGATGTCGTTACTTTTCCGGTACACAACCCCGCGGCATCTCCCCCTCCGCCCTAAGATTTGAGGGCAGCTCGAGAAACGACCCCCCTAAAATACTCTCGGCCCGGCACTTGATGCGAAAAGGATGAAAACCGAAAGCCGAAAAAACCTTCCATAGGAGGGAAGCAGGCAGACACGCTCCCCCTGCACACACGCCACGGGCGGAGCCAAGGAAAAAGGGGGAAGGGCAACTACCCCCCCCAAATCAATAAAAATACTTAACTGAGGTTCCGAATCCCCCCCTTTCCACACGAAGCCTGGCTCCGTCCGTGACAGACCAAATAAAAAAAACCGCAGCGGAGAGTTCCGTAGCGCGCCTTGCACTTCACAACTAATTTCCGCCTCAAGGGTGAAAAGGAGGGAGAGCGAAATATTCCCTGAAGCTCCCCTCAGACAGGCAGGCAGGGCTGGGGCTCGAAGCGCCAGAGAACCAGCGGCGGCCCGCAGTCGTTCCCTCGGACCCCCCCCCCCCGGGGAACGAGGCGGCGGTAAAGGCAGGCAGAGGCGGCCACCCGTCGCCTGGAAAGAAACGCGCGCCCCCACCCGCCCGCTCGCTCATGGTGGCGCGGCCGCCGCATCTCCTCACCCGCCGCCGCTACATCCTCTCGTCCTGGCCAGGTCCCCGCGGGCGAGGCGCGGGAGGGCGCTGCCCCGGAATAGCCCCTTCCCCAGCTGCTCTATAGACTGAGGGGATCTGAGGTCCCTCCAAGCTCAGTCACACACCCACCCGCCCACGACGGGAAACTTGGCGCGTTTTGCACACCGCCAGGACCCCTCGTTCCCCCACCGCGTTTCTCGCGCCGGGCGACTCGGGGGTTGCCCTGAACGGATGCCGGTTTGGTCACCGCCCGCTGAGGCGGTGAAAAGTTCGGCAAATTGCCTCCCTAGCTGGTTTGGGGCCCTCCCCCGCTTCTGGTGCAAGCAAAATCGCTGCCTCCCTGCCTCCCTTGTTCTTTTGGGCTCAGGCGGGTGGCTAAGACAGCTCGGAAGGGTCCTCGCAGAAACGCGCGCGTGCAACGGTAGAGGCCTGGCTGGAAAGCTTAAAGCCCGCCGCCAACAGGAGACGGATGGAAGAAAAGGAACTACGAATCGGCCCCACCCTGCTCCGTCGCTTGACCAATCGCGGCCTGCTTTGGCTAGCCAATCGCTTTACCCGCAGGGCCAGAAGAAAAGCAGAGTGCTGTTTTAAAAGTGACAGTGTAACGGTTGCTGGGACGCAGAGGCCTGAAGGAACGTAGGGGAGAAAAAAAGGCGCGAAAGGGGAAACTAGGTGGAGTCGTAGATCTATTAAAAAAAGTGTAGACTTACACGCGCTGGCGATTTCCGTTTTGACTTTTAATGCTCGTTTTGGGCTTCTCGGAAGTGAAGGCGAGAAGTATCTGCATCAAGTTGACACAAGAGCATCTGCAATGCAATTGACTACAGTAATTTGCTGCACCCTGGGGTGCTGGAAAGGCAAACCAGCAATGATCAGAAAATAAGAAGCAGTGAGGAGGAGCTGGGAGTCACCAACTTGGCAAATCTGCTGCCCTACAAATGTTGCAACTCCTATCAGTCCCAGTCAGCATCGCCAAATACCTGGCCTAAGTCTAAAATTACTCCTTCACAACAATTAAAGAGATCAAACCACTCTTTCCTTAACGGAAACTTGTGAAAGGAGGCTGACACATTGGTATTAGTAAGACTGAAAGATTCCCGTGGGCTGGAATATGCCCTCTCATAAAACTGCTTTGGGGTCAGGGAAGAAGGAGGAAAACAGGATTAGGGCGATGGCTTTGATTACACAACTTGCCTCCAGTGCAGACAGCCACTCACTCCTTCCCCCGGGGCTTCTGCTATGATCAGCTTTGCAAGCCCTTCACCCAGCGTTGCCTTCCTACCACTAGGGAGTCGGAGGGACTTCAACACTGTACTACTTTGCAGGATTGTTGTAAATTCCTCTTTCGGTCTCAGCAATTAATCTGCAGTATTAATCGGATTTTGTTTGTGACTAGCCATTCCCTCACAGGTCTCCACATTCAGGCCCCAGCAATAGGGAGATAACAGTGTCCTGACCTGTATTTGCAGTTGGATTGGCAGGATGTTTTATAAGTGTTTAGAAGACCCCCAACCTTCTCACCTTTTAGAAGATCAGCAATTTCACATTTGAGCTATTTGAGAACTCTCAGGTGCATGGCATTGGATCCCATATATCCATGGATACCCTTCATTCCCTAAAGAAAACAAATGTATAGTAAGTCCCAATATTTCCCTTTCACAGCCTTGTTGTGGGGAATGTCCAGTTGGCCATTTCTGTGCCATGCAGACTGTTAAGGCATAGAAACTTTAGTGAGGAACGCTGCTGGGGCAAACAGTTGATATAATAGTGGGAAGATCAACAGAATTGTTTGGTCAGTATAGGTTCGGGTGGGGATTGATATAAGAATTGAAAAGGAAAGCCTTTTCAAAAGGTAAATAGAAAGTTATCTGATAACACTGCCTTATACTATTTTTAAAATGTTGACTTGGGCTTGTATTTTGCCAAATCAAGGAATGGTAGGTGAATCTGATAACTGGAGCACTGCAGCACCAACTGAGAATCCCTTTGCTTTGGTGCCCTGATGAAGTTGCATTGGTCCAAGGCAGCCTTCCCCAACCTGGTGCCCTTCAGATATCTTGGACTACAAGTCGCATCAACCTCAGCAAATTGGAGGGCACCAGGATGAGGAAAGCTGCTCAGTGTTAGAACACATGATGTGTAGTCATAACCTGTTTTGTTCCATTTTAAGCAAAACATGAATCTAATGGGCCCCTATTTTGGGTTTTTTTGGGGGGAGGGTCTTTTATGCCCCAGTCATTTCTGACAAGTGTAGACTCCAATATCACGCATCAAGAAAATAGTATATCCTTTGTGGTGGGTTCCTTGAAGTATATCAAGGACAAAAAGGCAGGAACTGGATATGGGAGTTTGTTTAAACAGATATTCACTGTCTCCACTAGATGGTGCTCATATTGTGTGTGTACTGTATTTAAAACCGCAGCCAGAATCATCACACTATGTCCCTCAGCTTACTATTATTATTTTTTTACTGGAACTAAACGTTGTGGAACAGGGAAAGTTGAAAGGGGGTATCTACCCTGCGTCTCAGGACTTACTTTCTTTTTTCTCATTCATACCTAACATACACTGACAGCATGGATCACAACCCTGGATGAGCACCTGGAACCCTCTGGAATTTTGCTACCATTCAGCATGGATTGGGAGTGGCATATAAATACTTGCATGGTTGGAACATAGGAATTCATTGTTTTTAAATGATACACTCATGAGGGGATTGGGGTAGTCATACAAAGCTAATGTGCTACCAACTTTACTGTACGCTTGTGAAACATGAACCACTTAGAAACGCCATCTCCAACTCCTCGAAAGATTCCATCAACGGTGTCTCCGAAAAATTAACACATCACTTGGGAAGACAGCTGAACTAATGCCAGTGTACTGGAAGAAACAAATATCACCATTGTTGAAGCAATGATTCTTCAACAACAACTTTGTTGAACTGGTCATGTTGTGTGGCTGCCCAATTATTGTCTTCCAAAGCAACTAATCTATTCCCAACTCAAGAATGGAAAGCGAAATACTGGTGGACAACTAAAGAGGTTTACAGACGCTCTCAAGGCACATCTAAAAAAATGTAACATAAGCACTGATAACTGGGAAACACTGGCCTGCAAGTGCTCCAATTGGAGAACAGCCTTTACCAAAGGTGTCATGTACTTCGCAGAAGCATGAACTCAGGGCAAAAAGGAGAAATGAGCTAAGAGGAAGGCACATTTGGCTAACCCTCAACTCCTGCCTGGAAACCTATGTACCCACTGTGGAAGGACATGTGGATCTAGAATTGGCCTCCAGAGTCACTTAACGACTCACTGTTAAGACCATGTTCTTGGAGGACAATCTTACTCGGCTACGAGTGATCACCAAAGGAGGAGGAAGATGAAGGGGTAGTCATTAAAAAGTTATAGTATCAGAATCATTGCAGGGGACACAGGAGTGGTCAGTAAATGTAATTTTGGCATCAAAACAGGGCAAGCACATGAGAGCATTCAGAAAGAAACAATTTAATAGACAAGTTAGGGTGGGGGCCTTGGAGGGCCACAAAAAAAAAAGCTTGACATCACAGCATGGGACATATAGGAGCATTCAGCACATTAACAAAAACACAGACTTTTTTTGCATCACAGCATATAACCCACTGAAGCAGTTGCATTATTATTATTATTATCGCATTTTTAAAATGACAAATGGAGGAGTCACAAAAAAAAACTTTTGGGACTGGATAGTCACAGGCTGTGCATTAGATAACCCTAGAATGTTCACTGGGAAAAACATTGTGTAAATAGTGAATTGGCCCTCTGGAGTTCTGGAAGAGATAAGTTATTCCTTTCAGAACATGGCTTGCTGAAGGTCTTCAGTGACTTCTCTGACATTCTGTGCTTTTAAAGAGTTCTACACAGCACAACAGAGTGATGAAATGGCACCTTTATTTTACAATAGAAAAAGAACTAAATACAGTATTGTAAACCTGTCAAAGGCAAGACAAAGTGAACATCTGGGGAACACAGGCTTGTTCCATTTAAGATGGACCACACACACACACACACACACACACACACACACACACACATCTTCAGAAGCCCTGAGTTATGCTTCCCCCCACTTTACTCATAAGATGGCTTTCATATTACTCAGACATTGTTTCTTATAAGGGCTTCTGTTTTTTGCAACCCTTTTCACTGACAGGATTTATATAAGGAAAATGAAATCCCCCATAAGATGAGGGTGTAACTTTGTAAATATTTCATATTCAATATGAAACAGATACATCAGATTCACATACCATCATGCTACACAATGAAAGACTGATCCTGAATGTCAATTTCATTTTTTAAATATAGAAGCTAAGAACTAAAATGCTTACCTTGGGTGCGGTTTGTAGAAACAATGTAAAGGTATACCAGGGGTTTCTTGACCTTGCATTTGCAGTTTAGTTAGGAAAAAAGGTTCAAATCTATTTCTGGTCTATATTAGTTTCACATGTGTTCATTCAGGTTGCATGCATATATTTTATTCCAGAATCAGAGGAGACAGTACTTATATGTGGCCACCTACACATCACCCCAAAAGATGTAGTTTCGAATACAATTTGCATATACCAGTTTACTTATTGAGAGATGCAAATGCAGAAATAATTTCTCTAATAGAAACAGAGTACATCTCACCATGGCTGTCCAGGTGCTAACCACTAAGGCTTCCCTTCTTATAATTATCTTTAAACCACATTTGGGCTAGAGAACCTTTCAAATAGAAAACTATCCCCAGACAGTCTTTCAAATAGAGGACTTGTCTTGTGTAAAAAAGTTCATTTGGCTTTCCTAAGCCTAGCACACTAGAAGTTGCAGGACAGAGGTTTCAGTTAAAATATAATATCAGCATTTTCAGATATGAAATTATTCCTGATAAAATACACATATAAGGTGGAATCCCATGTAGTGCTAAGTCACTGATTCTAACAGTGCAAGGATTTTTGCTTGTGTATCCCCTCAATCTGTTCTAGGAGTTCCCCTAACCCTCTGAGGAGGGTGTGATGCATGCGTGGGGAATCCCATTGCACAAGCAGAAATTGTTGCACAGCATCAGAAAGCAGGTGGTGGAGGGAGCAAACCTGCTTACCGTATGTGCAATGAAAAATGTTTGGATGGATAAGATTAAACCAGCTCTAATTCTATAAACTTTATAACTGCAGTCTGCAAAAATAACTGCACTTGGAAAACCAAAAGCTCCCCATATACTTTGCCAAAAATAACCACACACAGCACTTGAAAAGCGCAGCTTTCCGGGAGGCAGAATCTTTAAGGAGCTGAAAGGAGTCTCCATTACAAAGCATTACCCCTGCAAGAGAGTCTCCTGCAACCTTTAGTTGTTTCTGTGCTTCACATAAACCATGGAAACCCCAGCCTATTTAAAAGCCTACTTCGGCCCCAGGGTATTTCAACATTAAACCTATAAATCTAATAGGCTTCCTGCATTGTCAAAATTATGGTGCGAGTTTTGTGGACACTGTGCAAATTGTACACATACCATATGTTCCTTTATTAACCTCCCTTCTGAGGCCTCAACACTAGGTAGAGACCGCACAGCTGGAAAGACTGCAAAATGCTCTGATTTTCCTGAAGTGCCAGAGTGACAAAATCCATTTGTCTTTGGCAGAGTAGCCTAATTTCTGATCAAATGCCTTAAGATTGTTTTGCTCCTAGAGTTCTGCTAATGCAGGAAGTTTTGTTTCGTGTAATGGTCTACAAAGAAAAGAACCAGCTGTTAAATAGTATGCATGGTGGTAAAACAAAATAGTAAGGGCACTTGCCTAATTTGCAATACTGTACAGAATACTACAGAACAGCATTTTTCAAACTGGATAACTGCAAAATAAAAAGGTAAAGGGACCCCTGACCAGTAGGTCCAGTCGTGGCCGACTCTGGGGTTGCGGCGCTCATCTGGCTTTATTGGCTGAGGGAGCTGGCATACAGCTTCCGGGTCATGTGGCCAGCATGACTAAGCCGCTTCTGGTGAACCAGAGCAGTGCACAGAAACGCTGTTTACCTTCCCGCCGGAGCGGTACCTATTTATCTACTTGCACTTTGACGTGCTTTCGAACTGCTAGGTTGGCAGGAGGAGGGACTGAGGAACGGGAGCTCACCCTGTCACGGGGATTCAAACCACCGACCTTCTGATCGGCAAGTCCTAGGCTCTGTGGTTTAACCCACAGTGCCACCCGCGTCCCTAACTGCAGATAGTTCTCGCATTAAAGTAAATTAGAGGCACACTTCAGTCTTACATAAAAAAAAGATACATGCATTTTCTCAGTAATCTCTCAGACGAATCAAGTGCATGATAGCCAGGAATAAGCAAATAGGTAAGGTTTGGTTTCTCTGAGTTTTTCATTTTTCCTGCTTTGCAAAGTTTAGTTCTCCACATTTCTACATCAGTGTTTTGATAAAAAGTCCTCGTGAAAATCCACCAGCATTTTAGTGTTGAATTTCTCCTGCCAGATGTCAAGAAAATAAACACCTGACTCTTAGAAGCCCTGTATAGGGAGTGGCTGGGGCAGATGGGCAGCATATAAATATATAAATATATTAAATATAAATATATTATTTTTTATTATTAGCACATTTTAATATACAGTTTCCCCTAATATAATGCATTTTTGTATGTTCCTCTCAATAATGCATGGATTTTGTTTCAGCCCTTACCCTGTTATATTCATTTTTGTACGCATTATTTTGCTGGAGGACTGTACATTATTGCAAAAATTCAGAGCTATGCAAATTTTGAGGGATAACTGTGTTTCAGTTTGCATATTGATTCAGAAAGTGCAGAAAGTGCAGATCAGGTAGGTTCACCTTTAGAAGCAAACTGAATCCACATGCCACTTAGACTACAAACCTGGGAATAAAGAGCATAGGTCAGTGGTAGAGGACATGCCCAGCATGCAAAAAGTCCCAGGTTCAATCCCTGACAACTCTAAGGAGGACTGGGAATGTCCCCCCATCTCAAACCCTGAAGAGCAGCTGCTGGTCTGTGTTTACAATATGGACCAATGATCTGCCTTATACCAAGTCCCATTGAACTCAGCTTCTGAATAGTCATGTACTGTATAGGATTGCTCTAACAGCTGCAGACCCTCCAAGCGTCCCTATTTTCCAGGGACATCCCTGATTTAGAGAAGCCGTCCCAGTTTCTGATTTGATCCCAGAATGTCCCACTTTTCCTTAGGGTGTCCCTATTTTCATGGGATAAATGTTGGAGGTTATGGAGTTTGTCATGTGGTATTAGGGTCTGCTGTTTCAAAAGAAGCAAGTGAAAAGGCAACCTGGCTTAAGGAATTAGTTTTGGATCTTGGTCCACTGCCAGTCAGGGTTCTGCATTCTGAGTGATGTAGATGCTTTTGGGATTCCCTACACACGACAGCTGAGCGTTCACAACGTGAAGAAATCCCGGTGCACCTTGACTCTTTATTGCCAGTAATAAGGAATATTTTTCTCCCACCCACCCACCCATTTCTGGGCCTAGGATAGAAAGACCCCTGCAAATACCGGTAATCATCTTAACGGGAAACAATTTTACTGGAACTTTCATGAATATATGCCTAGAGTAGCAGGAGTATTCCTCCCCATTTCACTTTTGGGAATATGGCAACCCTAAGCAGGAGTCTCTACGAACACAAATTTGTTCTGCAAACAGAAGTACAAATCATCAAGTAAATAGTGTTGGCTGACCATGAACACATTTTTAATAATTTGAATAGAGTACGCTATCATTACTGTATTTTATTACTGGATTACTGTATTTTAATACTTTGTTGGAAGCTGCCCAGAGTGGCTGGGGAAACCCAGGCACATGGGCAGGGTATAAATAATAAATTATTATCATCATCATCTTTCTGAGTCCTCATATTTGAGACTGGTGAGAATTCCTCTATTAGAACAAAAATAAACGTACCTGTCAACCATGACAAAAGATGCTGTTGGGAAAGTGACATCTAAAAAAACACACCTGGAACTACATTGGCATTTTGAAAGGAGGCCTAAGCAGAATTCACAGACAAATAAAACTTTTTGTGGCCAATAGGGGGAAATGCATTTTTGCAGTGGTGGTTTTTTTTAGTAGGGTTATTATTTTTTATAACCTCCCTACTGCAGAAGGGTTGGGCTTGAGGCTACATTACAGTACTTAGGAATAAATGTCCTGCAGGTTTTAAATGCCAAGCATTTGTATAGTCAAGATCAGCAGAGAGGAAGAAAAACAAGTTGATTGCTGAATGCCTGTACAGTGGTACCTTGGGTTACAGACGCTTCAGGTTACAGATGCTTCAAGTTACAGACTCCGCTAACCCAGAAATAGTACCTCGGGTTAAGAACTTTGCTTCAGGATGAGAACAGAAATTGTGTGGTGACGCAGCAGGAGGCCCCATTAGCTAAAGTGGTACCTCAGGTTAAGAACAGTTTCGGGTTAAGAAAGGACCTCCAGAACCTTACTTGTTAGTGAAACTCCATTTTAGAAATTTGATGACATAATGAGGAGAGCCCATTGTCGGAGAAATTCTAATTTATGTTGGTGAGTGACAGAACAGAAGCTTGCTATCTGAAGAAAAATCGATCTTGTGCAAGCATGTGCCCGAGTTTGGGGCAACGGCTTTGTGTAAGGGGTACATGCTGTCTTTCATTCACTAAAGGGAATCTGACCTGAAGGAAAAGAAACACATTTCTAAATATATAATTGGTCAACTATGTATTATCCTGTGTGCTCTTGATTCTTGTTAACTTGTCTAATTTTGTTTCCTCAGGAAACTTGCAAGTGTGATCCATTTCAGTAATGGCAGCCAACCTTGTTTGGAAGGGGCAATGACGTTAGGTGAGTTTTGCCACAATGAGTTGTCTGAACTGTCACATGGTGGTTGTCAGAGACTTAAGAACCTTAACAGTTCTCAGTACCAGTGGATGGTTCCCTGAATGGGAAAATCCCCAATTGGGTTGGAATTGGAGACAGCGCAGTGCAAGGATTGTGCTAGGTAAAATAAAGCATTTTGCAGTTTGAATTTTGAGAAGAGGCAGCTGGAGTTAGCTAAACAGAGGTGCTGCAGCTTTGGAGAGGGCAGTAGCAGCAGCTGCTCTCTGGGAATCATGCAGAATTAGCAGCTGTGTTGCCCGCTAAAGGAACACCTGTCTGCCTCCACTGAGTTCTGCTTGTATATTTATAATTGGAAGGAATACTACAAACGCACCATTTGTCTGCAGTGGTCTCTTGTCAAAAGAAAAATGAATCCCATAGTGCTGCCCCTGGAACTTCTCACCACTCAAGGAAGCAAGAGAAGACAGTAACACGAGTTTTTCCTTCTGCTCTTTTTATCACACATCTTTTTGTATTTGCTACTGTTATTCTCCACATATATTATAAGCTGTTGGCTTTGTATTTATTAACTATATATAATGTAAAAAAGCACAAAGATAGTGTTATGTACTGATGTTCTCACCCTGGGCCAGCAGGGGGATACTGTAGACAGTTATGCAAATGAAGGATCGAAAGTGACGTTCAGTGATTGGATAGTTTGTATGCAAATGAAGGATCGAAAAGTGACGTTCTGTGATTGGATAGTTTTAGAAAGTTGCAACAGTTACAATTGTTCTGGAGCTCTATATAAGCAGGCTGACTGAGCTCCTCAGTTAGTTCTGTTCTGGCATCTGAATAAAGAAGAGCTGTTTGAAGAATTGCTGTGTCGTCTGATATGTTCACCCACAACTTAACACTGGCAACGAGGATGGGATCGATGGACATCAGAGCACAGCCAGATGCAGCCACCCTCTGAGCAGAGCTGAATCACTGAGCTGAATCACTGAGCGAAATCACTGAACAGAACCAATTCAGAGCTGACTGTTCTGGCTAGAGCACGGTGTTCCATCCATCGCCCTTCACGCCGGCATCGGAATCATGGCTTCACTTGTGCCTCTACCGCCGTTTGCGCCAGCCTCTGAATCATGGGACTCCTACCTCGCTCGGTTCGACTGCTACCTCCAAGCCAACGAGCTGACAGAAGTATCAAAGGAGCGGAAGCGGGGCCTATTCCTCAGCCTCTGTAGGCCTGAGGTGTTTGAGATGGCGCAAGCATTGGTTGCGCCTGAAGCAGTCCAGGCAACACGTGGGACATGATCCAAGAGAAGCTCCGCAACCACTACGCGCCAAAGCCGTCCAAGATTGCTGCCCGCCATGCGTTTTACCACCGGAACCAGGCAGAGGGGGAGTCAATCAACAACTACACCACCGCCCTGCGACAGGCTGCAATGCACTGCGAGTTCCGAGACTTAGACGATGCCCTGATGGATCGAATCGTCTGCGGGGTCCGGGACATCCATCTGCAACGGCGTCTCCTTGCCAAGCCAGACCTCACGCTGCAGAAAGCCATTGAGGAGGCTGTGGCCTCGGAAGCTGCTGAACACTCCGCCCAGGAGATTCGCAAGGCCAGCAGCCCGCGTCTTGCTAGGAAGCCAGTTCCAGTGCATCACAAAGAGGCCAGCAGTGATGAGGCATCCTCCAGTGAAGACGATGACGTGCACTAGGCAAAGCGGGAGCGCAGGAAGTTCCAACAGAAGTCCAAGGGCCAACCGGAATGTGCCGGCTGCGGAGGCAACCATTCCCGTGCCAAGTGTCGATTCAGAGACGCCATCTGTCGGACGTGTTCCAGAAGGGGCCACATCGCTAAGGTCTGCCGATCGGCTCCGTCTGACACCCCCCCTTCACCGACTCGCAAGTCCAAGTCTTCACTCCAGTCTGCCAAGGAAAGCTGTTTCGCTCTCACCAACTGCCGCTGCCCATCTGGAACCACGATTGGCCAAACCGACTCGCCTACGCGACGCAAGCTGAACGTCACGGTGCTCATTGAAGGAGCTCCATGTGACATGGAGATCGACACCGGGTCTGCCCTGTCCATCGTGTCTTGGAGCACCATCAAAAGACTGGTACCCAGAGTGTCCAAAAGGCAACTCGACTCTCACCGTGTACACCTGAGAGACTACCAGGGAAACGACATTCCCGTGGTAGGCGTTGGCCGGTTCCGGATCGCCTTCAAGGATTTTTCGGGCCTGCTCCGACTGGTGGTGGTCGAAGGTCAGCGGCCAAGCCTCCTAGGGCTAGACTGGTTTGATGCCCTCGGCCTGGAAGTCACCGGCATCAACTGCATCTCTAACGCAGAGACTGAGGGTCTGGTCAAAGACTTTGCCGAGGTTTTTGACGGCACTTTGGGGCAATATACAGGTACGCCCATCTCCTTTAGCCTTGATCCACAAGTCGCCCCCATCAAGCTAAAGCCACGCCGGGTTCCCTTTGCTCTCAAGGCTAAGGTGGACGAACAACTGGACAAGCTGATCGCCCAAGGAGTTTTGGAGCCGGTTGACCACGCCAAGTGGGAAACCCCCATCGTCACGCCTGTCAAGCCAGACGGGTCGGTGAGAATCTGCGCTGACTACAAGTGCACGATCAACAAGGCACTTCAGCAGCACGCTTATCCGGTTCCTGTTGTCCAACACCTGCTGCATTCCCTGGGTGAGGGTAAGGTCTTCGCTAAGCTGGACCTTGCCCAAGCCTATCAACAACTGCCCGTCGATGATGCCACTGCTGAAGCCCAGACGATCGTCACCCACCGAGGGGCATTCCGTTGCCGCCGGTTGCAGTTCGGGGTGAGTGTGGCTCCTGGCATCTTCCAAAGCCTTATGGAGCGTCTCCTGCAAGGGCTTCCGGGCATGGTACCATATTTTGATGACGTCTTGGTGTCCGCAGACTCACACCAGCAGCTGTTCGAGCGCCTCCGTGCCGTCCTGACCAGGTTCCAAGAGGCTGGGCTCAAGGTAAAGAGGGAGAAGTGCCAAATCGCCGTTCCACAGGTGGAGTTCCTGGGCTATCTTATCGACGCCTCCGGCCTTCACCCGACCACATCCAAGATCCGCGCTATCCAGCAGGCCCCCATCCCAAAGAACAAGACGGAGTTGCAGGCGTTCCTGGGGCTGCTGAACTTTTATAACATGTTCCTGCCCCACAAAGCCACGGTGGCTGAGCCTCTTCACCGACTCCTCAGCACAAAGATGCCTTGGTCCTGGGGTCATCGGGAGACGGCCGTCTTCAATGCGGTCAAGGCTCTCCTTTCATCGGACAGTGTGCTGGTACAGTACAGTGAAGCCAGGCTGCTGGTCCTTGCCTGCGACGCCTCACCTTTTGGCATCGGCACTGTCCTTAGTCACCGTTTTCCAGACGGAAGAGAAGCACCACTCGCTTACTTTTCCAGGACACTATCGCCAACGGAACGGAATTACAGCCAGCTCGACAAGGAGGCACTGGCACTTGTGGCTGGAGTGAAGAGGTTCCATGAATACCTCTACGGTAGGACTTTTGACCTCATCACTGACCACAAGCCGCTCCTGGGCCTCCTCGCCGGTGATCGTCCAACTCCACCGGTCCTCTCGCCGCGCATGCTGCGATGGACTGTTTTCCTGGCTGCCTACCACTACCGGCTCGTCCATCGCCCGGGGAAATCGATGGGCCATGCCGACGCCCTCAGCCGTTGCCCTCTTCCAGCGTTTGTGGAAGACCCGGCTCCTGCTTCATCGCTCCTCCTGATTGAGGATCTTCCGGCAGCGCCTGTATCGGCTGCCACTGTGGCCTCCGCATCTGCCCAGGATCGCACCATCAGCCGTGTGCTCAACTGGGTGTGGAGGGGGTGGCCACAAGGGCCTTTTGCATCGGAGTTCCAACCGTTCGCAACCAGACAACATGAACTCTCGGCTCATTGCAGCTGTCTGCTATGGGGAGACCGCGTCGTGATTCCCCAAAGACTCTGTCAACGTGTCCTGGAGGCTCTGCACGTTGGCCACCTGGGAATCGTCAAAATGAAGGCGTTGGCTCGGTGTTACGTCTGGTGGCCTAACATGGACGATGCCATCACTGCCTGGGTGTCCGCCTGTCAAGCGTGCCAAGAATCGAGGCCTGCACCACCGGCAGCTAAGGGACACACCTGGGAGATGCCCAAGACACCCTGGTCGAGGGTGCACATCGATCTGGCCGGCCCCTTTCACGGCCGGACCTTTATGGTAGTGGTGGACGCCTATTCCAAATGGCTGGAGGTGGCCCTGATGCCCTCCACCACTACCGAGGCCGTCATCCGGGTGCTGCAAGGCCTCTTTGCGACGCATGGGTGTCTTGATGTCCTTGTCTCCGACAACAGACCACAGTTCACATCAGGCACTTTTGAGCGGTATCTTTTGGGACTGGGCATTCGCCATGCCCTAACGGCACCATTTCATCCATCCAGCAACGGGCAAGCGGAGAGAATGGTGCGCTCAGCAAAAGAGGCACTGGCGCGCCTGGACTGGGGAGACTGGCACGAGCGGGTCGCCGAATACTTGTCCGTGCAACACATCACCCCTCATGCGGCCACAGGGCGGAGTCCTGCTGAACTGCTTATGGGCCGCCGCCTCAGGTCCCCGCTCGACCGGCTGCACCCGGACTTTGCCGTGGCCGAACCCCCAGGCTGTGCCAACGCGCCACGGTCATTTGTTCCAGGAAACCAGGTCTTTGCCCGGAACTATGTGGGGGACATTCCTTGGGTGCCAGCCACAGTAGTGGGAGTCACTGGACCTCGCTCGTACCAGGTGGCACTCGAAGACGGACGCTTGTGGCGCCGGCACATAGACCAGCTTAGGCGCAGGGTTGGGGACTTGGACACTACCGTGGTGCCCCCAACTGCGCTCGTGGCTCCAGAACAGACACTTACAGATGGTGAGGCTCCACATACACCTCTCTCGCAAACTGCCGACGTGGAGCCGAACCAAGCTGCTTCAGAGGGTCTGCCAGACTTACCACAGACTCAGACCACTGCCATGCTTGACATTCCGCCAACTCCACTTGTGGAGGTTCCACCCACAGCAGCGAATCCAGGGGACTTGGTTTCAACGCCACCTAGGGTTGCACCACAGCCTCAGCAGGAATTGTGTGGCCCCCCGGACTTGGCTACCAGTCCCTGGCGGTCTGGCAGAGTTTCCAAGCGCCCAATTTTTTTAAAGGACTATGTTGTTGGACATGTATCACTGTTGGTCTAAGTATGTGAAATATAACTGATATGCTTTTGTGCCTAACTGAACCATTACGTGTAGTGCTGTATATAAGGAAACCATTACGATTGTAACTAACGCCTTATCTCGGTGGGGAGGGGTGTTATGTACTGATGTTCTCACCCTGGGCCAGCAGGGGGATACTGTAGATAGTTATGCAAATGAAGGATCGAAAGTGACGTTCAGTGATTGGATAGTTTGTATGCAAATGAAGGATCGAAAAGTGACGTTCTGTGATTGGATAGTTTTAGAAAGTTGCAACAGTTACAATTGTTCTGGAGCTCTATATAAGCAGGCTGACTGAGCTCCTCAGTTAGTTCTGTTCTGGCATCTGAATAAAGAAGAGCTATTTGAAGAATTGCTGTGTCGTCTGATATGTTCACCCACAACTTAACAGATAGGAAAGCATTGACCAAAGTATTGGTAGCTAGCCATGACTCTTAGACTAGGGGAGGAATGGGAAAGCTGTGGCCAGATGTTGTTGGGCTATAACTCCCATTATCCCCGATTATCAGCCATGCTTTATTCCCTAACAAGTACATTTAAGGTTGCAGCTCACAATGTGTCATCTTAAATGCATTTTAACTGGTGAAAGTTCTACTGAAATTAGTGGGACTTCCTTATAAATGCACTTAGGATTCTTCAGCCAATTCTGAACGGTACAGCCATGTGCTCAGTTTAATACATGCTCCTCATGAAATAGCTTTTTATAACAAATATAAATATCACTCTGTCTGGCTGAGGTAAAGCATGCTGGTTTCTAATTTCTTTGAGACATCTATCAATAGCTACGTCTGCCTGCAAAATATAGCTTAATTTTTCATTCTGTTTTTAGACGGAAATATGCACAGCCTTAATCTTAAACCTTTGCACGCTGAGCACCAGATGAAAATAAATTGCGAGCTGGAAAATGGAACTAAAACAAAGGCAATTGAAAATGACTTTGAGAGAAAAATAAACTCATTTTTCCTAAAAGAAGGATTTTAAAACATAGTATTGAAACACTTGCTCTGAATTAATCCCGCTGAAGTATATGTAAAAGTTTGGAGGCTGAGGGTTACAAACACAGTTGTACCTCAGAAGTCCTGCAGCCAATCGGAAGCCGCGTCGGATGTTTGGGTTCCAAAGAACGTTTGCCAACTGGAACACTCACTTCCGGGTTTGCAGCGTTCAGGAGCCAAAACGTTTGAATTGGAAGGCGTTCGGGATCCAAAGTACAACTGTATAGGAAAGAACCCTCACATTCCAGAGTTACACTGCGTTCTTCTAAGTGCATAGCACTATTTGTACGTTGTTTACATGGCTGATGGCTGTATACATTACACACATTTAAAGCAAACACCTCATGAATCTTGGGAACTGTAGTTTCAGGGTGCTGATGACCCTGTGAGGGGTAAACGACAGTTCTTGGCATTCTTTTTCAGGGTAACATGTTTAAAAATATGGTGTATGCACATATAATGTGTGATGTATACACATTTGGTGTATACACACAACAGCTCACATGGTTTTTAAAGCTTGGCAACTCCAGGTAAATTGGTTTGGCAGTATGTTTACATGAAGAACTTCCCAATGCTTTAAAAGCTATCCAAGTCCACAAGCGGAAGGAAAAATAAAATTATTGATTGCAAGGCTTACCTAGAATAAATAAAGTTAGACAGTTTCTGGTCTTTTGAGAGTTGGCTTGTGAATGTTTTCACACAAGACTGGATTGTTAGAAGTATCTCTCTAACAAGACTGGGGCACTAGTTCCTCCTAAATCCACTTACACATACAGACCAGTCTTCCAGAGTCAGAGAGAAAACACGGATGTGCCAAGAAAGCATTATCCTACAAATTAAATATTACTAGATATTCAAATAAGCAAGTCAAACTGAAAATCATTCAGGGTTACCTGCCAGTGTGACGTGGAGTAAGAAAAAGTATTAGCTCTAAATATGATAGTCAGAAGCTCCCATTTCAGTGTATATTATTTTGGCTTTCTTTCTTTTTTTAACCTACCCGACTTTGATTTGAATGGCCCTCAAACACAACTTTTAAAGCAAAAATATATCAGGTTTGCTCCTAACTGCATTTGTGATGGGAAAAGTACATTCTTCATGTCAATGCATCATAGAGGAAGATGATTGTGTGGAACAAAAACAGCAGTTAAACAGACAAAGGCACCCTTCCAATCCTTGTCTATTTGAAAAACGGAAGGATTGATTAGTCTATTTTAGTTCCCATTACTTGTGCTCTTTGCATTTCTGACTGCCTGATATTATATTCGTAGCTGGCCATGTCTGCATTGGTTGCATATCGTACAAGCAAATTGGCTCCAGACAATCTCACAAGAGCTAGACACCCCATATAAAAGGTAAAGGTAAAGGGAACCGCCGACCGTCTGATCGCCTAGTCCTAAGCTCTGTGGTTTAACCCACAGCGCCACCCGCAGGCAATGCTTGAAGCACAACAGCAAGCCATCCCACTTTTTTACAGATGGAGCCTACTTCTTTTTATGCTCAATCTATCCAAACCAACCCACTTCCTTCCCTTTTCCCTCCCACATTCAAAACATCCAGCCTCATTCCACTTCCTTTCCTTTCTTTTTTAAACTTCCTTCTCCCCTCTCCACCAACTAAGATGCTGGAAATACGGGGGGTGGGGGGAATTTGCATACATATTCTCAAGCAAGGTTTACCATTGAGCCTCGATTTTTCTCTTCACAGTAATGGGCTTGCAGCCCAAGCTGCGCTCCCCTAGAACCTGGTAGAGCGCACCCATTTTCTATCACCCTCCTCCGCGTTTGGGGCCCTGAGACACACAATCTGCTCATGGTGATACATGAGCTCATGGTGATACTTTTGCTTCCACATCTGCTGTCAGATCCCCTAGACATACAAGGTCAAAGGGCACATTCTGGATCTTCACATGTCAAGACAATAAGAATCAATTTTAATTTTCAAAAGACAGAGCTATCGCTGAAGAAGATCACTAAATGCTACTAATTTCTTTAGACCCCAGGGGTCTTGGAAGGTAATCTCATTAAGGTGAAATACTGCCTAAGTGCAGCTGTGGGACTCAGCCTTAACCTTCAATTCACATTGCATTGCCTACTAGCATTGTTGGATTAAATACTGCTTTATCTGACTCATGGATTAATACTGATCTCAGAACTATCATAAAATATAAGGTAAGGATGGCCTCGTGAGAAGGTGTACTGTACTGCCACCACCCTTCCCGCTCTCTGTCCCATCTGCTCAACATGACAAGTTCTCAATGCATGTTTCAGAAGGAAAATAATCACTTGCATTATTCTTCCCACCTTTATTCTATATTGGAAAAGGATGCCTGAGAATCTGCCCTTGAGGACGTATGTAGAAGTTGGAAAATAAGGACAATTAGGCTGTGCTACACACACCCATTTACTTTGCAGCCTCTCCTCATATGAATTGACTCAGAAACTGTGGCCATCATCTGAAGCCCTTCTTTGTGTGCCTCTTCCACAAGAAGTCTGGAGGGTGGAAACACAAGAACGGGTCTTTTCTGTGGTGGCTCCCCACTTGTGGAATGCTCTCCCAAGGGAGGCTCACCCGGCAGCTTCGTTACATATATTTAGGTAGGGTTGCCATATTTTGAAGAGTAAAAATAGAGGGACATCTTTACTGACTTCTACTTTTCACTCTGGGTTGCTATGGTGACTCTCATTTTACATACCCATGAAAAAGAGGACATATGGCAACCCTAATTTTAAGCGCCAGGCAAAAACATTCTTCTTCTCCTAGGCCTTTGGCTAATTAAACAATCTAGGGCCTTTTAAACTGGGAGGGGGAGAGAGGGAATATTTGTTTGTTACTATGGTATGCATTTTTGTGTTCTTGTGGTCTTTGGATGAGGGGTGGTATAGAAATTTAATAAATAAATAATATTTTTTTAAAAAATAAAATCAATGTTAACCACAACCCATAGCTATCCTGTATCTACCCTGTAGTTTATTTTGAAATGCTGACCGTGCACACATTACTGGCTAAAAACACAGAAGTCAGTATGGTTGTATTTCTAAGTCGCCTGATGTTTGCCTGTTATGTATTGAAGTTCTCACCCTAGCCACCACTGTATGTAGTTTTCACTCAGGTCCAGGTAAGTTAATTTAGGCGGGAAACCCTGGGCTGCTGTTGTTACAATGTTGACAGCCGGCTGCCTATAAAAGCAGGCCGGCTGAGCTGTTTGCTGTTCAGTTCAGTCCCAGCTTACTTATAAAGAACTACTTGGAGAAATCTCTGTCGTCTGCTATGTCCACCCACTACAGTGGTACCTCGGGTTACATACGCTTCGGGTTACATACGCTTCAGGTTACAGATTCCGCTAACCCAGAAATAGTACCTCGGGTTAAGAACTTTGCTTCAGGATGAGAACAGAAATCGTGCTCCGGCGGCATGGCGGCAGTGGGAGGCCCCATTAGCTAAAGTGGTGCTTCAGGTTAAGAACAGTTTCAAGTTAAGAACAGACCTCCGGAACGAATTAAGTACTTAACCCAAGGTACCACTGTACTTAATACTGCCCACACCAGTGGGTGGAGAGTGGGAATGGATGTCCTTATATGGCTGAAGTTTTCAAATCAGATCAAAGCTGGTTTGGGGAAAAATTCATCAGAACACAGTGTTTTCCAATAAACTATAGGACAGATGTGGATTGCAGCGAACTGTGTGTACAGAGCTTCATAATCTAATGTTAGGAGTATGGATGCATTCTCTACCCCCAACCAAATTGTGAAATAAAGGGCTAGCTGCATTTTAAGCTAGTATTGCATACACAGCCTTACAGCAGCTAAACCTGAGTAACTGTAGGTGTAGTCAGAAAAAGTTATTGATGTCAAATATTTGTCAGTGCTTCAGTTCAAATTTACACCTCTGTTGCTGTTATTTCTCCAGACTAGAAGTGAAAATCATTGTTAAATCCAGCTAGCTTGAGATGTATGAAACATCCACTATATCTTCTCAAGCAATGTTCACCTTTTGTTTTCTCCATTAACATTTCAGATTATAATCTTTTTCCTTTTTTGCACATTCACCAAGCAGCAGAGGTGGTGGCTCAAATCCTCTGATCTTATCCTTGAATAAATATAAATCTCAGATAGCCAAAAGCTGGAGATAAACCACACAAATTATATGGCATACTACCTCTGAAGCATCTGGAATTGGCTGTATATTTTAAAAATTGAAAAATGCCCATTGGTCATTGCAAGTGTATTGCTCATAGCTTGAAAAATGAAGGAAACAGCTTTTTAATTGTATTTTTTAAAAACCACAACAACACATGAATATCCCAAGTTATTCTCTGTTGTAAGTAAACCCCTGTATGATTTACTCCCAAACTGACAACATTACTTCTCCCTCTGAATATAATACTAGGGTGGTCATTTATGTCTAAGGGGGGAAAATGACAGAGATTTGAATACAATTAGCATATACTAGAGAGATAGATAGACTGTTCAGTTTGTTGTCTAGGTGCCCGCTGTTGATGGACAACTAGAATGGCCCTGTTCTCCTTTCTTCTGATGAATTTAAACCAGACTTGGGTCAGACAGTCCTTCAGTAACAACCCTGTCTTCTGCAAACTAGTGCAAATGGCTACTTTATTCTCAATCCTAAACTCTCACTTCCTTGCATTTTAAAAAAAGTGTAATGATAGCTCAGTCGGTAAAGCATCAGACTCTTAATCTGTGTCTTGAACCCCTGGCCTACCTGGCAGCAAGTCAAAATGTTGCATCCGAAGTCCAAAATCCGGGGGTCATGCAGCCACACAAGTCAAGTCCAAAGTCAAGGAAACGTAGTCCAGGTCCAAGTAGCCAAGTGTGAAGTTCCACAATCAGCATACAGTTCAGAGTCAAACCCAAAGCAGAACCCCAGAGAAATCCAGGACCATCCAAGCCAAAGTGCCTCAACATGGGCAGCTGAGCAGACACAGCACCTCAGCTCTGCTGCCCTCTTTGCATGCTGATTGCAGCATCACAGCATCTGGGCTTGATGAGGCAGGTGACCCTCACCTGTTCTGAGCCTATCACACACTTCCTCCCAGAGTTAGCGAGCCCCACCTGGCCAACTAGGGAGCTGGGCTGTGGGCTACTGCCTACCTCAGCCTCCTACAGCGCCACTCCTGCTGCTCCCAACGCCTCAGAGCCCACTGTGTTCATGATGGGTCCTGCTGCTCCGGTTCCTGTGCATTGACAGCCATCCCCTTGCCATCCTACATCACCTTGTGAGTACAGTCCTTCCTTCCCTATCCCCTGCTTGCTCTGGTTTGTCCCAGTCCCAGCCTCGCCCCTCGCCAGGATATTCTTCCTCCTCCTCACCATCGTCCTGCCAGTTCATGACAATCTGAGGGTTGTAGGTTCAGGAGCCTCAGGTTTTACTATCTTTGGTTTCTGTTTTATTAAGCTTTACTAATCAGAAATTTTAAGTTATACCTTTTGTCGCTGGCCAATATCTGTGCTCTTTGATTCCTGCTGCTTGCATAGCAATCTAACCTCACATGTTAAATTTGCAAGAACACCAGCAACACCTAAGTCTAGGAAATAGTACCTTTGTTGCATAACTGGGCCAACCAATGCTGTATATCTTGTGAAACTATATTGGGTGGATTGACTCAGGAGCACATTTCCAGAAGAGAAAAGAAAATGTATTTCTAGCCATAAATAGTTTATTGCTGAGAAACAAGTTGGGAAGGATGAATTTCCCCCTTCTAGGGCATCTTGCTCTTAGCACCGGAGTAGCATTGCATTGCTGGTTTCAGTATAAGGAGAAAGATTGATGAGTGGGACTTGGTGTGTCTGGGAACCTGATCTTGCATTAATGAGAGCACTGCTATACGACTGCCAAGTGTCTCCTGTCCAGGAGCAGACAGAAGGCCAAAGAGCAAAACAGAGGGCATACCTAACAGTCTCATTTGCATTGCTGGAACAACACAAGCCCAAGCAAGGCCATGTCTTGTCAGATTCTCAGTGTAAGTGTGTGAACCGTGTGTTGTTGGGTGCAAACAGTGCTTGTTTTCATATTCTAATTTATTTAAGTGTGTACTATTCCCTAGTAATAAGACAGATTTTTTTTTAAAGTGCTTTCTCTGTGTTTGAACCGTATCACAAGACAACCCAAAAGCAGCAGCAGCTGAAATAATCACTGATTTAGAAATGGCAAGAGGCAACTATCTCAAGATGTTTCCCACTTGTCATATGTTTGGCAATGATAGCTTGGGTCCATGTTCCAGTCTGTTAAAGCCTAGAGGCTACTTGAAAGGGTAGATAGAATAGAGGGCATCCAAAGATGCTTGAAAAATGTGTGGGCCATTTTATAGGACCCCACCTCCACCCCCTGACAGTTTGGTACTCGCCACTGAAAAGATGTGTGGTAGCTCTCTTCTCCCCTCTGCTCATGGAGAAAGGACATAGCTGGGCAAATATCTGGATATTTCCTCAACATTGAGAAGACTGTCTTGCAATGACTTCTGGAATTCCAGTTCTGCACATGGAAAGGGAGTTCAGATGGCCCATTGCTCACCACAATGGCAGCTGCATGTGCTGGCTCTAAGCTTCCTAGTCATAACATGCCTGTGTTGGGGCCCAAAGATGTGCTGGGCTAATACACCATGGCATTAAGCTTTTGCACCAACCACTTTTCTAGTACGTGGCACAATACTTATGAAATGACAACATTGTGACCTACATGGGTCATGCAATTCTATGAAAGCTTCCTTGAAATTGATGGTGCTACTTTACCTACCATGTATTAACAACGCTTGTTGTTTCACAGGCTTCTTTGGGCATCCTACTATATTCTGGGATATTTTTATGAACAAGCAGTTTATACATTTTCATATATATAAAATAAATAAGAATAGTCATATACTTAATTGGTCATAACCACAGTAGAAGCATATTCCTAGTGTAGGGTCAGCATCCATTGTAGTTTTATTCTGCAGCATTCATTAGTGAATGGCTGTGTGGAAACTACACCTTTAAAGCACATTCAAAACCCATTTCCTCCCTCAAAGAATTCTGGACATTGTAGTTTGTTAAGGGTTGCTGGAATGCTGCATTCAGATTGGTTATAATGCTAGAGCTTCTGTCTTGATTTTTCATGTTCCTTTTACACTGCAGTACCTGTTGAGTTACGGAACTGTGGTTTTCTGAGTGATTTTCCATGTCAGACTAAGTTTTAAATAGCAGGAAAGAATGCAACGTTAGGATACTTCCCCAACTTTCATCATGTGATATTGCACTGCAAAACTTCATGGATTTTCCAAGTTAACAAGCTTGCAAATGGATGAAACAAATAACACAGAAAAAAGTGTCAAACTTCCACTAGATTCCCAGAAGTGGCATTTAGATCCTGGAAAGATTACATTAAACCTGGAAATTATCAGTTAAGGATAATTTCAGGATAATGGAGTAAGTGTGGACTGAACGCAGTCAGGGTTACAATTAGCAGAAACCCTTAACAAACAACAGTGCCCAAAATTATTTGAGGGAAATAATGTGCTTTTAGCATGTGCAAACCCACAGCTTGACAACAATGTACTTAGAGCACCGTCCTGTGTATGTCTACTCAGAAGCCAATCCTGATACATTCAATAGGACACACTCCAAAGTATAATGTGTACAGGACTGCAACCTGACTCAGTTTTTTAAAAAACCAAATCTTGAAAAAAGTACATTGTGTTCTGTACATATCCCATTATTCCTGCACAATGCCACACACACACACACACACACAGAGAGAGAGAGAGAGAGAGAGAGAGATCATCACAACAACCCTGTGAAGTACTTTTGGCTGCAAAAAGGACACTGGACGTAGTCACCCAATGAGCTTCATGGCTGAGCAGGGACTCCTGCCTATTGGAAACATATCCATGTATAAAGGTGAGGTTTGAAATTTTCTCAGACATATTTTATCCTCTCCAAATATTTACATACACAGATATCAAGTTTCCCTGCTCTGGCCGGATTATGAGCTTTGAAACTGGTAGTGACACGGTTAAGGCACTATTGTTCTACGAAGTGCTTATCCGTGAGCATATTGTTTCAGATGGAATATATATATAACATGAGAAAAATCTTGTTTGCTGAAGTCTTCTGTAACTTCAAAATTTGCATACTTAGATGCCAAAAGATGTTTGTCCCATAAAAGATATTAACTGGTTTAATTTCCACTGTTGCTGGCAAGAAGCCAGTTCACACACTCTATGAAAAGGTGTGTGAAAATCCCAAAGGAGGTGGACCTAGATATGGGCACTGTTCATGCTCAAAAGCATTCTCGTTACATTTATTACACCTTCCGAGAATGAACCCCAGTACTGTATTCCAAACAATTGACTTCTGGATCACAATAGAGCTCTGTTTGCTGCAATTAAGGTCTGCAGTCACGGTCACCGTTTGAAGTATTCCAAACCTTTGCATGCAAATTACAGCCTTTGGATAGAAATTATCTCCAGAATGCACTTTGAAAACGAGCAGGAAGAAAGAGCAGCAATGCGGTTCAAACCCCCTTGGGCGCAAAAACCACTGGATGACCTTGGCTCGGTCACCGTCTCTCAGCCTGCCCTACATCGCAAGGTTGTTGTTGGAACAGGGCTAAAAATGCGAGAAATGAAGAGGCGGCCCTGAAGTCCTTGGGGTGAAGAAGGGCGGGCTAGAAATGCTAGAGAGAAAAGGAGAGGTCAGAAGGAACGATCTGCGAAGCCCGCCCCGCCCCAATAACTCTGCCCTAACTACCTTTGCTCTCACGGCTTTTCGCGGGGCTCACTTCGAAATAAGCACACGTAAGCCCAACGGCCACGAAGGAGATGCGTGCACACATATAGGACACTCGAATGCTTCCTTTTAACACGATCACGAGAGGTGGCTGTCTGTGCGCGCCAGCCGAAGCAGCGCAGAGGAGGGGGCAGCGTCTCTCTCTCTCTTTTGCAACGCCAGAGCATTGTGGGCAGATTTTCCCCTGCAGCGAGCAAGGAGGCTCATAAACTCTGCAAAGAAGCCCCGCTTGCTTCTCCAGCACCTCGCCGGACTCCAGAGAGCGCTGTGCAGCCGGCCCAGGGAGGGGAGCTGCAGGAGCATCAACCGCCCCAACCCCGGCCGGCGCAGGAGGGCAAAGGAGCCCCGGGCGGACACCTCCTCGGCGCGGCCGGGGGGCTCACTCCGGCCAGCTGCAGTCCCAGCCACGGGGCCCAGGTAAAGGAAACTTGCCTCCTTCTTTGTGCGCCTTCGCTTCCGCGCCGGCAGAGCTCAAGGTCTGGGCTGCCGCTGCTGCTGCTGCTGTTGCCGCCTCCCCATTGCAAAGGACCAATGGGACTTTTAAAAAACATTTTGCTCCCGGGGCTCGATCGCCAAGAGATCCGGATCTTCCGATCTTAGAACAGGCTGACCAGAAATAAGGATGGGGGAGAGAGAGCAAGAGGCTCAAAGGGGGTGTGGGTGCGGCGAAGAAATTTGGGGGAGAGTCGATGGTGGCGGGACTGAAGCTGCGCAGCGCGAGAAGGCAGCTTCGAGTCGGTTTATCCGGAGAAATGCGAACTGAGGCTCTATTATATTATTATTATTATTATTATTATTATTATTATTATTATCATGATGAATGATGATGATAAGGACTCTTTTTCCTTGGGCAGTTTGCTGCTTCCCAAAGTGCTCGCTCGCTGGCATGGAGCGGCTGCCCCCTACAGGATCATGCTCAAAGGGAAGACATGTAATCTGTCCCTGCCGTGTTGAAAACCAAGGACAGGAAAAGCCCGGCGCTTTAAGAGAAGCGCCGCTCAGCGCCACTGATGGGTCCTCCTTGTCACTTGCTGAGTTCAGCAGATCTCCCGTTGTCGGTGCCTTTCTTTTTTACCTTGCTCAGCTCGTTTGTCTGCTGGTGCGATTCGGGTTCTCCTCCCGATCGGTTTAAACAGGGTAGGGACTCAGACCTCAGAGGCATGAAAGGAGAAACATAGAAAGAGTGCTCCTGAGCAAGCACAGAGTGCTTTCTCCCTCAGCAAGTCACCCCACCCATTTAACTTCTGTGTCTTTAAAGTGTCTGGTTGTGGGGAGAGGTACAGGTTCTGTTGTATTTAGAATACCAGTGATTTTGTGTTGGGAAGGCTCCAGAAGAGTATCTGATTTAAATAATTTCTAGAGTCGGGGCTACATCGCATGTCCTAATTTTTGACATAGAATCATAGACATGTCAGAAACAACCTCACAGTCCCCTTCCCTTGATGTAATTGCTGTTTTATTTGAATTGAAAGCACAGGTATTGTGTGATTGGACTCGTTTGTGGATAGCAAACTCTTACAACTATTGATGGTCAGACACGCCTCCTCAGTTCATCCCTCCTGATAGCATCCTGGCATTTATTTATGTTAACGTATAGGTTACCTGTTCCAGGGGCAGAGAGTGACTTACATACCTGATACTTCATACAAAGAACAGACAGGTGCCAAGGGATTCACAATTCCCTTCCGGTTCTCTTTTTAACTCCTTTGTCCAAAACCAAGGGGTTTCTTTTCCCAGCCTAATGTATTCTGCAGATGTGCAGAGGGATGGCAAGTTTCCTCTTAGTATTACGGCTGTTTCGCGGAAGCCTGATTCCTCTTCTACTAATTTATTTATTGTTGAAAGAAGAGATGTGCGCTCCTGCACTGGTGGGGCAAGGGAAGCACACACTTCCTTTTAAAGAATGAAATACGGAAGGAAAACAAAAAAAGATGTTCTTAAATAGCTAGCTATTGCTTCAGGAGAAGGAAAAGCTTCCTTGAGTTTCCAGATTTTTTAAAGCAAGGGCGGCTACACTCAGGCCTGAGGGCTGAATATGGTCCTGCAATCCGCTCTGTCCAGCTTGAGGGCCTGTTTCGAGATAAAAGTAGATGGAACACTGGATGTGACTCTTATCTTTCTGCCATAGGCTGCATTCCAGCCATGCGAAATTCAGGTATTTCTATACTCGCACCCGTATACACGTATCTCCCAAGCAATAGGCATATGTGCAGTTCAGGGACGCATCCCAGCCAGGCAAAAGCACTCAAAGAGGGTTTATTGTAGAGCTGGTAAGCACCTGGCCTGTGGAGAATATATGAGGCCTGACAGGAGGCCTGGGAAGATTCCTGAGGGCTACAGCGCTAGGTCTGATGAGCCACATTGGCCTCTAGGCATAAGGTTCACCACCCTTGATTTAGGGCTGTTGTTCCAAACTGTCCAGGCTCCCACTAGTCAACGCAGGACTTGGGACTCTTGGCTTGGTTACTACTAAGGGTGTTGTTCCAAAGATGGTCGCGCTGCACAGTCCAAACATAGATCAGGTTACCAGCAGTGTTTTGAAACTCCCATTGTTTAGGAGCATTTTGCGACAGGGAATTTCATTAACGTGAGCAGTTTCTGAGCTCTGGGTGCAGTACTGCGCTTAAGATTTCAGAATAAAACTGCAGAGTGGAAGGAAAGGAGGACCTTTTTCTGCCTCCCCGCTTCCAGCTACTCTCTGAAGACTGGAGAAGAGACCCTCCTAAGAATATTAGAGGGGTGAGCAGGGGAAGGACTAGACCATGTGAAAAATGAACATAATATTTTAGTTGCAGTTCATTTTCAGCTTTGTATTCTTGTTATATAAAAAAGTGTGCCTAGACATTCCGTTGTTGCGCCCATAACCCAGGTTTAAGGTGCCATTTAGCTCCTAGCTTTCATAGCTCAGTTTCTAAAACTGATTACAAGGTGTGCAAATCAGCCGCTTAAATCAGAGTTCTAAATTACAAAGATTGGCATAAATTACGAAGACACCATCCCAGCACTTGGCATGCCCCCTGAGCTCTGCTTTTGGAGAGTGGGGTAGGCACAGCCATTTATGTGTTTACATACTGAGGCATGGGATCGGGCCAGCAAGCGGGCACTTCTGTTAGGAGGCTGGGTCCACTTGCGCTGGTGCAACCCGTGATGCATCCTTGAAGATGGCAACAGTTGACGGCTCACTATCCGCTCTAGGCTCAGGTGCTCCCCTGAGGGTGGGAAGCAGTTCACTGGCTGCAAGTGGAGCTGAGGCCTAGTTAGGCAGCTCTCCCTCGACGCTTGGGGGTGTGCTTTCTCCGAACAAGTGCCTCTCCACGATCTGGGTCAGCACCTCCCAGACCACTGGGTCCCTCCTCAGAATCAGGTTCCACTCTTCCCATTCCTTCTCTGAAGTCAAGAAGTCTCCACAGGACTCAAAACGGCTTCATAAAAATATAGTTGGCAAATAATCTGTAGTCCGAAACCTAAATGCATGCTTATGAATAGAGAGTACTCGTCTCGCTGCCTTTCATTGCTATATTGCAGCATTTAGAAGTGGAATGACTGTACCATTCCCCCCTCCTTGCTCTTGTTTGTGAGAGAAGTAGCTTGGTTAGATTGCATAGAGACTTGTTTGTACAAGTGAGCCCGGGTGGGTGTGAACAAACGGAGGGGAGCAGAACTGAAGCACACGAAGTCCGAATTGGGTCACTACATTCTGTAGAGTTCAGAGTTGAGAAATTCAGATTCCTATGAAAGGTTTACCTCCCACACTCTTGGGCCTATGAGAGCCTGTTCAGCCAAAATATTTAGGTGCGGTTATCTGCCAAATGAGGAAATAAACAATTTACTTCAAAGCATTGTGTAGGACCAACATAATTCTGGGGAATTAAGAAATTTCTCAGAATTAAGAGATTAAGAGTATTCTTACAAATCAACATTTTCTTCTTTTTCACTGCCTTTGTTTTCATATTCTCCCTGGTACAATGTTCCCCCTGATACAATTCTAGGAGCTCATGGTGGCGTACCTGGTTCTCCCCCTCTTCAATTAACTCCCCACAACAACCCTGTGAAGTAGGTCAGCTGAGAGGCAATGACTGGCCCAAGGTCATCCAATGAGCTTCATGGCTGAGTGGGGATTTGAACCCTGGTCTCCCAGGTCCTTGTCCGACACTTTAACCACTACACCACACAGGCTCTGTCATGTGTCATATAACATTACTGTAAACACATCAGAACAAATGTTCAGTGAGGACGGTCATTAGGAAGTGGCCTTTGCTGATATTTGGTGCAGGCTGGGTTTTGTCTTTTAACTTTTATCTCTTGGTGATGTCTGTTTGACACCATTTTGGTTACAAGACAAGGAAATGTCGGCTGGTGAGTCGAATACCGATAAAGAATAAGCAAAGCGCAGCTTCCTTAAGTGGCAGTCTCCACTTGGCAGAGCAGGATATATGTGGCTCCCATCCCAAACCAATTGGGCCATTAATCATCATGAAACATGTAGGGCGAGCTAAAGACGAGGCACTTAATTCTGGTCACAAATTAGTCTAAAACCTGTGTGATAGCACCGGCTCAAATGGAGGCACCTTAGCATTTAAATGCTGATAGCAAAAACAGGTGTTAGATTCTCAAAACCTCTTCGCAGAGGTTATAAAAAATGCCCATGTTAAATCAAACACTCATTTCAGTTTTTAATAGCTTCACAGGTCCAGGCTGAACTGTCTGTGGAGACTTTTTGGGGTCACAAGTGACTCCTTAAAAAACAAACACACACGGTTAAGGTTTGCAGGCCTGTTTCCCCACCCCCTCAACCTCCACTATTCCGCATGATGAACATGCCTTTCTGCTTTTGTCTTGTTCCATGATCACAATATGAAAATTATGAAGAGAAGTCATACCCACCAAACCACTAATTTTCATAGAAAGCAGGAGCCCACTTCTGAAAAAGTGTTCACATACTGTACCTGAGGTTGATGGGGGCAGAAAACTGTCTCACAGACAGAGGGTCATTCCAGACAAGTGTCCCCCAACTTGGTGCCCACCAGATATTTGGGACTCCAGTCCCCCTCAGCCCAAGTCAACAGCCAGGATTATGGAAGCTGTAGCTAGAAACATTAGGGGGTGGGGAGCCCAAGGTCACAGAAGGCTGTTCTACCTGTTGGTCTTAACTTTGCTGGATTGCCATATGTAGGACATAGAACAATGTGCATGATGGACAGCAGAATCTAAGTATCAACCACACAAAATAAGCTCATTGGAAACCACTCAATGTTGCATATTTATTATAGACATTGTTCTCCAGTTGTCTGCATAACAGAACTTCTGCTGTGCCACCAATTCACAGTGTGAACAAAATAGCATTTTTGTCTAGCTTTGTAAAAACATAATTCTCCCAGCATTTGGTGTGTTGGGAGGTGCTGACCTGCACTCAAGGCTACATATGACTAAAGGATAAGCTAGTTTGGGAGAGGCAAGGTTGCCTTTGTCTGACGTCCAAGTTCTTATCCCAGAGAAGTCAATGCGAGCTTTGTCATTGACTTCAGTGGGTTAATGATTTACTCTTTAGAAAATGCCTTGCTTTTTCTCTTTGCCAGAACCTGTTAAAGGATGCAACATAATGAAATATAGAAATGATTCTGCAAACTATATCCTAATGGGAGATAGGTCAGGGGTTTGTTTGTTTGTTTGTTTGTTTGTTTGTTTCTACAAAACATTTAGCCACACTTCCCCCTCAGAATTTTGGAGAGGGGCATTATATGCCTGAGAATCTGCTCAGAAGACATTCAATCAAAGTAGCCCTACGTCTAAGGAGAAAATGGCATTTTAAGTCAAAAATGGATGGCTGAGTATAGTCATTACTGCCATCTTGTTAAATGGCTATTTAACTGCCTATGAACTCAGTGGAGGTTTTGCCAATTATTTTGAAAGTAATTGAGTTCGCATTAAGGTATTCCGAGTTAATTACACAGCAGCCAGCTTTGTTTATCCAAGTCTCATAAGGTCCATAGACAAACAACAACAACAATGATTTAGAAATTTAAGGAGTGCCCTGTGATAAATATAGCTTACCACCAGGGGCTGATTTTTTTAAATCACCGGCTTGTCATGTTTAATAGTGTAGTCGCTAGTCGCAACTGAGGAGTCTCATGGTGCAGGTTGCACATGCTGCAAATGTGTGGGTTGAATAGGAGTGTGGAAAGCCCTATACGGCCTAGGACCCTCGTACCTATGGGACCGCCTCTCCTGGTATGTCCCACAGAGAAATTTACGGTCTGCAAATAAAAACATCCTGAAGATCCCAGGCCACAGAGAGGTTAGGCTGGCCTCAACTAGAGCCAAGGCTTTCTGGCCGCGGCTCCAATCTGGTGGAACGCTCTGTCACAAGAGACTAGGGCCCTGCGGGACCTGACATCTTTCCGCAGGGCCTGCAAGACAGAGCTGTTCCACCAGGCCTTTGGTCAGGGCGCAGCCTGACCCCCTCCTCTGGCAATCTGCACAGAATTTTGCTTAATGGTTGCCATCAATTTGATTTAATTTGATTTTAATTAATTTTATAATGAATGTTTTTAGAATGTTGGATTATTTTAATTGTTGTTAGCCGCCCTGAGCCCAGCTTCAGCTGGGGAGGGCGGGATATAAATAAAATTATTTATTATTATTATTATTATTATTATTATTATGGAAGTAAGCACACAGACAGTAGCCGATCACAGCAACACCAATTCCATTCCTTCAAAATCTCTTCTACTGTGTGCTTCCCAGTGCTTCTCACTATCAGTGTCCCATCTTGCACGTGGCTGTGACAGATGTTTCATGACTAATTTCCAAACAATTGAGTACTCCAAACGGTACAAGGATTTGCCTTCTTATAGCCATGTGAAAGCATCTTGCAGGAGCTGTCTAACAACTGTAAGGAGGTTTCTTTCTAAACCTTTACTTCTCTAGTATATCAGTAGGGGCCATAGGAGGGAGGTTTCCCAAGTCACCTTTGCTCTAGAGTACAGCTCAGCTGTTGCGCTGAGTCCAAGGAACTTCAGAACAGTATTAGTCAAGGAGAGTGAGCCTTCTAACACAGAACTTTGTATGGAATAATTGCTCACAGATTACCTGATTTATTTAATTTTGTCTAATCTCCTTATAATGGCAGAAACTAAAGGGCATCTTTGCCCAAGGAAATTTATTTCATGGGTTAATAAAGCACGAAGTCCATGCAGTGCATGGAGTCTCCTGGGGGAGTCTCAAATTCAGGAACCCTTCTATGCCTCCAAGAGTTTGTTAGTCTAGAGTTTAACTGGAACATTAGAGGTGGTGTATTTAACCTTACGTGGCAGAAGAAAGGAATAATTTGTGGTGTATGCTCTGTATAAAAAATACTCTCAAGTTGAAACACTGGTGAAATTATGATGGGCAGAAGCTTTAACTAATGTGCCTAAAGTCTCTGAAACGCTGTGTTTGTTTTGCAATATCATATGAGTGGTATTCAAACTAACTTTTATACAGAGTAGACCTATTAAAATTAATGCCCCTAGCTTAGTCATGCTCATTTAATTTGAGTGGGTCTGCTGTGAGTAAACCCTAGCTGAATAACAGCGTATGTGTTTTCATATTTATGAAACTAATCAAAATTATTATGTGAACCGCCCTGAGATCTTATGATGAAGTGCGGTATATACATCTAATAGATAAATAAATTACCCCCTCCCAAAACCCCACCACCACCAATGTCCCATTGAACAGGTGAGTTTTAATTTTGGGTAAGTATATATAAGATTGCTCAGTAAATCTATAAATAAGTTTTTAAAAACCAAATCCATCTCTCATGTTAGCTTATTGTAGGGGTGGGGAACTTTAGGCCTGGGGGCCAAATCCAGCCCTCCTGACTCTGCCCAGGCCGTCCCTCTGCCCCAGGCCATATCCCTCATTGCTCCCGATACATGCCCTTAATTGTGGGGTTGTTGTTTTTTTCCCCAAGGCTTGAATATATCTTACCTGTAATAATGCCACAGGCACTGCCTTCCCTGCTTTTGACCACACCTACCACTAGGATATGCCCCTCAGAAGATTGCCCATCAGGGAATGCAGACCTGCAGCTGGAAAAGTTCCCTATCCCTAGCTTAAAGGGACAAATAAAGCTTTCATTACGCTGATTGCAAATTTTCAACACGAGAGAGACAGATGAGCTCCTGTGGAGAAAATGCCAAGCAACAGCTCATATCTCTTAGCAAATACTTTATTTTGATGGGAGACAAGATAGTAGCTATCACAGCATTCAAAATCAGAAGTCATTTAAAGAGAAAAAGAAAAATATGATCTCTTTGCAAATTTCAGTTGCGGGCTGACTGACCTCTACATTGTTTGTACACTTCTTCACCTCTCAGGATTTAATTAAAACTTTCCTACATGGATAACAAGTTTAAGAAAAAGGACCAGCACTGTGAAGTTGAATCCAAATGCTCCAGAGGAGGTTGTTCTGCACCAAAGGATTTGCTTCATATTCCTGAATACCTGATACTGCCTTTAGAAAACAGCTCTTATATTATTAGTGATCCTCCCAGCAATGTCACGGTTCCACTTGACTGAAACAGAGATCTGATTTTAAAACCAAAGTATGTGCAAAGTTCTGTCAAAACACCTGAGAGGTTTGAGTTTATCATTACAGCTGGTAGATATATGCCTTTTGACAGTCAGATCCTGGCAGGCATAGGATTGGCGTGTGTGTGTGTGTGTGTAAGTGTGTAAAGGCTTCCAACTGTTAAGAAGATGAGATATCCCCTCACTCCAATGCTGACGGCCTTCCTCTTTGAAAGGATTGCAACAGCTGTCAGTCAGTCAAGCAGTTTTGCACGGCAGAGATAAGAGACTGTTATGTGTGTTTTGTCATTGGTCTTATACTTGTAAGCTGCTTACAAACCACCTTGGCAATGAAGCAGTATATAAATAAAAAGCTCCAGCCTCCAGTTCTGTATCCTAAAGGCTTTGGAGAACCTTTCTCCGCCTGGCACCAGAACAGTATTTGACCAGTAAAATGCTGTTGTATGAAAGGGGGTGGGCAGGACTTGAAATGTAGGATTCTAAAATGGCAGATGGTGCAGAGTGGCCCAGCTCTCTCCCACATGCTTGGGAGGAAATGATGCTTTACTGCAGGTCTTGGTTTGAACAACAGCTGCTCAAATGAGAGAGGATGGTTGGGCTAACTGACAACACATGGTTTCTGGATGCAGTGGGATATCTAGGTCTTGCAATGTGTTATTTACTGAGAATGTTGGCATAGGTTCTCAAGCCTGATGGGTGAGTGTGAGTGGCTTTAATTTCCCAGACTTTTGTTCCCAGTCTTCATGCAAACCCAGGATTGTGATGCGGCACTACAGATCATCCAATGGAGACTTCATGATGACATTCTTACATTTTTATTATACAGAGAGAAAAATATTTTCCTTTAAATGCTTTTGAATGTCTAAATCTTTTATTTTGTTATGTTTCTGCACATATTATTGGATAGCACATAAAAGGGTGATTAATCAAATGCCAATGCAGAATTTCAGCCTATGTTGCTCCTCCATCATTCAGCCAATGGAAACACAAAAGCATCTCACACAGCTGTCTTCCCATGTAGTGTACAGCAGCGTCCCTGGGAAAAAGTACTTGCTATTTCCACAGGGCATGGGAAATTACTATCTGAATGCTGTCCTGTCATTCCTCCCCCTCAAAATTCTAGGTGCATGTACACATTACAGCGAATAGTCTGGTATTCTGTGAATTTTCTATAGCTGTGAATATGCAGCATCTGTAGAGGTTTATCAAGTAAACTTGTTATTGTTGGCCAGTGCAGTCAGTTGAACCTACTCCTTTAAGGTATTGGAACCAAAAAGCATTCAGTTTTCTATCCAGGCCCATATGTAAATCATATAATGGTATATTCTAATAGTCAACCCTTTGCTGTATAATAAGTAGTTTAGTTGAGCAAAATATAGCATGATGAGAGTAAGGGAGGGAATCATTAATTTTCCCCCAAATGTTAAGGTCAATAAATGTGCAGGCGGGCAGAAGTAACACAATGTCATGTAGTTCAAGCTTTTAATTGTAGTCACTGAAGTCAATGTGCATGGCTAGAGCCAGCAATTTTAGATTTCTGTAAAGCCTAAACTAGCTCTCAGCACTTTGCTTCTTTGCATGAAATCCCATCTTAAGTCTTAGTGTGTGCATTTTTCATGCATCCTGTCTCATTTGAGTCCTTTCCTGCATAACTAATTCTTCTCCCTGTTCTTCACTTGACAGATTGAAAACTCATTATGTACACATCTGTATATCCAAACAGATTTCAAAAGTATGTACCGCATATATTCCCCCAGAGTCTGCATTTACATTTGATAGGTGGCTTTTGCTGACGATTCTGCTTCACTGCTCTGTGTTCATCTGGACCACCTACCCAGACGAGCTCTTTGGAGAGCCTTTAAACAGGAGATGCTAGATCACACATGGATAGCTGGCAAAGGAGGATGAGGGTGTAAATGCGATTTCATGACAGAAGGCATGGTTAGCATAAAGGAGACTATGGGGTCCTTCCACTGCCAGCTCACTAGTTGATGCCCACAAGGAAGGAGTTCTTAATTAGCTCCTGTTGAGATGCCGCAATCCTGCTCCTGAAGGGAATTTGTTGATTCAGCATCGTAATCCTGCATGGGATGGGTGTACCTGACCCAGCCTAAAGCTCAGTCGGCCATTTAGGTCAGATTAGGATTGCTGAGTTTAGTTTTAAACATCAAGTGTTTTGGCAGCTGGCTTTCTATTTGTGTGGGTTTGGTTTTTTTACTTCAGTAATTTATCTCGCAAAATAGACAATGATGCACTCACACTTGGTGCTGTCTGTGTATCTCCTTGCAGAATTCACAGTAGGGAAAGAAGATCAAGGAATCATGGATGGACTAGGTGAGAGGTCAGATTAAAGTGGGTAAGGGCTGAGGTAGCTGTGTTTCCAGGCGCCTAGGATTTCTTTCTAGAGCCTGTCCAGCTATAACATTCCTCTTGTAGGATCCCTGAACCTCAGCTCCTGTAGCCAGATGGACTACATTAAGCCAACAGTACATTTTAATACATCTAGAATTTCAATCCAAAATGACAATGCCTTGAGAGAGCCATTCCCCTTGTTGCTTTCATTTGTACTACTACAAAGCAACTTTGAGGGCTCAAATTTTAATCGGAGCAGCGGCACCAAAGGAGGAGGTGCTTAATCCTCCTCTTCCTGCCCCCACGACCTTTTCGTGATCCAAAAGAGGTGTACTTTTAAAATAAGTAGGACATGACTGGATAACCAAATCGGAACGTTGTGGGTTCGGTTTCACCTCAAAAGCCTTTTGACAGAACTCTGGCACACCTCCTGTTGCAATATTCTCTCAGGTCACAATCGAAGCATTATCTAGACCTTGGCGAGTTTTATTAGCTATTATGAAATCTTTCCCCTTCTAATGAGATCTCCCCCACCGACCCCAACAATAAGCCTCAAAAACTGGCAGCTGACTTGAGTGTGCTTTGCAGCTTGGAAGCGGTGTGGTGACACTTTGACGTTGTTTGTTCAGTTTCCTCACACAAAGCACCATTGCCAATAGTCAGGTCTTTCGTCCAGCTTGGGTCTCAGATAAGGCATGTTCATGTTTTCCTTCATTTTGTTAATCTAGCCTGTTTTGTGGTTTGGCAGAGCCCACTCTTGCTCAGGGGCAGCAGTGTGGCACAGTACCCCTTTCTCCCTACTACCTCACACTGCTGTAAGCGACAGCTGCCATCACTGGAGGATGGTCCAGCAGGGTGAATGGGGACACTGCCCCACCAACCTCAGCCAACTCTCCTGCCTGCCTGCCTCCTTGCTTACAACTAGTCAAGGGGTGGCTAGTGAACAACTAGTCAGCAGGGTTTTAAGTGGGTCTCCTTAAACCACAGGATCACACTGGAAAGGGCTTTCCTCCCACTTCTGCCTGCTCTTACAGATGCTACTCATTGAACTGCAGCTGAGGTATAAAATCAATCGTGCTGAATGCTCAGTAATGACAACAGATGCATTGCTAATTTTTCTGGTCCTTCTGCACAGATTCAATGTCTTCACTGGTTCTCTGTAGACTGATGGTATAACAAGGAAGATATGAAGCCTCAGCCAAAATAACCTCTTCAGAATGGAACACTGCTGTTATTATTATTATCTCTACTAGGTATGGTGTCCTCCAGGTACTGTTATAGACTGCAGCTTCCCCCAGCCCTGCGCTTGGCCATGCTGGCTGGGGCTGTTGAAAGCTGAAACCAGCAACATATGGTGGTCAGTGCATTGAATAAGCTCTTGGGCTCCCAATTCACTTCTACGCAAACAACCATCTTTGCTGTGGCATCCGTTAACATTCAGAATCGCCCATGATGTTGTAGCATAAGACAATCAAAGCTGTTTCACTTTGCTTTCCATTCACACTATTTAAAAAAACAACCCCCAAAAGTGTAGTCAGTGTGACTTTAAAATGCAAATGTGGTTGTTACTTTTATTTAGTAGCATGAACAAACTTGATTTTGTTCGTTTGGCATCAGGGAGTTTGGCAGTTGGGTATGTGAGAAACAGAGTTTGGGGGTGATCATGAGAGAGATAGATACTGTGATTGTATTTGTGTGTTGGAGATCAGAGCCCATCTCTGCCATTGAACCTGGGTTCTGGGACAAGTTATTTTAGTTTCACCACTTTACCTCCTGTGAAATGGGTTTCTGTTGCTTTGAAGGGATAGTTTTGCGTGTTCCTTTCTGCCTTGTGCTCAGGTTCTGGGGCAAGTTGTCTTTTGCCATCACAAATTTGCTTCCTGTGAAATGGTTTTCTGAAGAAGCAGTTAATTGTGGCTTCAGAAAGTGGCTTTGTGTATTGGGGATCAGTGCCCCACCCTCACGCCCATTGCCTTGTGCTCAGGTTCTGGAGCAAGTGTGCCTGTCTTATCTCCAATTTGCCTCATGGGTTGTTTTTTTGTTGGAGCAGAAAGCTGTCACTTAAGATGCATGGTTTGATATTTGGGGCTGAAAGCCAACCTCTGCGTTGTACAAAGGCTGAGATCACTTGTCTTCATCTAGTCCAGACAGCTGTCTTGTCTGTAGCATTAGCAAGTAGGGATAGCAGGGAAATTTGTTCAGGTAACCTACCCAGTTTGCAATTCCCAAATAAAATACAGTAAGTCCACAACTTATGCACATTTAACATGTGCACATTCAACTTTACGCTCTTGGCAAAAAGTAAAAAATAAAAGGGCGTGGAAAGGGGGTGGCATCTGGGGGGGGGGAGTCTTTGGCAATCCCACCCACCATTGAACCCAGTGTGTTTTGGCTTTAGGCATGATCCCAGAACGTAACACCCACATAAGTGGTGGGCTTACTGTACACAGTGAGACACACCTATCCTTCAATGTTTCTACTTCTCTGATTTTTTGTAGTGCAGTTGTCCAACCCAACATGCACCCTCCCAAAAGGCATATGTTAAGGAAAAGTGCGCACAAAAATGCTTCTTTTAGTGAAAATAATATCCCAAAATTGGGGGGGAAGCTGATTGGAAACAAAATGTATATTTAAGGCAAAATTGCAGAGTAATGCTAGGTGAAATGCATAGGAAAATGCACATGAATTTTCATACAGTATTTAAAAGAAGATTGCAAACTAAGGTGGAAACGGGGAGAACCAAACTGAAGACTGGGGGGCGGGGGAGAGAAACAAATAAAAACGAAAACCAATTTATCTGTGCCTTTGAAAAGGTTAAAAGCAACCAGCCATGACTGAAAACTGTACTGGAACCCCTTTCCCTCCCAGTTTGTTTGTTTGTTTGTTTGTTTTGTTTTTTTGAAAGGTGCATTTAGTTTCTTCAAAGAGAGGATCTGTACAGCAGGACCAGGTGGAGGAGGCAGTGGTGATCGTTTGCCTCACAAGTTGCGTTTTCTTTCTCACACACGAGGAAGTGTCTTCTAATAACATCTGTGAGAGGAGAAGGGTCCCAGTCCCAGCAGTGGCGAACACACTGTATTGCTTTCCCAAGGCATCAATGGCTGCTAGCCACGATGGCTATATACTACCTCTAAATACTAGTTTCTGGGGATCACAAGCAAGAGAGAGCTCATAGCCATCTGCTTCACTGCTGTGAGAACAGAATGCTGGGCTAGATGGACCTTTGACTTGATCCGTAGGAACGCAGGAAACCGCCTTATACGTAGTGAGTCCATTGGCCCATCTAGCTCCTACACCGACTGGCAGCAGCTTTCCATGGCTTCAAGTAAGGGACATTCCCTGCCTTACCAGGAGATGCTGGGAATAGGACCTGGGGCATTCTGAGTGCACAACCTATCTTGCAACAATAATCTACAGTCGTGCCTTGGTACTCAGACATTTTGGCTCCCAAACACCGCAAACCCGGAAGTGAGTGTTCCAGTTTGCGAACCTTTTTTGGAAGCCAAACATCCAACGCGGCTTCCGATTGAGTGCAGGAAGCTCCTGCAGCCAATCGGAAGCCATGCTTTGGTTTTCGAACAGTTCCAGAAGTCAAACGGACTCCCGGAACGGATCATTTTGACAACCAAGGTACCACTGTATTGCCCTTCTTCCACTGAGCTATAGCCTTTTCCAGCAGGGCTGCTTTTACTTTCTTATGCCATTACTTGGCATTTTTTCCTGCCTGCTCTCCTGTACCTTTTGACAGCAGCATATTAGGCAGAAGCCCAGCAGGTGAAACAGTTCCATGCTGGGAAAAGCTCCTGTTGAATGCCTGCCATGCAGCTGTTAAAACAAACCTTCCTACCTACATAAGACCTACGGCTACAAGGCAGATCAATGTGGCATCTCTCATTGTTCTTAATTCAGAAAATAAAACTTGCCCTTTTAGCAGTACTTGCAGACTACAAGTAAATCAGACACTAAGTTGAACATTTAATTAAGGCTGCAATCCATAACTTTTTATTAGAATATAAAACTCACTGAAATCCACAGTGTCTGAATTCTGAGGGAATATTAATGCACAATACAGTGGTACCTCAGGTTACATACGCTTCAGGTTACATACGCTTCAGGTTACAGACTCCACTAACCCAGAAATAGTGCCTCGGGTTAAGAACTTTGCTTCAGGATGAGAACAGAAATCGTGCTCCGGCGGCGCAGCAGCAGCGGGAGTCCCCATTAGCTAAAGTGGTGCTTCAGGTGAAGAATAGTTTCAGGTTAAGAACGGACCTCCAGAACAAATTAAGTACTTAATCCGAGGTACCACTGTATAATCATGTTTCTGTTTGGGAAGGTTTGTGATATGAGGTAGAACCAGGCTTTGCTTGTCTTACCCAAAATAATTTTTATGTTTCTGCCACTGTTAATTATTGGCAGCCTTTTAAATAATCCTTTCCAAATAAAAAATAAAAAATAAGATAATTATTTCACAACTTGGTTCAGGCATTTCCTCTTGGGAGTTAATCAGATGTTTTGTTTCTCTTGGAGCTTCAAAAATAAGACAATCCTTCTTTGGAAAGTATATGAAGATTCTTGCAAATGCCATGTTTTTACCATGCCTGAACACGACTTCTATTTGCATCCTTCTCTGTTATCACAGTAAAGGTTGTATTTGCTTTTCAAGCAAGGTCATTAGTCAGCTGACCAACTCTTTAGCAGCTGGAGTGACTACATGTTTTGCCAGTCTAACTCTGGACTTTTCAGGAGTCTTTGGAGCGCTTCCTAGAAAGAGAAGGCTTGTCTGGGTTTCTTTTCTTCCTTTTGATTTGGCAGCTGGGAGGATATGAAGGTAACCTGGCCAAATACTTCTGTTAACTGCCAGTTTGAATTCCAATAATGAAATGCCGAGATAAATTGCTGCAATGCAGTTGCAAATGATAGGCAGTATCAGAAAGCTGTTGCAATAGCTCTTAATGAGAATGCATTAACTTGTCATCCCACTGGGGAGAAATGATCTTGGTTTCAAAATACTGTTTTTAAATGCTTCTAAATGATCAAAGGGTCCTTCCTTGTAGTGAATGCCACAGGCATTGATCTTAGTGACTCTGTGCATTGTCAGTTCGGAAGTGGCAAACCATTGCTGCCAGCTCAGTGGAACTTAATCCTACACGTGCATAGGTGAGAGTCAGCAACAATGAATAATACGGTGCTTACTTCTGAGTAAACATGCACAGGATTCCACTGTAGTTTGACATGGTGTTGAATGTTTTGGATCTTTAGATTCAGTTTACCTGTTGTTCTTCAGTTGACGCAAATATAAAGCAAACTACAGCTGTCTCTATAAACCATGTCCTTGTGAATGAGAAGTGAAGGCTTCTAACGATGTTGATGTTGACAATTTCCACATCTAATTGATACACATATTCTACATCTTTGTTATATCATTTTCTGTATATATACTTATTTTATAGAACATATTTTCAAATGGATACGTCCACTAAAATTAAAGATGTCACTTGTGCTTACACAATGATTGTCTAGAGTTTAAACTGAAGGTTTCCTGGTACTGTTCTACTGACACACTGTTCAGATAATCCTGCACAGAAAGTTATTTCTACTGATGTATATGATTTATGGAACCTAGCAGTACTGCTGAAAACATGGCTACTAAGAAGAGACAACACCACAGAAGCTTTTCTAAATCTTTTGAATAATCGTTGACAAGCATGGGGGCTTGTTTTATGGCAAAAGCCAGGTAGCCATAGTGTGTTGTATTGGCATGGGTATGTGTGCTTTGTTGGCAGAAAAACAATAATGTAAGCAGTAATTGTCATGTCTAAGGACTGATTCATATGTTGTTGTTGTTGTTTGCTTGCTTATTTCCCCCAAACCTGGCAGCCTTCTCCAACCTTCAGATCTTCTGGACTACAGTTCCCATCAGCGCCAGCCAGCACAACTGATGGGAATTGTAATCCAAAACATTGGGCAGGCATCAAGTTAGCAAAGGCTGAATTATGATTTACTGTGATGTGTGAACTGTTTTTTTGTATCCAGACCTATCTATTAACACGTACAAAAAAGGGGCTAGTTATTCTCCAAAACTACCTACATCAGCTTTCATATTAGCTAATACATATCCATGGATGTTCATCTATAAATGGGAATTGGAAATATCTGTCAGTTTGCTGCCCTTTAGAGGTGTCTATAATCAGCTACTTGAGGCAGAACCGTAGGGAAGGACCCTGGCAATATCTTGTCATGTCTATAATTAGTTTCTCTTCCAGCCCCCCCCCTTGCTTTTTAAACTAGGAAAGCTGTAGTACACAGCACATTAATTATAGGCCATGTCCCAGAGTAATCAATGCTTCCAACAGTAATAAGATGAGTGATTACTTATCACCTCAACTTCTACTCAACATGCATCTCCTCAGCGTTTCTTCCTCTCCTCCATCTTCCCCTCCCTTTACCTCCCCAATTTCTTTCTGAATTTCCTTTGGTCTTGTGTGTTGTTGCTTAGCAGTGAAAAATGATCTGATAGCGATACGCCTGTGTCTTCAGAGCAGGAACTCTTACAGTTAGAAGAGAAAACATTGATTTAAAAGATGCCTGGAAGTGCTTACTGGATAAGGACTCAAAGGATAATAATTTCACTCCATGCAGACGGAAACTGTCTTAATAGCTCTGTGTTTAAAAATAGATTATTCTGGTGAAGTGAGCAGTTTGTACATAAAGAAATAATCGAAAGGAAGTGTGATGCTTAGGTCTTGAAATAACTATAATTGTATTGTTTAATAGTTTCCACCCCCCCCTTTTTTTTAAGGTGGACTACATGTCTTCAGATGATGTTTCACTAATGGCTTGACATCTGTGGTCTGGACAGCAGTCATCATTATGGAGAATACAGATGGTATGGATACAGAATTTAACCTTAATTGAAAGGCAGAAACTTTATACTGTTCATTTTTCTGTTAATTGCTAAACGATTAAAGAACTCATGCTTTTTGAATTAGACTTTTAAAAATGTTCAGGCCCCAGTTTTGAATACTCACCCAATCTCTGTTCAGAATCTGTAAGTGCAAAGGGAAAACAGGGTTCTTGCAGGAGGGGTCTGCTTCTGGACCTTATGCCTGCAGAGAGAAGCTGATGGCCTTTCCCCCTAAAGGTAAAGGACCCCTGGATGGTTACGTCCGGTCAAAGGCAACTATGGGGTGCAGTGCTCATCTCGCTTTTCAGCCCAAGGGAGTCGGTGTTTGTCCACAGACAGTTTTCCAGGTCATGTGGCCAGCATGACTAAATCGCTACTGGCACATGGAGGACCATGACGAGTGCCAGAGTGCACAGAAATGCCGTTTACCTTCCTGCAGTAGCAGTACCTATTTATCTACTTGCACTGGTATGCTTTTGAACTGCTAGGCTGGCAGAAGCTGGGACAGAGCAACGGGAGCTCACCCTGTCATGCGGATTCAAACTACTGACCTTCTGATCGGCAAACCCAAGAGGCTCAGTGATTTAGACCACAGCACCACCCCTTAAAAATAAGAAGAAGCAGGAGGAGTATTTCAGTACTATGGGGCTGAGGGATAACTTCTTCCATTGGAGAGAGGCCTTTGCTCAGTGGGAGAGTGCATGTTTTGCAAGCATAAGTTCCCAACTGCAATCCCAGACATTTCTGCTTATGAAGACTGAGGTAGCAGGGCTGAAAAAGACCTCTACCACAGATATCGGAGAGCTGTTGCACTTCAGAGCAGGCAGAACTGGCCTACATGGTCCTGTACTCTTAAGGCCAAAATACATGGCATGTTATTCAAATCATTTGGTGCCAAGGGTCAACTTTCCTCTAACTGTGAACATCAATTTAGGGAGTCCCAATTCAGACCCAGGCAGTGGTGGGGTCAAAGGATAAAAAGCCTTCCTTACACACCACAGTCCTGACTCATTGCTGACTACCATGGAAGGCCAAACAATGTCAATAATGTCACATCTTGTTTGCCCCTGAATCAGTATACGGTTGCCTGAGACAACATGTATTCGGGCCACTCCTCACTTTTTGCTCATGGGTCTTATACATATACCTAAGCATGAAAAGTAAAGTGAGCCATGAGGTCTGTTGAGCAGGAGTTACGCTTCAAGCTCCACTCAAGAAGATAGCTGCTTTTCCTGATTCCCTTCTGTCTGGTTTTGTGCAAAAGCACCAAGCTCTTAGCCTGGGAACTTGTGTGCACACAGAGGCATTTTTTTATATTTAAGGGAGATCAAGGCTGACTCCCAGGAACCAATCTGTTCAGTTTGCTCTTTTTCCAGATCAACCTTGTATGCATGTCTTAAAGCATTTGACATGGTTTGAAAGCTAGTGCTGAATATATTAGTGATGCTGAGTGTAATGGTAAAGGTTTATTATACATTAGGATCATGCAGACTTTAAAGCAAATATGTTGTGTGGATTGCAAAAGCTGTCATTTACATAATTACCAAGTAGAGTGATTATTTAGCAAATTCTTGATGACTTTCGGTGCTACAATTACATGATTCAGCCCTTGAAAACAAGATTATACATTTGCCCATGCCTCTTCGGGACTATATATCTAAGCTGACTGTACAGAGATGTCTCAGATGACAAATTGCCAGCCATGTTTCCCCCCTCTTTTTGCCTTTTGGATAGAGGCTAACTGCACAGTGATTTAGTGAAACTGCCTTGCAGTTGTGCCTGGAGTTACAGCCAGCATTTCAATAAAAGGGGGGGGGGAGTATGCATGCTGATATAGGCTGATTTTCAGCAATACTGCAGTGGCTCTATGCTGTTGCAGGCTTAGAGACAGCTGGGAGAGGGTTTGGGGAAGTCCATAGGGACCTCACCATAGAATATTGGGCCCTCCTTATCTGGCATTCATCTGCTTCTTTCATATCCTTTATTCACAACTCCTCATCCTAATGATAGAGGGCTATGCTGATGAAACACAGCGGATGGGAAACAGGCACTATGCATTTCCATATAGTCACTGTGATGTGCTCTGGAAGAGATGGGCACAGGGCTAAAAGAAGCCCTCATCCCTCCTTTCCTGGCCTTCCCTTGGTATGTACATTATGCCATGCAGAACTGGATGCTTGTAAGTGGAGCTCCTTGGGCACTAGGTCAGAAAGTGGCTGAGTCTGTAGGACTCTGTGTTATGACCAGATGGCCAGCCAGAAAAGGAGGAACACAGGAAGCTGCATTATACTGAGTCAGACCATTATTCCATCTAGCTACTCTGTTTGGTCTACTCTGAATGGCAGAGGCCTGCCAGAGTGTCATGCAGGGACTTTTCCCAGTCCAACCTGGTGCTGTGCCATTGAGCTACAGTCTTCTGATGAGACCATGCTGATTCCTTTTTTCAAGCACATGGCTGCGTCACTGCAGGGCGCATCATGCCCTCGTAGTTTCTAGTTAGTTAGGTTAGAGTGACCTTAGCAGATTGTCTTTTTCCATCATGAGAATTAAGTGGCTAAAGACTGCTGTCAGGGGCGTGAGGTAGGAATTATAAGTGGTTTCAGACATCAGACTTTCTTGATATTATAGTTGTTTGTAGATTATCACAATGTTTTTTTAATTTTATGTCAGCAGATGAATGGGCGTCCAAACCAGAGGATAAAGATCCACCCCAAAGCCCCTATTCTCTTGAAACACCCTATGGCTTCCACTTAGATCTTGACTTCCTGAAGTACGTAGATGACATTGAGAAAGGAAATACTATCAAGAGGATTCCTATTCACAGGAAGGCAAAGCACCCAAAATTCAGCACGCTGCCTCGCAATTTCAGCCTTCCAGAAAATGGATCAAGGGCTTACTCCTCAGCCCCAAACAAGAGCTTCCTTACACAAAGGAAGGCCTCCTTAGGGGCAGAGGAAAGCAGCCCTGTTGTCACATTGACTGACTCATTGCCCTTAGCCACCCGTTCAAGTGAGCCAAGCTACAGAAAAAAGGCCCTTTTAATAGAGACTGTCAAGCAAGATGCTGCGCACCTTGAAGAGGAGACTGGCAACTGTAGAGGGAGGCCTCAGCTTTTGAGGGCATCCAGTATGCCTGCCACGCTGCCACCAGGCCAGGATTCAGAAGTAGAAAAGCAGCCAGAAGCTTTTCCACCTTTGGCATTCCTTCCGTCTTCTGATGGGAAAGGCTTGGCATTTGATTTTAGTCCCGTAAAGGGAACACTGGATTCAGATTGGTCCAAGGGATCTCCTGAAAATCTGAAAAATGTAAAGGAGCAAATTAGTCAGGCCATCCAGGATACTGAGAAGCTTACAAGGCAACAGGAAGAAGCTAAGCTTGTACTAGACCAGGGGCAACCAGAACTTACAAAGGAGAGAATACAGCCCAGTGCTTCATGGCAAAGCCAGTATTTAGTATCTCAGGAACTGCTTGCAGTTGCTGAGAGCGGAGAAGAGGAATGCGATGCAACGGAGACAGATGTTTGTCGGCCATCCACCCAAAGTGAATTGACCACTTTCAGAGCCTTGGAATACAACCCTGAGAGCCAGACCCAGGAAGACATAGAACTCAACATAACTGAGACAGTTACAGCAGGACTACAGGAGGGGCATGAAGTTACAAGTCCTGGCACTGGAGAGATGAAAGGAAACATCAACCTCAAGCCTTTGCTCTCTGAAGAACCTAGCAAGATAACGGCCTTAAAGCAGCATATTGCTATTCTGGAGGAACAGCTGAACAACAAGACAGAAGAACTTGAGCAGATTCGAGTAGTTTTGAAGCAGCAGGATAAGGAAATCAAGGCCAAGGAGAGAAGCATTGAAATGTTGGCAAGTTCCAAAGCTCAACTGGAAGAGAAACTCTGTGGGGAGAGTACCAAAGAAATTACACCGTGCAAGCAGGACAAAATTGCCCTCCAGTACCATGATGCTGCTGTGAATACCGAACGGGCAGCTAAGGAGGCATCTGACAAAGGGGTTAATGTAAGCATCACTGTGCCTATGGAATCAATAGGGTGCGATGCCTGTGAAATTGATAATAAGAATCTGCAGATAAAGGAAGGCCATAGGAAGCTGTTCCATGTCCACCATGAGATGACAAGTGTTGATGTTGGAGAAAAAGACCGTCCATCTTTCCAGAGACAGAAAGAAATGAAACAGGAAAATGATAGTTCCCCTCTCGAGCTAAGTTACAATGAACTGAAGATTGATGAACACACTGATAATGACAACTACCAGAAGGGAGTGTGCAACTATGACACACAGTTTTCTGCTGCTAGTGAAGAAAGCTGCTCAGGTGTTGAGGTGGTTGGCTCAAAGGCAGGAGGAAATGAAGGCCTTTTTGAAGAAGATTTTAAGCAGGAGCTGAATGAGGAGGAAACCCGACCAGAACCAAAGAATTCGCCTGCAGATCCCATCGTAGGCCAATACGTTAAAAAAATCCAGGATCTGTTGCAAGAGCAGTGGACATGCCTAGAACATGGTTACCCAGAACTCGCCAGTGCCATTAAGCAGCCCGCCTCAAAGCTCAGCTCCATCCAGAACCAGCTTGTTAATTCCTTGAACTTGCTGCTCTCTGCCTACTCAACACAAACGCCAACAGACAAGGAGAATTCCAACACACAGTATCAACAGTTGGGTAAATAATATTGGCAAAGCCAGTCTTTCCTTTCCACTTACATTGCAGCTAGTCAGGAATATCACCTGAGATATTTTGAATGAAATAAACATGTTTGCTGCTTCAAAATAATAATAAAAATGTCCATTTTACCAAAACAAACAAGGGAAACTAAAAGAAATATTCTTGTGACATTTCCACGTTGTTGAAAAGCACTATTTTAATGTAAACAGAACTTAATGTGGCAGTTAAGGAAATATGAAAGTTTAGAAACCAAATTCATTATGTCTTAAAAATATCATCCAACATCACTTAAATGCATGGCATCATATTAATACAACCAATTTCATAGTGATAGAAAGAGAAAATGGGTATGGACAGGCATGGATGACATCCTCTCAACTGATGAACAGGGATGGCTGGAATAGGTTTGTGAAAAGCACTCCTACAATCTAGTTCCATGCTGCTCATAAGAAAGTGCATAGGGCTTCTATGAATAGAGTCAACCAGTTTTTTCAGCCCAAACCCAGAACAGCAAATATTCACATTGCTGTATCAACATAGTTCCCTTTTTTTATTTCTCTGCCACTCACACTACTTACTGAGGGTGGGAAAAACCATGGATGAACCTCTTTGTAGAATTTATCAGCCATTTATATGATATCTGTTGTGGTGGAGGAAAAAGTTGCCATTGCTGTGGCACAGCTGCAACTGGTCAGCTCTGTCATAAGGTAAGTGCCATTAATGTCAGCTGTCCTCTTTCAACAACCTCAGTTCCTCATTCTGTAAAGATGTCTGTTCCCACATTAGTTATAGGGAACTCTTGGACACAACTGTTTTGAGCCATTTCACAATTTATAAAACTGCTAACACTCTTTTCAAAGCTAAGAAGGGTCCGGTATGGTTTCATATTGGATGGGAAACCCATGTGTTGAGTTTCCTGCATTGCAGGGAGTGGGACCAGATAACCCTTGATATCTCTTCCAGCTCTATGATTCTATCGTGTGATCAGAAGAGTAGCACAAAGTATGCCCACCAGAATGTTTTGGGATCCATTCAGTTTCTAGGGCCAAATCAACTTAACAGACTAATCCAAGCTATCAATATTTTGAAACGACCCATTACAGTTGCGCCTTCTTCAAAATGCACAGCACTTGTTTCCATTCAGTTGGAAAACATTAAATCCGCCCTCAATCCTCTCTTTATGTCATGGAAGCAATGGAGTCCTATGTTCACTGAATCCCAAGCTTACCCAAGTTGATGACATTTAAGCTGGACCAGTTCAGCTACCTCAGACTGGAAGTCTAGCTAGAGGGTGGAGTCGGAAGGTATGCCAACTATACACTGATATTGCAAAGTGTCTCAGGGTTGCCATTCCATATACCGCAGCCACAAACTGATGACAACAGTATCTGGGCAAACACTGATACCAATGCCTCATCTTGAGTCAAATCAATGATAGTTGGTGATTGACATATATAAGCTTTATATTTAAACAGCAGCAGTATCAACACAGCAGGGTCATCGTTGGTCTCCATTTTAAGTCTCTTGAGGCAACTGAGCCATCTGCTGTTCTCCACACTGTCTTCATCTTCCCTTTGTCTTGTTTTCTTCTGAACACTACATTTCATAATGAGTTGAACATCACGGACATATAAAATGGGCCCAAGCAATGTAGGAAACCTAATGGGAATGTCCTCCGCAAACACCAACAAGGACCCCAAAGTGGTTGAGAAAAAGTCCTATCCACTTCTACAAATTCCTGTTGCCCTCTTGTGCAGCGAAGGAGAACTGACATACCCCTGTTCTTTTGCTCCATCCTTCACATTATTCTATCACATTCCCTTAACTCCACTGACCATCAATTGCATCTGCACACTCAACAAAATAGAAGCACCAACAAAATGCCTGTAGCTTGGGAAGGGGATGGGTCTTTGTAATGATGAATAAATAAATGTTATTGCAGTTATGCATGTGACATTGCTCAGTGTTGGGCCTTAAAGCTGGGTTGAGGGATCTGTGCCTGCAACTCCCATAATGCCTGACTATTGACCATACTGATGGAAACTGGCATCCAACAACATCTAGGGACCCAAGATTGGGGGAGCCTTCTCTGGTTGCTGCATCATACCAACCACTGGTGTCCTTCCCCAACCAGGGTAGGGTAGGTAAGTCTATGAAGCTATCAAACAGAAGAACTACCAGACAAGATAGGCCTCTTAAAAACAGCTGCATTGTGAACCGCTTTTGAGGTTTTGTTTTTACAATCAAGCAGTGTGTATATATATATGTGTGTGTGTGTGTGTGTGTGTGTGTGTGTGTGTGTAGCCACTGGTGTAGGAGTTGAGAGGTGTTGAGATCAGCCTTTCAATATAGGGGGACTTAATTACCATGTTCAGTTTGTTAAAGGTATGTGATATAGTTAAGTAAGACAACTCTGTTACAACATTTCTGATGTTCTGTGTTTTCAATATTTGTATTAGAAATTTCTCCAAGCACAAGCCTTAAATCTATAATGAAAAAGAAGGACACTGGTTTCCATGCAGGAGGTAACGGCACCAAAAAGAACCTTCAGTTTGTTGGGGTAAATGGTGGGTAAGCATCAATGGAAGAAGCAAAACTGCCTTGTCATTTATAATGCTACTTTTTAATGTATGCCAAAAGAAAAGATTGATGTATTAAACACAGACTCACTTCATTCCTTCTCCATTCTGATGTTGGCAAGATTGCTGCAAAAGGCTGGAGGAAGCATTGGGACGTATCAGGGGTGAGCAAACTTTTTCAGCAGGGGGCCGGTCCACTGTCCCTCAGACCATGTGGGGGCCCGGACTATATTTTGGAAAAAAAAATATATGAACGAATTCCTATGCCCCACAGATAACCCAGAGATGCATTTTAAATAAAAGGACACATTCTACTCATGTAAAAATACCAGGCAGGCCCCACCAATAACCCAGAGATGCATTTTAAATAAAAGGACACATTCTACTCTTAAAACATTTCTGATTCCCAGACCGTCCGCAGGCCGGATTGAGAAGGCGATTGGGCCGCATCCAGCCCCCAGGCCTTAGTTTGCCTACTCATGACGTAGGTCGTTAGCCGAAGTATTGAAAAGTACTACGCTAATATAAATGAAAGCTGAAAATCACTGCAAACTTCACAAAAGGAATGGTAACCTTAGCACTGAGTGAGTAGGCTAGGAAACAGACATACGGTAAGCAGTGACACCAAAAGCCAGGAAATCATTGGAACTAGCTTGCAATTTGCAGTTCTCTCGATTTCTGTAGAAAGAACAAAACAATCTGAACTCAGATATTTTTTCACTCTCTTTGACAAATAGACTTAAGAAAAAAAAATGCCAGCGAACCTTTTATTCAGAAGACTGCAGCTTCCCATTACTAGAATGTTGTTTACCACACAATCTTAAATAACTACTGCCATGGTTGGCTGTGATGTAAAGGCACTGTGTTAATTTAAGCTTCCAGATACATAGGCAACTCTACAGCTCTTGGCTTCCAGTGAAGAAGGCAAGTTGGTTTTAAGAAAGTTTCATCAACTTTGCCCACCTTCCCCTGTAAACCAGATCCTCTGCCATTTGCCTAGCGCATCTCTCCTCACCAAGTTCCAAATCCAAGTGGACTGGCTGTTTGCTGTGTAGTAGTTGCTTGTAAACTCACAGAGACACGACAGAAACCATGTAGGAAGCCGGACATTTGTAGCTGTAGATTAATGCTGCAATCGCTTGCAACTTCCTTGAAAGGTGGAATATTGGAATCAAAGGTCGTTTGTGGCCATGTGTTTAAATACATTAATTTATTTGCAAAAACTTCTATACTACCATCTTTTTTTAAAAAAAGTGAACAGCTCAATATCAATGATACGACATTCATAAAATGCAAAATATATCACAAATCATTAAAACAGATTATTAGCATGTCTACATGTTGCTATCAGTCCACATGCACATGGACATCTGTACCTGCCCAAACTTCACTACAAACATCACAATACTTGTTTGATGTCTGGGCCCTGTATATTTCATAGTCTATCCTCCCCATCTCAGGTCAAAATCTTGAGAGTGAGGGCTAACACATTTTCTTCCCTAAGCATCTGATAAAGTAGTAGTTTTAAAGGGACAACCCTTAGAAGTGATTTAGCAAACAGTCACCATTGGCTTCTAAGTGCTTTGATATAGAGGTGGTTACTTTATCATTTTACTTTGAAGATGCACAAATGCTAGTAAAATGTTTTAAGTTCCAGATAAGATAAAATGTATTTGAATAAAATGAGAAAGCAATGTAATTCATCATTAAGGGGATGGCCCCCAATCTATAGTACTAACAGAATACCTAGCTGAACCTTAGCAAACCCAGTGGCTTGTTTTTTGACATAATAGCCATGCAACAATCTCCAACACAACCTTTGGCCACTTATAACAGTCTCACCAGCCAGGTACAGATAGAGATGAATGAATCTTTAATTTTGATTTCTTTCAGTTTCTCATTTTTCCAGCCTTAAGGGACAGTACTCCACATTTCTGCATTAGTGTGCAATTAAAAACAATAGTAAACCAGCATTTTATTGTGTATTTCTCCCAATATACACATTTTGGTATACAATTTCCCGTAATATAATGCATTTTTGGTGTACTATTTTCAGTAATATAAGTATTTCCATGTGCTTTCCCAAATATATGCATTTTTGTACACATATAGTTGGAGAACTGAATAGCAAAATTCAAAGAAGCACAAACTGGGTGGATAGCTGCATTTTGATTTGTGTACTGTATTGTTTATAGAGGTGAAAATGACATGTTTTTGCATAAAAATGTGAACAACACTAAATATATCCAGTGGCTATCTGCTTCCAGTTCTGTCCAGGAGCTGTTGTGGCTGCTTTAACTGTTATTTCACAGCTGCTGGGCGATGTGGAAGCAGGACTTCAAATGTGTTGGAGCTTAGCAGAGGGTGAAAAGGTTGGGGAGCTCTCAGTAGAGCTCAAGTTTGTGGATCATTCCCTGAATTAGGGACAATGCCTTCTAAAACAATGTAAAGTAGAATTCAGATATATGCTCCTAATTGTAATGGAAGCATTAAACATGTGTGCCATAGTTGGGGACATAAATCAGAAAGCTAAGAGTTGTTAAGACACCAATATTGCTTTGGTATTGGTTCTAAATATTAGTCTTGCAGTGAGAAAGATGTCAATGACATGTGCATAGTTGTCATGTAGAATTGTTTGCCAGGTTCTTCCCTTGGCATCAGTGCCTATAATCCCCATTCTGGAAATTATGCAATGTCACTTCACCTCAATCTCACATTTATGGCACAGAGCCATAAAAGTATTATGAATGAGCCACGTCATGGTAGTTAGAAAGCAAGCAATAATACTGTTATTGAAACCACCAATCCTACAAGAGTCCAGTTCCTTTCGAATTAGCAAAAACTTGCATGCTTCTGAGATTACTTATGTCCCAGCGAATAAAAAAAAATATCCATGGCTTGCACAGCCTGGGATTTCAAATTTAAGAGGGTTTTGGGCCTAGGGCCCACCAAGTTTGCTTATAGCTCTATGGTTCTTGGACAGAAGGAACGCTGAATAATGCCTGCTGTCCTCACCCAGTTACGAAACCACATCCAGTGAAGATTCCAGTTGTGAAGAAAGCTCCTCAGAAGGGAATTCAGATAGTGAGACTGAGAGAAAGTGTGGCAATGATGAGCATAGATGGGGTGAAGATGGCAATGAAAGTGAACAAAGAGCTTCTGGAACTGCCCATTACGCAAGGAAAGAAGACCCAGAAGAGCAAGAGGGACCCACACGACCAAGCACACAGCACAAGGCAGACAGGTAATGGTTCTTGTTTTTTATTTAGAGCATTTGTACTCCATTTTTTAGCTTTAAAAGCTCCCAGAGTGGCTTACATGGAATCAATTAACAACCCCTGCCTGCAAGCTTAAAATCTAAATAAAACACACACACACACACAAACACACACACACACGAACAGGGAGGGAAGAGGGAAAATCAAACTCGGGTCCCAATTCCTAAACAGTTGCTTTTGTTATAACCAGCTGGCACAGTTTAGGGGTAAGAGGTGCCTGATGCAGCTGGTGTTTCAGCAAAGCTGCTGGAACGTTATGTGAACATGTACAATTCCTGCAGACAATCAGTAGTAGTTTCTGTTCCATTCTGCTTTCAGCAGGTGTAATAATGTATTTGAGAGAAACATTAATAAAATCCAAGTTGTTATGACCTATAAGGCATTTGAATTAACACTGAAGACAAGGTATTATTATGATTATTCATTTATGAATCATTTTCTGCTTGTTTCTCAAAGTGATTTACAAACATAACAAACAAAAAAGGCCATCTAAAAATAAATTTTAAAACTGAAACAACCACTACAAAGGATAGGTTTAAAAGCAACACGAGGTGTACACCTAAGAGAGCGGCAAGAGCTTGTTGAAACAAAAATGCCATCAATTGTTTCCAGAAAGTACAAATAATGGATCCCTGATGTATGTCAACAGGGACACAGTTGAACACAATGGGCAGGCATACGGGAGGCCCTGCTCTGAGTGTTTCTGGTAGTTTGGAGACTTGAAAGTGAAACACTAATGCAAAACACAGTAGCCTTTTGGGTATACAGTGGTACCTCGGGTTAAGTACTTAATTCGTTCTGGAGGTCTGTACTTAACCTGAAACAGTTCTTAACCTGAAGCACCACTTTAGCTAATGGGGCCTCCTGCTGCTGCCGCGCCGCCGGAGCACAGTTTCTGTTCTCATCCTGAAGCAAAGTACTAAACCTGAAGCACTATTTCTGGGTTAGCGGAGTCTGTAACCTGAAGCGTATGTAACCTGAAGGGTATGTAACCCGAGGTACCACTGTATAACAAACAGGGTAGTTTCTCAAGTAACCTGTTTTTATTACATTTATATCCCACCTTTCCTTCAAGGAACTCTCCCCCTCCTCATTTTATTCTCACAACACCCCCTGTGCTTTATGTCCTGCATTGAACCTTTCAATTATATAGTTGCATATAAAAAAAAGAGTTATTGAATAGTAGTAGGGGGCAGAGGAGCAGTTTTGCTATAAGGGCCTTCCCCCCTATTAGTATTCATTTATTTTTCCTGATCTTATTCTTTAAAAAGAGAAGAAGCTGTGTTTTCTGCACATTTTTTTTTTACAGTGAATCCACAAAGATGTTTTTCGTTTTCAGATTTAAACCCTCTACAGATTTTCTGAAAGGATGCCAGATCTTGAGCAAACACCTGCCAGAAATAAGAACCACGAAGGACAAATTACTGGTACTAATATTTTTCATGTTGTATTTTGAGCACCTCTCTGTTTCAGCTTAATTTAAGAACCTTCTCAGTTATTATTTTTGGTTAATGGTGGACTCAGAGAATAATAGAATTGTAAAGTTGGAGGGGACCATGAGGCTCATCTGGTCCATTCCCCTGCAATGCAGGAATCTTTTGCCTAATGTGGGGCTGAGACCCACAACCCTAAGATTAAAAGTCTCATGCTCTACTGACTGAGCTGTCCCTGGCATACTAGCGCCAGCTTTTCACTGATGTGTTATGGTTAACTTCGATTTCCCTATTTTCAAAATCTAAATTAATGAAATGCTAGTTTTGATAAATGGTGTAGGGAAGTAAAAGACACATTTCCCCAAATAAAGTTTGTTTTATATAGTTTATTCATTTGCAGCAATCAACCATAATAAAACCTTTTCACATCTTAAACCCATTGCATTTATCATCACAAAGCAGATGTCAGGATAGAACTTGGGGGGGGGGGGGGGAAGGTTAAATCTGTGGGCATCTGAGGAGACTGAGACTGAACCTGTGGGCTTCTAGATTTTAGTCCTCTCTGTACTACATGGTTGGCTCCCATTCATTCGGAGTATACAGCATTGTGTATTAATACTCTTTGCTAGATTGTATCCAGTGTTACTAACTGGGTTGTATTCAACATTAGCTATTCTCAGAGTAAGCCCATTTATATTAATGGATATGACTACTTCAGTTCATGAATTTCAATGGGTCTACACTTGGCCACAACACTGCATCTCTCAAAACTCAAATCAGTCCAGTTACTGAAAAGATGTTGGGCTGGTCTGCTACCATAGCAGGATTTCATTACAAGGCAAGTTTAAATATGCGTAGATTTATTTATTATGTCTCAGTTATAGATTGCTTTTTGTAGCCTGCCCAAGCAGAGGAACAGCACATTAAACTATAATAGAATTAAGATTCAACAAGGCTGGGGAGCATGCAGCCATCCAGATGTTGTTGAACTCTCCCATCAGTTCTAGCAGAGCTGCTCTGGTAAGAGCTATCATCTCATCTTGGCATCTCACAGTGCTGTTCCATGGAGGAAGTTTGTACATAGAGCAGTAAGTTACTATATGGACTGAAATCTGAGGACTTTCTTGGTCCCCAGAGGTGAATGGGAGGCACTAATAGTTTGGCTGTGAGCTTCAAGCACAAAAACGTTGTTAAAGAGTTTGGAATACCCTCATTGTTGGACTAAATCAGCTGTCGGTCTCTTTTTTAGAGGCACGTTTTAAGCACCATCTGCCAGGAGTGGTTCCGAATCTCAAGCAGGAAATCCTCCAGCCCTGAAATTGTGGCAGCTTACCTCCAAGAGGTTGAGGCAATTCATCCACAGTTAGAGAATATAATTGTGAACTTGGCTGATGGGAACGGCAACACAGCACTTCATTACAGTGTTTCTCATTCCAACTTTCGGATTGTGAAGCTTCTTTTAGAGACAGGTAAGAATCCCTTAATTGCTTTTTCGGAGCTGAAAATTATGTCCATTTGTTCTGCTTTCAACACTCTCCCTGAAACTGCTTTTCCAATCTGAGTTCTTAGGGCCCAACTGGGTACAGTGGTACCTCGCAAGACGAATGCCTCGCAAGACGGAAAACTCGCAAAACGAAAGGGTTTTTTGAGTTGCTTCGCAAGACGATTTTCCCTATGGGCTTGCTTCGCAAGACGGAAACGTCTTGCAAGTTTGTTTCCTTTTTCTTAAAACCGTTAATACAGTTGCGACTTGACTTCGAGGAGCAACTCATAGAACGCGGTGTGGTATCCTTTTTTGAGGTTTTTGAAGACTTTGGTGATTTTTGAAGCTTTTCCAAAACTTTTCCGACACCGTGCTTCGCAAGACGAAAAAAACCGCAAGACGAAAAAACTCACGGAACGAATTAATTTCGTCTTGCGAGGCACCACTGTACTTGTTTTCTTTTCCTTTAATTGCGGTAATCTTCTCTCTGGCTTTCCTACATTATGCTTTGATCTTGTCCACAATCTGCAGCAAAGGGGGAGCTGGCATTGTCTCCTGATTTACTGCTCTCTGCTTATTTTCCTTTGGTGTATAAAAATATTTATATACCATTATTCCTTTAAAAATATCATAATGATTGACAGCGATCATATATAAAACCATGTAAAAATGTAAAATCAGAATTTGGTGATTACAGAAGGATAACTTCTTAATGGCTGGCATAAGCTTGGAAGCATTCTTGAAGGAGTCCTCTGTTTGAAGGCCTGTTCAACCCAAATTGGGTTGAAAGATAAAGAGCGTTAGAGGAAGGGATAACAGGGGCCTTGAAATTGCCCGTCAACAGTTAGCCCCTAGATAGCACACTGAGCAGGCACACAGGTCACACTATGCTGATATGCGTTGTATTTCCACTTACGTAAAGGTAAAGGGACCCCTGTCCATTAGGTCCAGTCATGGCCGGCTCTGGGGTTGCGGCGCTCATCTCGCTTTATTGGCTGAGGGAGCCGGCGTACAGCTTCCGGGTCATGTGGCCAGTGTGACTAAGCCGCTTATGGCGAACCAGAGCAGCGCACGGAAAGGCCATTTACCTTCCCGCCTAAGCGGTACCTATTTATCTACTTGCACTGGCGTGCTTTCAAACTGCTAGGTTGGCAGGAGCAGGGACCGAGCAACGGGAGCTCACCCCATCATGAGGATTCGAACCGCCGACCTTCTGATCGGCAAGTCCTATGCTCTGTGGTTTAACCCACAGCGCCACCCACGTCCCTCCATTTACGCAGTTAGGTCTAAATTATGTATGCGGTAGGTATATTTACTATATAAAGGGTCAATCAGCCCTTAAATATAGATATGGCTGACTTCTGTTTATTTATTTAGGATACTTATAGATGCAGCCTTCCTGAAAAAGAACTCGGGGTGATGTACATTAAAAAAAAATCTACGCAAAATGCATCCAAACATAGCTAAAAACGTGTACAAACTAAAAACAACACCACCTACTATATCAAGTAATTCAAACAAAGATACATGCATTGCTGCTAAGGAAGTAATCTTCTATTCATCAGATTGCAAAAGAGTTACAAAAGTGTTTTCAGTTGACACCTGAAACCCAAAAATTGTGGTAGAAAATTACAGACCTCTAAGGCGCAAGAGCATACCAGAGTTAGGCCCTTCAATACAGGCTCTTCTACACATCCCCTCACCCCAAATTCGGGGGGAAACTGTGAAATATTCTATGCTGTAACAGTCACAGTAGGCATGACTGTACTTCATAATCGAGGATTGCTACTTATAAACTGAAATGGGAAGCTAGAGTTCAGCAATAAAAACTGCATTCTAAACGGTTGGCCTGTCAGGTCAGATGTGAAAGAGTAAAATGTCCTACCAGATTTTTATCCAGTAAACATGCATGTATTTTCCAGCAAGAAGAAAGAAGCTCTTTGATTTCCTGGTTGGCATGACGACCTGTAAAATGTTAGAAGAATGGCATATTATCATATGTGTCTATAAATCAATTGTTGCACTAAGACTTCCAAGCCACCCCAGAATATTGAAACAAGGTTGTTTTGTTCTCTTGGTAGATGCCCCCGGGCAATTATATTCAAAGCTACACACTGAGTTTTAAATACTAACTCATTTCAAGTCTATGAAAGAAGGGAAATAATAGCATGCCCTGGAGTTCTAGCAATGATGCAAACCTTAAGAAAAACCTTGATACTGTCTGCTCTGCCTGGGCGCAACTCTCCAAACAGAGGTCTTTGCCAACCCTGCTGCTTCAGATCTTTTGTTTGGAGAAGACACTGAACCTGGGACTTTATACATGCGAAGTATGTGCTCTACCACTGAACTTCTTTCTTCCAGTTTCTTTCCCATCCTTTAGTCACCTATTTCCTTTTGCATACCTACATCTTCCTTTGAAGTTAAGACAGCCAAGGTCTGATGCCAAGGACTATGAGGAAAACTCTCACAATAAGCCAGACACAATAGCCTTATTCATGCATTATACTTGCCTGCTGGGCATCACCCATGGAACCAGGGGCGGGGAATGCTTTTAGCCCTGCCCTGAGGAATTCTTCCAGAAGCAACCATGCTTTGCCCTACGTGTGTGTAGGGCCTCTGCATGAGGCCCCACACATGAGCAAGAACTTGAACACTGGTTTCTCTTCAGACAAGTGTGGGTGACGCACATGAGGAAGAGGAAGCAACATCAATGGCAGCGTGAAGGGCACAACCCCACTCCAAGTAATCGTGCTAATGCCCTCCGCGTGAGCAATCTGTGGCTAGGGCTAATCAATGTGTATTTCCCTTTTTCTCCCAAGTAAGGTAGCCAGCTCCTGTTCCCATATGCCTTTCTAGCAAATCCAACACATAGTGTACATATTTAGTACAAGGCATATTAAATAAAATATCATTCTCCCTAACCAAGGTATTTCATGCCTATCCCCTTATAAACTGTCTTGGGTCATATACAGGCCACCAAATTTCTCTAGGGATGAGAGGAAAGTGTTGTTAGGACCAATTTGCACCTTCCGAGACTGGCGTAGGGATTTTTTCTGATGCAGTATCAGTAAAGTATTGGTGAAATTGCTTCATGAGGGGGCCCAATGACCTTGCCCCCCGCCGCCAGTGTTGTCAGTGAATGTAGAATGGACCTTGTTCTGGTGTGACAATGAGCTGAATTGAGCCCCTGATTTTGCCGTTTATCCCATTTGAGCTTTTGAGTCTTTTCCTTTAAACTGTCCAAACAAGTCAAAAGCTGAAGTGAGTGGAATGATCATTATTCCAGCATAACAAATTGTGCAAACGGGGTCGTGCTTACAGAAGGCATGCATGGTCCTGACTATATTCTGAGAAGCTCTAGAAAATGCAAGGAGTGTGTTCCCTTCTGTCGCCGTAACTTCTCCATGTTTTGTTTCCAGAGTCTTTGCCCTAACAGGAAGCTTGCTTAGCTCTGGAAAATACATCCCTCTGAATTTAAAATTCAGTGTGTTAAAGCCTAAGGAACATGAATCAGATTCTTGATCTTCGCAGTTATCTGTACCATCTGTTGCTGATTGTCTTTTAAAAAAACAGATACGTGATAAATATTTATGTGTTTAAGGCTGCAATCCTGTATGCATTTACATGGGAGTAAATACCAGTGAAAACAACGGGGCATACTTCTAAGTAGACACATATAGGATTGCACTGTAAGGTACTGTCTATGGCAACCTTTTGCCAGCCCGGCGTCCTCCAAATGTTTTGGAGGACAGCTCTCATCAGCCCTAGCCAGCTAATTTCCATTCATTGTGGAGCTAATTGTAATCTGGAGGATTAAGCATTGGTGAAGGCTGATTTCTGAGATACAAGTAAATTAAATAAGAATATTGCTTCACGTGTCTTGCGCTTCTTTGACTCCTGGTAGATATAGATAGATGAAAAATGTTGCCTCTTGTTTAGGTGTCTGTGATGTGGACCATCAAAACAAAGCTGGGTATACAGCAGTAATGATCACACCACTTGCATCAGCAGAAACCGATGAAGAAATGGACGTGGTCACGAAGCTCTTGAAAGAAGGCAATGTTAATATACGGGCAAGTCAGGTATGCTGAAATGTGTCACTACATTTTGTTTTGAGTTACAGACACTAAAAGGCTTTTTTATATTAAAAAAGTGATCATGGGTATCTGGACTCATAAAACGTTACTTTAATGCTATCGTGCTGAAATGTCAGTCTTTGCTTACATGATCAAGATGCCACAATATTTGTAATAGTACATAAGAACATAAGAAGAGCCTGATGGATCAGACCAGTGGCTGATGCAGTCCAGCAGCCTCATCTCACGGTGGTTGAACATTTGTCTGTGGGAAACCAGCAAGCAGGATTCGAGCACAACAGCACGTTCCCCTCCCGTGGTTTCCAGCATCTGATCAGAAGCATCGCTGCCTCCAATTGTGGAGGCGAGCGTAGTCATCATGGCTAGCATGCATGTATTTGATTTACACACAGTCCTTCATCATAAGATCTCAGTAGCCATTGGTATCCCTGTCCTCCATGAATTCATCTAATCCTCTTTTCCAGACCTCTGCTTACCCTCAACATCTGCTTCAGAGGGTTGGTGCTGTAAACAGGGTCTCCTGTATCAGACTTGGCTAAATTATTTTGCTCATATCTACAGACCAACTAAATTTCACCGGCTTATCTTACATTGCTATCTTAGAGTGGCTACATATATTTATCAGCAGGGAGATTATGAGCTTTTTTTCCTAATCTTTTTCCTTCCCATAATTCAACAAAATGGCAGCCACAACTCCGAAGCTTTGTCAGAGATTGGGCAACACACAAAAAAAATAGCTTTGAGAGAATGAAGAGATGGGAGTACAACATTCACTAAAGAATCGGAGTGCACCATGTTTTCATGTCTTCCTTATATCCTTCGCCATCTTGCACCATTTTCCTCCTTAAAGAACGGGCTACAAATGTTGGTGATTTTCTTCACTGAGAGAATAAGAAATAGTATACAAAAACTAATTTTCTTTCTCTCTTGCTTCTGATTTTTTCTAGGGAGGCCAGACTGCCTTGATTCTGGGGGTGAGCCATGATAGAGAAGATATGGTGAAAGCCTTGTTGTCATGTGGCGCTGATGTAAACCTTCAGGATGATGCTGGTTTGTCACCACTGATGGTTGCTTCTCAGTATGGTAACATCGAAATTGTGAAGCTTCTCTTGACCCATCCAAGTTGTGATGCTGCATTGATTGACAAGGTGAGAGAAATAAATGCTTGCCAAATTATAAGGACCCGCAATTTCAAACCATGTTAAAACTAAGCTTGCTGTTAAATACTATCTCAAACGGGTTTTAACATAAAATTTGGGAACCAATAATGAGGGTTTTTTTCTGAAATTGCTAGCAATCTTATAGAAATTCAGGTTTCTTCTGACAGAGCTGCTCTTGACTTGACTTTCGGATGTGTACAAAGGTCCTTGTTAAACAGTGTAGTTCCTAACCTAACTTTTGCTCACTGTCACATCATTATGAGTTTTTTTTTAGCTGTAGCATGCATGCACAGGCCAACTGTATGTGTTTCTATAAGAATACGGATCCCATGGTGCAGTACAACAGTGAGCAAAAAGTGCTTGAGAACAACGTATGTAGTGACAGTTGACTACAAAACTCATGATACAACAAGACTGATGTACAGGGATGCATGCTCTAGCCTGGGAAAGCAAATTTCAAGGTGAAATTTACTGCTCCTTAAAAGGCAAATGAGATTCCTGTCTCATTTTCCTTATAAACTGAGCAGAGGTTAACGGCTGCTGCCTCACACACAGGCAGAGGTTTACTGAGGGAGGATACCATTTATTATGATTGGCCGAGCTGTGCACTTGTCTACAGGTCAACCAATTAAGTTGCTATTGGGACTGGATCTCTTGGGATTTATAAGCTTGTGCCCACCTTTCCTCCTACCCTTGCCAACGGCATTCCAATTTTTGCCACCCACTCTTAAAACCTAACCTCATGAGCTGTTGCTAGCTGCTGCTTCCTTGCAGGGCTGTGAAAGAAAATACCTCTGTCAACGATTGGCCTATTTTTAGCCAAGATACGTGTACAGTGGTACCTCGGGTTACAGACACTTCAGGTTACAGACTCTGCTAACCCAGAAATAGTACCTCGGGTTAAGAACTTTGCTTCAGGATGAGAACAGAAATCACATGGCGGCAGTGGGAGGCCCCATTAGCTAAGGTGGTTTCAGGTTAAGAACGGACCTCCAGAACGAATTAAGTTCTTAACCCGAGGTACCACTGTATTCTGTTTGTCACAACTCTTGGGCACAGAGCTGAGCATACAGCAAATTGTATCCAAACTGGATAGAGCAATTTTAGATCAATCTTAATTAATGTGAGTAGCAATATGGCATTAACATATTATTTTCAACCTAAGGGGTGTGAGATGGGCTTAAAATGGCTCTAGGGGTTCTTTGGATTCTTCAAGACTCAAATGGGGAGTTTCAAATTATTCTCCTTTTACCCACTATTCAATAAATACTGAACACTGAGGTCTCAGTTTTGAGAAGCGTCAATTTGCGTTAGTTTTCAGCTTGCCCTATGGATGATTTACACAGGCCAACTTGCGGTTATACAGCAGGTTGGTTTGGTTGACCTCCCTGACCCAGTTGGCTTGTATGCCCTTTCAACAAAAGAAGTGGCCGGTTTAAGATTTATTTTGTGTGTACTGGTCTCCCTTCCACTTCTGCAACATGGCCACAGTTCTCCTGTTGTTACTACTACTTAACAGCCACTTCTTTAAATTAGTGTAGGCTTATAAACAACACTTTAGTCATTTGAGGAAGTTTTTGATAAATACTAACAGCAACAGATAGGCTCTCTATTCCTGTATTTCTACAGGGCTTTCAGAACATCCATTGTCTCTGAAATTCTGTGGCTTAGCAAGAATTTGAATCAAAGTCTAGGTCAATGTGAACCAGTCTGGCTTTCACTTCCTTCTGTATTTTGGGGGTGGCTGCCCTGCCATGTTAATAAAACCCAACTAGGAATTTAGGCTTTTTAATGTTTAGATCAGGGTGGAGAACCTATGTCCCTGCAGATGTTGACTGCAGTTTCCATCGACCTGAGCAAGCATGCCCCGTTGGCCATAGCTTCTTAATCCGACTAATAGATTCTTAGGGAAGTGTCAGTCAAAACATACCAAGCTGATCTCTAGGTAATTTATCCTGAGTTGATCTGATGTGGCGTGAATTCAAATCATATGAAAAGTACCCCAGGTAGACTAAATCTGCAGCAGTTTATCTCTTTCCATTGTTTAGTTTATATCACAGGAAGAAAGGTTTACTTATGCTGGCAGAAACTAGAGAAAATGCTATAATTAATTGGATCCAGATGTGTCCCATCAAGCTTTGCCTCACAGTGAAACAGCCTGGTATTTAAGCAGAATTTCCAAGCCAAACAACTCTTGAGGCAGGGCTGTGACTTCCAATAAGCTTTTAACTGCATGTACACGGATGCAACTGGAGACCATCAACATCGTGTTGATTCCACATGAAATTTAGTGCTAATATGCTATTATAAAGGACCTGCTCTGTTAATGAGCAATTGACTCTGCTGTGTACTGTTAGAAGACCCGGGAGTTTTCGTATTTGGTTTTTGTTTGTTTTCTGCAAAATGAGACTTGCCTTGTGTTCTGTCTGCCAAAAAGTGGGGTCAATAAAGTGAAATGTGATTGTTTGCAATACTTCAAATACCTAATCCGGAAGGCTGCCATTGAAAGATGCTGATTCATAATAGCTACGAAATCTCACCCAATGGGCTGGGAGTCTTTATGTCAAAGTCTGCCATTGTTGGCATCCATCTGTCTCAGGAGACAATGGAGTGCACCTCTAGAGGTGAAGTCAAACCACTGGAGAATCACAGCGCCTGCTGTGGCTGCAGAGAGCAATAAATCTTAATTGCTGCTTTCCACATTGTTTTTGCTGCATTAGCAGCACCAAAGTGACCTCTCTGGGCGTAAGCCTGGGCAGTGTGTAGGTATAGCTTAGAAAAAAATAATGTGCTTGCTCCTTTAGAGAAGGTGCTCTGTTGTTATAAATGTGGGTGGTGGTTTCTTTTCTTCTTTATTTAACAGTATGTACAGCTTTAGACTTACCGTATTTTTCTGTGTATAAAACACCCCCATGTATATTTTGGGGGACTAAATTTAAAGAAAATGAGGGGAGATGGCTGGCAGCTTCCCCTCCACGCCATTGCGGGAAACATGCACTTCCCACTGATGCATGGGGGGGGGGGAGTTGCACGCCCACCAACCAGATGACTGGCAGCCCGCAGCTTACCCTCCCCCATGCCACTATCCATGTATAAGACAACTCCAGTTTTTTGACATGATTTTTGAGTCAAAAAACTTCGTCTAATACACAGAAAAATACGTTAAGTCTAAACGTAGAGTGCTGGCATAATAATAATCTCCTTTTTTTCCTCTCCTTCATGTAGGCTGGTAATTCTGCTTTGTCCATAGCTTTGAAATCTGCCCACACGGAAATTGCAGAGTTCCTTCGGAGCCACATACAGCACAGTCGGCCTCTGAATACATAAAGTGATGGAATGGGAAACCGATAACAAAAGACTCATTATTTTACCCAGCTCTGTAACCAATTTATATGCCCATGATCATAGCTGATAACTGCTGATTTCTCTACTTACGGAAAGGCAGAACTATGTCAGCTATTTGCATACATTTCTAATGAATGAGTCACTCCCTTAAACCTGCTTTTATAGCCTTAACCTCTGACCAGTGGCACAAATAATGGTTAGATTATTTCATTGCCTTTTCTTAATAGTAATTACTTCCACAAGTCAAGTTGTCTTGTCTCTTCTTCAGCTTTGAGCTTATCTTTTTTTGTTTCTCAAAGCTTGAATAACTGCAGGGAAGCAACTAGGTTGGCCCTGGGCATAGTTCTACATTTTCGAAGACCAAGGGCATAAAGGATAATGTGCTTTCAGGTATGACATCACCACCACACCAAAGCTGCCCAGGTTCAGTGAAGGTACAAGTAATATGGAGCAATTCTGAGATACTTTAAATTTATTGATAGCCTGATGCTGTGTCAGCTTGTATTAACTTCAAATATATTCTCTGTACCTTGTGAATAAGGTAACAGTAGGAAGTCTTCCTTCCTGCCCAGTAAATCTTCCTCTGATTCACTTATTTTTGTTCTAAGCCTGTTGTTGCTGCACAGCCCATTGACTGCTCTGTAGGAAAGTACCAGCCTTTCTCCCTGCTGCATCAGAGCATCACATCAGGGACAAATCAAGAGTGCAGTAGCACTGATGGTTGCTGTTGGGCTACGGCTATGGTTTGGGCCTGATCCCAGTACAAGGGCACAAATTAGTACCAATTCTTAGTACCTCAGCAGTCATTACAAGAGACTTTAGTTTGGATGTGTTTGTCAAAGGGGCTTGGATCCAACCGCAGCAGAACTTGAGAGTTGAGACTCGAGAGATCCCCATTGCATGAGCAGAACTTCATCGACAGAACTTTGGATCCAACCGTGCTGTTGCCATTACGCCATGCTTTTCCAGGAGTGTCTCATTTTATGCAATATTTGACCTTGCATCACCGCCCTATCTGTTTCTCCTTGTCGCCCACCACTGTGGATAGCAGATGTTCTGAGACAAAGAAGAAGAATACACAGCACGACAGCATCACATATAGGGTAAAACTAGACATTACTGAGAAGAAAGGAAACTAAGACATAAGTATAGTTGATAGTCATTGATTTGGCATTGGTACCACATCTTTGGGTTGGGCTGTGAAAACAGATATTGCTTTTCAAATGAAAGTCCAGCATATATCTCTTAAAGCACATGATGTTTCCAGTTTGTCTACAAGCACAGCAGTAAAGCAATACTTTTTTGGAGTAACTTTAGATAATGAGTGTTGTTTGTAACCAGCTATCTTAACGCATGTCTCAGTTAACTTGTAAGTTGTACTGTGCTATTTATTACTATTGATTTCTATAAGTACCGGCAGTCAACATTTACTCAGCATACAGCTACAAATATAGATTGGCTAGATTATGTACAATATATATCTTGGTTGTGTTTGGTTTCTATGGCTCTGATGCAAGAAGTCATAGCTAATTATTTACAGAAATAGTTGAATGTATTGGATCCAAACACACACACATTACTACCTGTATATTCACAAAGCACAACCATCTTGTTTTTTATCCCTTTGGAATTATCATATATATGGCTTTCTTACGTTTTTTTAATTGAATTTGAATTAACCAGCCAAGAGAAAGCTTTGAAGTATATTTCTCACTGGAAGTTTGGGCACAATTAAGATACAGTGTGCTTTTTCATTTTTTTACCGAGCTAAGTATGTAGAACAAAATGACTTGATCATAAACTTCCTCATGAGAATTATTATTGTTTAAGATATTTTCATAATTAGGTTCTGTAGAGCTATTTCTGATTATGGCTTCATATGGAAGGTGCCTTTTGGGCAAACATCTGTTCTCATCTGTTTCATCAGGCTAAAATGCTGGAAATCCCAAACTTGGTAGATTGAAATCTGTTGTACTAATTTATCTGCCATATTGTTTCATTTATTGAGTAACCTTCCACCCACAGGGTAGGCAGAGTTCTTCTGCGGGCTCTGGCAGCCTTCCAGAACTCACTATAATGCACACATAGGAAGATCTCGCTCAAATTCCCATTGCTCAACCACAATGAATAACAAAAATACTTTCCATAATCCAGAAACGGTGCAACCAGTTCCTCATTTCCAGTGGAGCAGCCTCTTTTGAACAGCAGCTTTGTCAAAGTGATAATTTAAAGTTCATCCTCATTAACTTGCTGTAATATGCATCTGCTTAGCTTCTCTGCCTCAAATTTATCCTGCAAATGTTATGTTGAAAACTAGTTAAACTGGGGTGCGTGCATGTCAGATCACTCTTGCTTAACTATTTGGGCTGTCTCTGCTATGAGCAATGTTTTCAATGACCTATCATTTTAAGTAAATAAATGGAACTGTAAAATAGCAGTCTTCTTTGCTGCATTACGTTTGAAAATCAGGTGTGTTACGTTAACTGTGGGATGAAGCATAGGGTTCTTTTCTGCAAAGAAGAAAGTCACAGAGCTCTCAGTGCATGCACACATTTCTTTAGGGCAAAGCTAAAGAAAATCTCATGTTGTGGTCATAGCAAGTGCAGGAAGCATTAGGGCTTCTCTGAAGAGAAAAAGGCAGCACCGAGGAGCTTCCCTCAGCACTATTTCCCTGATCAAATTAGCTGTTTTGAATGATTAAACAAAATGCAGTGGTCCTGATCATTGATCTCTTGTGTCATGAGTAATTTGGCCCTATAACAAAGCCATTTATGGTACTCAGTGGCTGGGTCCAGATATAATGGGAAATTGTGGTTTCCCATTATGTGCATGTGTTTTAGCAATCACAACCTCAGCTTTGTGTGCTTGTCCTTCATCTCTCACATACCAGAAGAGGAGCTACTTCTTATTTTAAAGTAAACATTGTTCCCTGTGACATTCAGACCCAGAGAACTGCAAAGGCTTTTAATACTATGTTTAGTGAAAGCAATTTGGAATCAAGCTATACTTTCAGAGAGTGGCTTGTTTTCAAACTATATTTTCGACAAATCCATAACCTGTATAGGTTGCCTTATTAACAGATCTGAAATTTGACAAATCATAGTTTCCCAGGTTTGAACATCACGAACGAACAATGGTTCGGATAAAACTGTAAGTGGCGGCTCCTCCGCCATGTGAAAGGGGAGATGGGAAAACTTGCAACCCCAAGGCTTACCACCATTCACTCTCATTGCAGGACATTACTTGCAAACTCAACCAGTATTACATATGTTGGGATTTGACCTGTACCTAGCAATTCTATCCGATCCTTTAAAAATGAATACTTTCACAATAGGGTCTCTATTTTTCTCTGTCATGACATAAACTCTCATGGCATGGTAGTCATAAATGCAGCAAAGCTACACTTGTTCGATTCTGCATGCATGCACCTGTTAAGGCACAGCTTCTGTAAGAAAATAGGCAGAAATTTATTTTTAGCACCAATGGGATGGAGAGGGGATGCTTCAAAGTGAGACACATCACATTTGAGCAGTTTGAGTGTGGATCACACACACACACATGACAAAGGAGCTCCCATCTGCAATAAAACTTGAAAGTAATTTGGGGTTTTTAAAAACTGTTTTGCGTCCGGATTTCAATGCTTTAAATGAACAGACATTATCATTTATAGTAACCTTCCAGGAAAAATAGAATGAGACTTGTGTGAACTTTGTTGTACATTACTATTAAAATTAGTCATATAACAAGTTGACAGAGCCTCTTTTTAAGTCTGTCCTGATTGCATTGATGGGAAACTTTATAAAATGGTTAAGTAATGCCAGGTTTGATAAAAGCAGTCACGGGCTTTGAGAGGTAATCAATTAATGGTCCAGCTCTGTAAGGCTGAAACAAGCACAAAATCAATTTGAGAATCCAGCTTAGCTGTCGAAATAAACTTATATGCGGTGCATTCTGAGGTAAAATAATGGTGACCAAAGCAGAGTGAAGAGATGCTTTAAAAAAATTAAGACTCTTATTAAACAGCCCTCATTAAAAATAAAACGGGCTTCCATTAGTCACACAATCTCTACAAAGAACTTGAAAGAAAATTAAAATGCTCTTGACAACTGAATGGACTTTTCCATCTGCACCACCCTGCCCCTTATTTACCTCTTCTTTCTTCACTTTCCTCCACACCTTCAGTCGGAAGTGATCCCACAAAAAATACTTGCTTCAGCACCAAGTATGGAGCTAATGGTTGCAGTTGATTCTGTTGCTCAGGGGCAAAAATATTTGACTCTTCACATAAGACATCAGTTGCACAACTCCCAGATACCCTCAAGAAAACAGGACTTCATGCCTTGCCCTTTTTTTAAGGGCTCAAACTGAGCATTCCTTTCATTACTGTCCTCCAGGAAAAACACACACAGGCACACAAGTCTGTTGTAATCATTAAAGCAACAGGAGGTCATTCCACCTCACATTCCATTATCAATAGCAAGGCCTGGGCTTCTTGTAGAAGGCACACACAAAATATGGGACCCACAAAGCTGGATATAGCCTACAAACACCATATGAGGATCCAACACAGTCAAGCAAAATAAATGAGATAGAGAGGCAGCTAAAGTGATATTCCATTTCATAATGAATAAATGAGAGAGAGAGAATTGAAGATCCTCTCAAATTCACAAATGGCAAATTTGTGAATGGTTCTACTCGGAGTCTGATTAAAGGCATAGGGTTTTATCCAGCTTCAGTTGTACTCTGAGTAGACCCACTGAAATTAGTGGGCATGACTAACGGATCCATTCTGAGCAGAACTTTGTTGGTTAAAACCTACAATTCATAAAACTATATAATGCCATCAGATACCGTATTTTTCGTTCTATAGGACGCACATTTTCCCCTCCAAAAATTAAGGGGAAATGTGTGTGCATCCTATAGAGCGAATGCAGGCTGCGCCGCTAAGCCCAAAGCCAGAACAGGAAGACGGAGCACTGCGGAGCGCTCAGTCTCGCTGCTCTAGCTTGGGGACAGCTGCGCACAAACCTCTGCAGGGCAGCGGGGTGCTGCGCTCCAAAGGCTTCAGGGATCTTTGAGGCTGGCGGTGGGGGAAAGCAGCGCTTGCCCCAACCGCCAGCCCCACAAGCTCTGGTGAATGTACCTTGAACGCACCTTGTTTTAGAGGGGGAGAACACGAAAAAAAAATTTCCCCTGTTCTCCCCCTCCTAGGGTCCGGTGCGTCCTATGGAGCGAAAAATACGGTAAATGAAAATGTATGCTGTGTAAAAACAAAACAGTGCTGAAAATGCCACGCTTGGAAAGGCCACGGCTCAATGGTAGCTCACATGCTTTGAAAGCAGAAGGTGCCAGATTCAATCCCTCCCCTCTCCAGCTAAGGCCAGGAGACACTCCTGCTGGAAACCCTGGACAGATGCCACCAGTCAGCTGGATGGACCAATGGCAGCTTCACTTCACAAAAGTGAAACATCAATATCAACCTGGTTCCAGATTGATCAGGAGTCTATGAATTTGCACAGCATATCTGACTGTTAAATCCTGGTAGAAACTCAGTTCACCCTTATTTACAGGAAACATGGAAATAGAAAAACAACATCTATTTGTTCTGGTTATGATGGATGAATGCTGCCAATGGCTCGATTCTACTGATGTAGATGTATGAGTGGAAGTTGCTTTTGTTCATGCAAGGATGGGTCCCCAGGTTTTTTGTAATCTCCCTGCACCCTCTGCTTTGAATCCCTCCTATGCAACCTACCATGCTGTTCCAGATGCACCTGCCAGCCCTCAAGAGCAGATTTTCAGGGAGCCCAAGGTCACTGCAGATAGAAAGAGGAAGCAGGAAAGCCTTGCTCCATTAAAGGAATGGAAGTTCAAGTTCTAGCAATGTTGTCCATTTTCCCTGGAATGGTAAAAAAAAGGAAAGCCAAATTCGCTGTTAGTAAAAGTGACTGACAATTCAGAATACACTATCGTCCACTTTATTCAGATAAATAAATTCCTTGCTTGCAAATGAATATACGGTAATCTGTTTACAGTCCACCAACCACAAATGCCTTACTTGTGAATAGTAGCCAAATTCCTCTGTCAAAACCCACTGATAGCGAACTCCTGATGCAATTTCTCTGGAGTCACTAAAGGGAAAAAAATAAATTCAGATTTAAATATAAGGAATCCATCTGATTGCATCCCTATATATGATAGCTAAATATAGTGTGATTGCCATCTCTAAATAAATATTAATTCTGCGAAGGCCTACGTACCTAAAATGTACCCACCAGGCACAATTCTATTTTTAAAAAACCTACAGGACTGATTCCCGAAAACAAAAGCATTAAAACCTAGTCTCTCACCGAGACCCTGTGGTTATACACATGTTTAATGTAAAAAACAACAAGCTTCATGTTGCAATTGAAAAAGTTATCCATTACTGGCCCCTCTGTGAATGTGCCTGTACTTGTTCGAGTGCTAGAATTCTAAAATCATATCTTAATGTTTGCATTTCACAAGCTAAGGGACATCTAATGCAAGCTTTCAAATTTTACTTTAGTGTTCTAAAACCTGAATCTACAAGTGAATTCCATGTTGTGCCCATGTGAAAAATGTAACATTTGCTTGTTTTCAGATATTTTCAGGAAGCAATTAGTAAAAGTATTTAAAATATACTTCTTGCCATCCTGGCTACTTCTTATACTCTGAAATGCCTGTGGGCAGCAAATAGAATTATAGCATTTGCATCCATATAAAATTATACAGTCTATAATATGATGATTAACAACATCTGAATGACCTCCTTCAATTTTGCATTATGTAAGCCTAATATTGTAGCACAACCTAATATTGTAACCAGGGCTTTTTCAGGGGGAACTCACAGGAACTCAGTTCCGGCACCTCTCAGGTGGGCGCCAGTGCCATTCCAAGAGAACAAGGGAACTCTGCGGATGTCAATTGGAGATGCTAGAATTCTTTATATTGCTCTTACATTTGCAGTTTTTATTTGCACTCCAGAGATACTATTTAGCCTTTTGTTGTCTAGAGAAGTGCTAACCTAAAGTATTTTTCTACACATCGTTTACTTAGTTTGATTTAATGTTTGAAAAGAACTGAAAAGCACTGTCTAAAATCCCAGTTATTGTCTTAAGACAGTGTAAACACTCAAGTTTGGCAAGTTCAGAAAGAAGGCTGTTGATTGCTAAAGAAATATAGTTTAATACTGTGCTATATGGCAACAACAATTTAGACACTGAATGGGAAGGAGCTCATTGAAGGTTATTTATAGGCCCATCAGTCCTGTAGATTAACTTCTCTGTGCAGTGAGGAGCAGAAGTAATTTATCAGTTTTAAATGTATCTTTATGATGACTTGCTCACCACATAGCCTTCACCAGTTCAAATGGCTCAACATCAACATTACGTACTGTGGATTAATAATAGTCACACTGTCACAATTACACATTAATTTATACATCTGTTCCATGCTACAAATATCTAAAGGGCTGTCACATGAAAGATGGACCAAGCTTGTCTCCTCCTGTTCCGGAGAGTAGGATTCGAACCAATGGATTCAAGTTACAAGAAAGGAGGCTTCAACTAGATGTCAGGAAGAACTTTCTGACAGAGCTGTTTGATAGTGGGAGAGAGTCCCTTGGGAGGTGGTGGACTCTCCTTCCTTGGAGGTTTTTAAGCAGAGGTTGGGTGGCCCTCTGTCATGGATGCTCTTAGTTGAGATTGGACCAGATGACCCTCAGAATTCTACCATTCTATGAAATCTAAATGTTACAGAATCGTAACTGTGACAGACAGCAAATACCTTGATCCAATAACAAAACCATGTACAGAGACGAATAGGTGGCTAGTTGCACAAGAATGTAGTTGGTTGGTAGGTAGGCACATTTAAACAGGATGCTGACAGAGCCTTCCATTCAAAGCAATGGATATATATTATATCCACTCAGATGCACATCTGTATAGTAAGTACTGTAACAGGAACATTCAGTTCTGTTTATGTGCAGATCTCTGGTGCTGTACTGGTTGCAAAACAAGTAGTACTTGCAACAAAATGTTGCACTGTGAAGTTTTCCTGTTACGGCTTGTTAACTGGAACTTGCCCACTTCCCAAGTACTTTGTTCCATTCTCCCCCCCCCCCAATTGTAATTTTGCGTCTCTCCCCCAGCACACACGCACACACCTCTACCTCCAACAGCCAATCAGCATTTTGTGGCAACTGGGCTCCTTGGTCTCCTTTCATGAGAGGAGATGTATGCCTCACTCAAGGTGCTTTTCTAAATACTCTTTGTACTCCTGCACAGTGCTATTTTTCTAGAAAAAAGAGGTGCTGGAACTCACCAAGAATGGCTCCCTTGTTCTCTTATAATGGCAATGGCACCTACCTGAGAGGTGCCGGAACTGAGTTCCGGCTGAAAAAAAGCCCTGCTCCTTCACCCAAAGTCTGTCAATACCTCATTTTGTGGATGGGAACCTCATTCTGTGTTTATTGGAAAAACCACAGAAAGAAGATAATAAAAGGTACCTCTCATCATCTGCAATGGTCTGGTAATTAAAATGTTTTTTTCTTAGACTTTAAAATTGTATGGTGTGTGTGTTGTTTGTACACACACACACACACACACACCCTACACAGAGATATAGTGTACTGTCTTGCGTATTTCTTTTCCTTTTAGGAAGGAAAGTTACATGTATTAACATCCATTTTGATAAGGATGAGTGTACACAATAAATTTAAAGCATATTTACTGCCCCTCCCACAAAAGAATACAGTGGTACCCCGGGTTAAGAACTTAATTCGTTATGGAGGTCCGTTCTTAACCTGAAACTGTTCTTAACCTGAGGTACCACTTTAGCTAATGGGGCCTTCCGCTGCCGCCACCACAGGATTTCTGTTCTTATCCTGAGGTAAATTATTAACCCGAGGTACTACTTCCGGGTTAGCGGAGTCTGTAACCTGAAGCGTCTGTAACCTGAAGCGTCTGTAACCCGAGGTACCACTGTAATGGGGGAAGTAGTTTGTCAAGGGTGATAGGAACTGTAACTCAGTGAGGAGGGGGAAACTACATTTCCCAGTATTCTTGCAGGATGGGGTGTATGGTGTGTATGCAGCCAAGGTCATAGCTATGGGCTGCTCTACTTCACTTCAAAATCACCACAAGCAGCTTATCACTTGCCAATATTTTGAAAGGAAAACCTTTCATTTATACATGCACACTTCGTAGCTGACACAACATGTATGCATTCTTGGATATCCTAAAACTGAGTACAAAATGTCTCATGTGAAACAGATCAACAGAACACATTTCAGCCACATTGTCCAGAAGGTCCCCCTATCTGCTCTGCTGAAAGGGGTTAGGGGGTGGAAGCACCAGACGCCCTCCTTAAAAGCAGGCAGGGTGGTTGGGGGCAGACTGAAATGGAAGAGCTCTCCTCCAGCAAGCTGTCATGATATAAACTCAAAGATATGCCAAGAATGCAAACGTCCAATCCACGGCTTACTGTGCGGTCTCCCTGAGACTTAGACTCCACGGAAAAGGCAAGAATGGCAGGGCCTCTGACTTAAAAATAAACAACAGAAACTGGCCCCTTCTCTTCCCAGTGTATTTTAAAGCATAACAACAGCATTCTTTCCACTCAGGAAATAACAGCAAAAATGACAGGGGAGGAGAAACAACTTTCTAGCACCACCTAAGCAACTGCAATGCTCAAGCCGCAATCCTTGCCAGTGGCTTTGTGCGTCAAGGCCCATTGATAGAATAGGACGATACAGCATCTGGTGGTTTTTTTTCTACTTCTGTTCACAATTTAACCAGTTCTTTTGTAGGGCCGTATCACATAAATGAGAGTCTTGGCATCCACAGACAGACAGAAAACACACAGATATTCTAGATTATAAAGTGAGCTTCTTTCCACTTTCCATAGCAAGTGGCAGATGGCATGTGTCTGTGTGTGAACCTCCTAAAGCTATACTACCGCAAGCAGGTCCCGTGCACCATCACATCACCACAAACACGGTGTCTTCAACTGGAGTCAATTCATACATCAAGCGCTTAGTGACCGGGTGACATGACATCATATGGACATACAAAGCTCCCTTATCTTGAGGCAGACCATAGGTTCATCCATCACAGCAAGGCCTACACTAGAGGTAGGTATGTTGTGGCCCTCAGCCTAATTTCATATGACTTGGGCTAATTTCAAAAATCCTCTACAAAGAATCAGTTCAGACCCTCAGCAAGAGTGACCCTCCCTTGGCATTTTGCTGGGTACAGAGGGAGGGGGGGGGAGAGGACACACCCACTTTCAGGTCTGGCTCCACCCACCACTAGCAGGCAGTCTCTGATAGATTACCACCAAGGACGCATGGCTCTTGACAGAAGAGAAAAAAATGATTGCCCACCCCAGGCCTCCACTTCCTTTAAGCAGGTCGTCAAGGTCTTCCATCCTGTGGCTCAGCTACATACTAGCGAAGGGGGAATAATTCCATTCAGTTTGCATTTAAAGCCAAAACTGTCAAACTTGCACTTATCCAAATTTTCTGATGCAGTTTCCCAGCCAAACAGTGTTTACAGGAATGCATATATTGTACTAGGGATGCATGTGCGGGGTTGTTGTTTTTTTACATTAGTGATAATAACATACAAAAATGCAATGCATTAGGAGACGATGCTTGCAAAAATGTGCACATTAGTCAAAACTGCATACAAAAATGTGTTTAACAGGAGAAATTAGCACTAAAATGCTGAGGATTTTTTTTTTTATCAAAACGCTTTGGAAACTGAAGTAGAAATGTGGAAAACTGAATTTAAGATTGAGAAACTGAAAGAACCGAAACTGGTAGATCCTGCCATCGCCACCAAGGATTGAACCTTGGCAAGAAACCAAGTACTTTGCTCTGGCACTGTGCTTCGGGTCCTCTTCCTGAACTTACACATCAAATAATTTTCTTGCATGTGGAAGCAAGCCTCATCTTATAATAAAAAGTGGAGCAACGACTGCCTCTAATCGGCACCTGAATGTATACAATATAAGGTGCATACCAAAGTCAGGGTACATGCCAAGATCATGAGGCCATCCAGGAAAAAGGAGGTTATTAAAGTTTTTCAAGATCTAAAGAGGTCAATAGCAATGATGAAAATATCTCAGGATGGTGCATGCTGCCTGGCAACCACACCACACACTGGGGTCTTAAATAAGATAATAGTGAGACGGAGAGGTAATAATTATAAATCTCTCCAGGTCCTATCACAGAATCACGAACAAAATGTTATCATTTAATATCTCTTGGCTTCTCCCATCTGCAGAAATCAATGTTTATTGGCTTACCGTGCAGAAATATATTTAGTCAGCAGGATTTTGTTTTTAAAAAATCTAAGTCTGCAGCTGACATCATCATCTAAATTGTTGAAGAAGAATAAAGCTGTCCACCGTGCAAGAGGGAAGGGGAAGTCCTCGAAAGTGAAAACTGAACATGCACTTTGACAACACATCATGCAGCTAAAACACATTTCCAAAGGGTCCCCCCTTTTAATTAATAAACTGATTCAGAGCAAAACAATAACTATTGCGGAAGTACCCTAACCACATTGTGGAGTTATGAGTTTATTGTTCCCAAGCATTATGTATATAATTTAGAGACTCTGCACCACCAAAGGTGGTTGATATACTCTATGAGGACAATTGAGAAAAAGTCAGATGAGACTGAGACCCATTGAAACCATTTGGACCTATTCACTTAGCCATTTCTGAATTGTGCTGTTGTGAATACCCACCCAGAATTTTCACAACAAAATCCCATCCCCTGTAGCTGTTTTTTTGGGGAGGGGTGTAGCCAGGACTGGGACACACCAGGGCAAGCAGAGGATAGGAAAATCATAGAACTGTAGAGTTGGAAGGGAGCATGAGGATCCTCTAGTCCAACGCCCTACAATGCAGGAATCTTTTGCCCTACATGGGATTTGAACCCACAAGCCTGAGATTAAGAGTCTTATGCTCTACTGACTGAGCTATTCCAGATGGTTTGGGAAGGAAGTACTCACAGGGTGACAGACGATTGTGAGGGGACGGAGGTCAATGCACAGGAACCAGAGCAGCAAGACCCATCACCAGAGTCAGAGGGACCCCTGTCTCCACAAACAAGGCAGGCTCTGAAGCGTAGGGAGCAGCAGAAGAGACTCTCTAGGAGGCTGGGGCAGCCTAGCTGGCCAGGTGGGGCTCGCTATGTGATTCCTCAGCTAGAGTAGACTCAGAACAGGTGAAGGTCACAAGCCTCATCAAACACAGATGCTGCAATCAGCATACAAAGAGGGAAGCAGAGCTGAGGTGCTGTGTTTGCTCTGCTGCCCCTGTTGATAGACTTTGGCTTGAATGCTCCTGGAGTCTGCTTTGGGTTTGACTCTGGACTGCATTCTGACTGCTGCACTTCAGAATTGGCTACTTGGATTGACCGTGGACTGTGTTTCTGGACCTTTGGACGTTGGACTTGCTGCCAGGTAGGCCAGGGGTTCTTAATCTTCATAGTTCATAATCCTGAAAAAGAACATCCAATCTCCACAAATAGTGTCATGTAGATGTGCACTTTGGTTACTAAACTAAAGCGTTATTGACACAGATTTTAAATAAGCTGAAACTTGGTGCTTTGGTCTTTGTCAACAGAATGAGCCAGGCAAAATGGGTGAATGCTTATTTTTATTGAACTTGCTTTGGTAAAAAGCAAAGGTAGCCGTGTTGGCCAATAATAAAAAGTCCAAAATCTGCATTGGGCCAATCAAATTGCACACAAAAGGAGTGTGCAAGCTTTCAAGTCCACCAAAACCCTTCATCAAATTAGAGGGTGAAGAAAACCCCAGGGTGGCATTGTTTTATTTTGGTAAGCATGTGCAGTCTTCATACAGTTTGACTAGCAAACACTAGTCCAAGAAGAAGAAAAACTATGATTTCAGTTTATCCATTTAATTCACCAGGCAGAGGATGCTTTTTGTATGCAATTGTTTTGTGTGGCTTGTCTGTACTAAATGGTGAGTGTTGTGTAAAATGTTGTCAATTGCTCCACCTACTGAAATTTCCGAAGAATGAGACACAGGGCTAAAAGGTTATTACAGTGCAAGCCTATGCTGGTCTACTAAAAAGGAGCCCCATTCGATTACCAGTACTCCCACAAAATTATTCTAGGATTGCAGTCTTAACAGGATATGGATTTCTATCTATACAGTTATATGCAGCCTCTTTAGGCAATGGCCCTTACAACATTACTTATATTATCACAAAATATATTGCCAAACAAAAAAAAATTCCAAACATTATAAGAGAACAGTAAAATTCTCATGCAGAATGATCCTAGGTTTAATCCCTAGTATCTCTAGGTAGGGCAGGAAAGCTTTCTGTTTGAAACCCCGGAGAAGTCCTGCATTGCAGAAGGTTAGACTAGATGAGCCTTGTGGTACCTTTCAGCTCTACAATTCTGGTTTTTTTTTTTAATTATTATTTTTATTAAGGATTTTTTGTGTGTGCTACAAAACAGATAAACAGGGAAAGGTCCATCTATTGTGTCCACTTTCCATTCATAGAGTCTTTTTCACAGTTCGTTTACATTTAGTGAGAGACACTTTTGTCATAGATATCTTGCAGTTGTGGGGAGAAAGATGGGGGTATTGTTTGTTGTTGTTCTTGTTGTTGTGTTGCCTAGTGTTAGTGTATGGGTTTGTGTCAGCTTCACACAGGCAGGTCCTTTGTTCATATATTTTTGTTGCTATTGCGAGAGATTAGGGGGTCCTGAGCTTGTATGGTAGAGTTCAGATAATTGCAGTGTGACATGTTTGTAAGTAGGGGGGTAGGTTGTTGGGTGCGGTTAGCCATATTGATTTGTATGCTTTTTTTGTGGGGGGGAGGTCATTGTCCTGCTGTGCTGTGTATGTGATAAAGGGGAACCATACTGGGGGGCAGGCATCTTCAACCAGGGTAGACAATACTCGGCTAGATGGGGAAATGAGCTGACTCTGTATGTCAGCTTCCTATTTTCCTAATAAAGACAGCTGCATCATTTTTTAATAAATAAAAAAGTTAGTTCAAAAAAACAAAACAGCAGCATAGAACGGCTCAGTCATCTTAAACCATCTGGAAATGTAGGAAATATAATTTAAAGCAATCCAAAATAAGTAAGTTTTAAAAACTAGCTAAAAGTGGGACTGCGTACCCTTCAGTGGAGAGGAAGTTCTGTATCTCAGAGGCCACCACCGAAAAGGCCCTGTCTCTGAAACAGATCTTAATGCTGTGTTTCCATGGCTCATGGCAATATGTTTCTGAATACCAGTTTCTGGAAACCACAGGAGGGAAAAGTTTTTAGGTCCTGTTTGCGGGTTTTGCACAAGCATCTGGATGGCCACTGTGAGGAATGGATGCTGGACTAGGTGAGCCATTGGCCTGATACAGCAGGCCCTTATGTTCTTATGTTCCTAGGCAGGTTTGGTTCTCCTGGTAGCCTGGTTCCAAACTATATTTGGGGTTTAAAATTTAAAGGTCCAAAGTAGAACTTTCGGCTCATGTTTCAGTTCAGTGTCTCACATAAAAGCCCCCACACACATCAACTTTCCTCAGCCACTTGCTAAGCATGGAATTCAATGAAGAGAACAAGAACGAACAAAACACCAATCAATGTTTGACAACAGAAAAAGCAATTCCTCCGTCTTACAGGAGGATTGTTTTGAAAGAACATTCTCACTAAATTTTAGCTGGCACTCTGCTGGAATCCGACATTTGTTGAATTCCTTTCTGTTCACACATTTGGTTAAATGGCCTGGGAAAACAACACCTTATTATTCCAACTGACAAAAACCTGCTATCCACAATTATGTTGAAATTATGTTCAATTATGGATAAAGTTTACGCACCCAAATGCATACCTTTGACTGTCAGGCAGTACCAGTCTGATTTAGTATTTATTCATAGCGCCTTCCAGATTTCTCAATCCAGTTAGTTAATTTTATTTATTTGGTAACTAGATATAGTTGTGTAAGCCGCTTTGAGGCCTTCATGGCAAAAAGCAGAATATACTTGTTAAAATAAAATATGCCAGTAGATTCTTGCAGCACTGTTCAAGCAATTTTTAGTAAAAGTAATTCAATATAAAATAATCAAGAACCACTTTTCCCAGGCACTAAAACCTAGCAATTGCTATCCATACAACCCATACAGAGGTCAACTGACACTCAGTAAAAAAAAACCCACTCCAGCTCAGCAGCCAACCGCAAACACATTTCCTAAAGGGCAAGAGGAATTGATTGTTCTCCTTGGTAGGGCGCTTCAGAAGGGCACCATTACCAAGAATGCCCTTGCTTTGCTGTTAGTCTCTGTCTATGTACACTTTGCCATTTACTTTGGGTCAAGCGTGCTCCCACTGCTGGCTTTCAAAGCCATGTACCCATGACATTACTCAGTGTTTCAGAGCTGCCTTGTAGTTTCACGGCTGCTTGATGCGTTTCCCTTCAAAGAAGCTTCAATCAGAAAGGAAAACATAAGCTACATTTACTGCACAGTTAAGCTGAGGTGTGTAATTTGAGACAACCATTGTGCATGTGTGGATCACAGGGACTCAGTCCTGGTGGCACCTCTCAGGTGGGCGCCATTGCCATTGTAAGAGAACAAGGGAGGCGCTCATGGTGAGTTCCGGCACCTTTTTTTCTAGAATAATAGCACTGATGACAGCATACCGTATGTGCAGATGGCAGCCTAATGAAGCAGAGTTTGGTGGGAAGGTATGTTTTGGGCGTAGAAATGCCAAACAGGTAATGTGCATTGGGTTAAGGCATCCCTGCCTCCTCTCTGGTGCGCACAAAAGCATGCTTTAGGGTTCTTGTCCTAAATAACTCAAAACATGCTTCCTTTTGCTGGGCATGTCTAGAAGCAGAAGCAGATCAGAATAAGCACTCCCCTGCCCCCATTTTTTGGTAAGAGTTTTTAATGGATGCTCATTATGGGCAAAACCCGATAGCTTTTCTTAGCCTGCACCAAGTTCAACACCCTCACAGATGGCTCTGTAATAAAAGCCAGCACTGCCTAAGAATAAGACCTTCACCGATATAGAACACTACAAAGTGTGAGGCCTGGGCAGTGTCTGAGGCACAAGTGTGTTTTGCAATAGATCTCTTCAAGAGGCAGTATGGTGGTCAGCGAGAACTTGAAAGTGACACACATATTTTGCTTTTGAACAGTTTAATTTTCACAACCTGAGGGAAAATATGGGCAATTTTTTATATCACACTGTGAATAGCATCTGAGATAGCTAAAAGTGCCCGATGATGATGATGATTGATAATAATACTAATAAATAATGTAAAGGACCCCTGGATGGTTAAGTCCGGTCAAAGGCGACTATGGGGTTGCGGTGCTCATCTCGCTTTTCAGTCCGAGGGAGTCGGTGTTGGTCCACAGATAGCTTTCTGGGTCATGTGGCCAGCATGATTAAACCACCACTGGTGCACAGAGTACTATGACAGAAACCAGAGTGCATGGAAATGCTGTTTACCTTCCCGCCACAGTGGTACCTATTTATCTACTTGCACTGGCGTGCTTTTGAACTGCTAGGTTGGCAGGAGCTGGGACAGAGCAATGGGAGCTTGCCCTGTTGTACAGATTCGAACTGCTGACCTTCTGATTGGCAAGCCCAAGAGGTTCAGTGGTTTAGACCACAGCACCACCCACATCCTAACAACAACAACAACGTTTGTGGGATGTATCCAGCCTGCATATGAGCCACTCTTGCTTATTGAATTAATGTAATATTATTCATTTATTTAAAATGGTCATATGCTGATCTTTACAAAAACTGAATTGAAGGCCAAAGCAGCAGCTAACTGTTATGTAGGGGTAATGACAGCTGCAAAGGTGGGATGCTTCTAGTTACTGCCCAAACCTGATACCATATTAGTCAATAAAAGCACATCAGCCGCTAGTCACAAAGTGTCTTTTGGGTCATGGCTGATATTAAGGAAGCCACACCACACTGACCAGGCCTGAGGTAC